ATTGATATTACTAGATCTTCCTAGTTTATCAACAATAATAATTGGTCAAGGATCTTTCAGCGAAGTTTCTACTACAACCATTGAAAGTATTTTTAGTACTATACAATATTTATATATAGATCTTGCTTCACTCTCATTGATTCAGCTAGGTGAACGAGCATTCTATGGTAAAAATGAAACCTCCTGTTCATTAAAAATGCAAAGTTATATTATTTACAATATTTAAGTGTAGATCTTCCTAATCTTCAATCTCTAATTAGTATGGGATATAGCTTCTATTATCCTCGTTCAGTGACTCTGAAAGGTTTTTGTCTGGAGATCTATTGATTTTTAGATATTGCAACGAGTGTAAATGAGCCTGATTTTGTTGTTGATTTGCCAAATGCATTCCAGTCGGTCACTCAGAAATCATTATCCAGTATTTCTTTAGTATTCTCTTTCGTTATTATCAGACATTCCACAGGATCTTCGAGATATTATTGATAATCCCACAAGTACTGGCCGTTGATCAAGCATGACGTTGTCTCTGTCCCAAGAATTGGAAGGATTGTTTTTGTTTTACACATTTTAGTACTGTAATTTTGCATTACAAACTTCATTCGGATTTCTCACATATCTCAGTATTTTGGATAATTCAGTTGAAATAGAGCATTTCAACGTTTATTGCTTCGTACACAATTACTTGAGTACTTACTATGTTACTAGGAACTTCATGATGTCATATAGTGTATTGACAATGTAAGTCAGTGTTTGCATATCATTGTAGTAAAACGTGTTACTAACCAAAGATAGAAAGGATCATTTTCAATAAGACTTTTTCCATGCGTCATATAAATAGATTTCAAACATTATAGATTTATGATTTACACATAATCCAATCCAATTGGTTATTTCAATATTATAAATGAATGAATGAATGCTATTTTGCATCAAAAATTATATACTATCTAGTCGTTATTAATCGCATTATATTGTTGTTCCAACTTATTGCAACCGTTATTATAATGGATTGAACGTAGCTGCTTAATGTTCTTTTCTGATAATGTACTCTTTCAATATACTCCCATACAAACTGTTTTGCTAGATGGATGTTGGGTCGTTTTCTCCATGACTTGATAATCTTCTTGAATAACTGCATGTCTCTATTATCTTCTGAATCGACAAATAGTACATCTTGAAAGTAATAAACGTCACACTACAGTATCATCGATTCAACATTCCTTGTATTATCTCACACACAATCTAACACTAACGGATTGTCTAACGAACTGTATACTATTGAGTAGGTCATAAACAAGAATATCCTTAAAAACTTAAAGCTTTCAATTGAGAATTCACTTCTTATGATTCTCATCATCTATTCAATAACAAGAATCACAGTTACCAAAATTCAATACCTTATTAGATGAAAGAAAGAACCCTGGTACTTAGAACAGTAGAGTGTTATTCATGCATAGATATGAGTAACAAGGAGATTACGACTCTGTTAGGAAAGATGTGGAAGGAGCTGCCTGAAGAGGAGAAGCAGGAGTACGAGAAGCAGCACGCGGAGGAGAAGAAGGCTTATGAGGAAAAGATGGGAGAGTACAGACGGGAGCATCCTGAGCTGAAGGAGAAAACACCGAAGAAGCAGAAGGAGACGAAGAGCACAATGAAGAAGGTGTCTTCTGAGGAGGAGGCGGTGGATTCGAATGAGGAGGAATCGGAAAATATATTTGAGAATGAATCTGATTGACTTGTTTGTGTGTATAAAAGAGAGGATGATATTGAATATTGAATGGGATGGAGGCAAACAAGATGGGGAGGGGAAATAATGATGAAACAATGTACCTTGCATCTCTTCCAAGCAAGAATAGCATTCGGTTTTGTTATTCCAAGTGGGATGTTTGACCATCCTGACTCATTCCCTACATTTCCAACTCCAAAATCGACTTTATCTTTGTACGAATCACACTACCAACATCAATCATTCTTTCATTTCCTGTGTTTTTTTTCTTTCTAACAAACACTTCAGTATTCATATTGTTGTTATACGATGATTATTACTACGACTACACCTTCTTTCCTTCTTTATTCCTTCCCTGTTCGCTCGTTCGCTCGCTTAAGCGGACACATCAAAGTCCATGATGACATCGTCGAGCGCGAGGTTCTGTCCGGGCTTGAAGTAGACCTTCTTGACGACGCAGGCCTTCTGCGCGTAGAGCTCGTTCTGCATCTTCATGGCCTCGACGACGGCGAGAGGCTGTCCAGCCTCGACGCGATCGCCCTCCTTGACGTGGACCTTGACGAGGGATCCGGCCATGGGGGAGGCGAGGAACTTGCTGGTGTCGGGCTGCACCTTGGGGATCATGAACTTGCTCAGCTCCTGGGCGCGCGCGCTGCGGAGCACCACGTCGAAGTTTCCTCCGCAGTACTGCATGCTGTATCCCTCGGTGGTGGGCTCGAAGTACTGCACCTTCACGTCCACGCCGTCCACCTTCGCGCTCACGATCGGACGGTCGCTCTCCAGACCCGCGTCCTCCACCTTCACCTTCTTTCCGTCGATCTCCAGCGTCATCGCCTCGCCCTCGAACTCCATGTGCACCTTGTACTCCTTCTCGCCCACCGTCGCCACCAGGTCCTTCTCACACACCGGCTCGTACGACTCCATCTGCTGGTCGTTCGTCGCCTCCTTCGCCAGACGCTCCTGGTGCACCGCGATCGTCGCCGCGATCAGCTGCTCCGCCTCCGTCTCCGTCAGGTGCGAGCCCGTCCAGCCGTCGGGGTACTCCTCCTTGATGAAGTTCGTCGTGATCTTCCCCGAGCCGAAGCGCTTCGACCGGATCACGTCCTGCAGGAACGCAGAGTTGTGGTTCAGGCCGCGGATGATGTACGTGTTCAGCGCCTCGTCCATGCGCTTGATCGCCGTCGCGCGGTCGTCGCCCCACGTCACCAGCTTGCAGATCATCGGGTCGTAGTACATCGAGATCTGCGATCCGTCCAGGATGCCCGAATCGCATCGCACGAACTCGCCGCGCGGCTCGATGTACTTCGTCAGCAGACCCAGCGACGGCAGGAAGTTCCGGCGCGGGTCCTCCGCGTACACGCGCGCCTCGATCGCGTGCGCGTACCGCTTCAGCGGCCAGTTGATCAGACGGTCCGGCAGCTTGCGGCCCGCGGCGATCCAGAACATCTGCTCCACGATATCCTCGCGCGTCACCATCTCCGTGATCGGGTGCTCCACCTGCAGACGCGTGTTCATCTCCAGGAAGTAGAAGTTCTTGTGCTTGTCGCACAGGAACTCCACCGTTCCCGCGGAGCAGTAGTTCACCGCCTTCGCCATCATGCACGCCTGCTTGCCCATCGCCGTGCGCGTCTCCTCGTCCAGCAGCACCGACGGAGACTCCTCGATCACCTTCTGGTTGCGACGCTGGATCGAGCACTCGCGCTCGGGGAACGCGCAGTAGTTACCGAACTTGTCGCCCAGCACCTGGATCTCGATGTGGCGCGGCTCCTCGATGTACTTCTCGATGAACATGCGGTCATCGCCGAACGCAGACTTCGCCTCCTGCTTCGACAGGTGGAATCCAGACAGCGCCTCCTTGTCGTTCCAAGCGATACGCATTCCCTTGCCACCGCCTCCAGCCGACGCCTTGATCATCACAGGGTAACCAATGTCGTTCGCAATGCGCAGAACCTCCTCGTCCGAGTTGATTTCGCCGTTGAAACCAGGAATCGTGTTCACCTTCGCCTTCACGGCCAGGATCTTCGAACCGATCTTATCTCCCATCGCCTCAATCGCATATTTGCCAGGACCGCACCAGATAATTCCCTCCTTCTCCAGAGTCTCCGCGAAACGCCAGTTCTCAGAAAGGAAACCATAACCAGGGTGCACAGCGTCAGCTCCAGTCTTACGGCAAGCCTCAACGATCTTATCAGCCACCAAGTAACTCTGGGCAGACGGAGAAGGACCAATGTAAACAGCCTCATCAGCCATCTTCACGTGCTTGGCGTTGCGATCAGCGTCCGAGTACACAGCCACCGTCTTGATACCCATGCGCTTAGCGGTCTTGAACACACGGCAAGCAATCTCTCCACGGTTAGCTACCAGGATCTTCTTGAACGGAAGCTCGCCTACGCACTCACTCCACCTCAAAATTCCCTACCTTCAGTCGCAAAACTTCTGGCAAGTTTAGAAACCTAGACTCTCACAAAACGTCACCAAACCCCTACACCACGAATTCCAGAGAAGGAACGTCCGAACATTTTGTTCTCTACCTTGAACGAAATGAATCTCTGAGTTTATTCACCAACTGGAGAAATAGGGAATCATTTGGGCGTTTCATCGCTTTCCACCATTCTCAATTTACACTATTCGCCATTCCAACAAACACCAATTATTAGTTATCGCACAGCTCTACTTGATTTCTGTTTGGATAATATGTTACAAAACAGCCTTCGCTGAAAGTCCCGGGAAACACGACTTTACAACCACTCTCTTCAATAATGGATTGCTCGGAGGATGTTGAAAGAAGTAACTAGGGTGAAATCGAAGCAAATAAGAGAAAAAAATGGGTGGGGTAGTAAAATACTAAAGCATTGTTGAGAATGGGTAACAAACAGTTGCGTTAACGTAGGAATGCCTTTATCAAAGTATTGCAACAAGTTGAGTTCACAAAGCAGTTACGAATTGATTTTGTAATACAAATAAATAAATAAATTATCATTTTCTATTCTATTCTCTGGTATTCTGATGCTTTTTCGATTGTACTGGTACTGATAATCATATTCGTTTGATTGAAATCAGTCCGAGCTTAGCTCAGTTGGTAGAGCGTTAGACTGTAGTGGCTGCTTCGCAGCAATCTAAGGGTCGCTGGTTCGATTCCGGCAGCTCGGATATTTTTCTCTTTTTATGATTTTTCTCTTACTATTATTCCAATTTCTTTTCTTCTTATTACTTTTTTTTCTATCACTCTTTTCTGTCACACTGTTCCTACATTACTAGTGTCAAAACAAACACATCACATCTTTACTACTTTATCGAACACGTTTTGAATGATCGTTTGAATCTCCTGTTCTGTATGATTCAATCTACACTATTATCAACTTCCTATCACTACGGCAAAATAGGTGTAGAACAGGAATACTGCGTCGTAGAGCCGTACATCATCGGATAGCTTTGGCTCCCTCCCAAAATCGGCTGGGACGCCGAAAAGTTCTGTGCTGGTTGGTAACTCCTCCCTCCCTCCATTCGTTGCGCTTTCAAAGTTTCGATTTCCCTTTCTTTCTGCATCAGTTCGGTTTCTGCTTTTTGTTGTTTTGCGTTTGCTTGGTCGCGCTCATTTTCCACTTGCATCATTTCTTGCAGCAAGAGCGAATGTTTTTCCTTCATTTCGCTCAGCTGCTTCTCCGTTTCCTGAATTCGCCTCAAAAGCAGCACCACATCATCTTTCGTCCATTGCGGCGGTCGTAGCGCGCTCTGGAAGCCAAACCCCAGTTCTCTCTGAACCCTCGCCATGATTTCATTCATCTGTCCGGCTCGGAGATTGTACTGGTCCGCTCGGCTCTCCATCACGCTCTGCAGCGACCCCAGCAGCGCATAGCAGTCATCCAGCAGCTCTTTCAGCTGTCTCTCGCGCTCTCGCAGACTCAGAATCTCCGACGTCCCCATCGCTCCAAACCCGGACGCGCTTCCCGCCTTGCTTCCCTGTGAAATCGCCGCGTTTTTCTGCGTCTCCAACGCCACGCAGCGCTGCTGCGCGTCGTTCAGCGCCTTGACGACCAAGTCGAGGATCTGCACCATGTCGCTAATGCGCGTGGCCACCAAATCTTCCTGCCGCTTGCAGTGCGACGTGAGCTTTTCGATTGGCTAGCGATCACCGCGCTGTTTGGTCCTCACCATGCGATTCAACTCGTTCGGATCGATCGCCACGTTCTCGTCTTCGCTCCCGATCGCCAGCTGCGCCGCCGCCGCGCCGCGATTCATCGCGCTGTTCAGCTGATCGACCCACGCCACGCTGTTCTGCACGAACTCGCGGAGGAAGTCGCGCAGCGAGAGCTCGTCGACGGAGGCCAGGCGGTAGAACGAGGTCTGCGACGGCGATCTACCAGCGATGAGCCAGCAAAAAGAGAGAGAAAGTACTTCTTCCAGGAATCGAAAGGACGCGCGTTTTGCTGCCGGACCGCTTCTCTCTAGAGTGGAAATGGGGAAACGGGGAAACGGGGACGTCTTGGAGGCAGGAGGCGTTGAATTGTTTGGTGATGGTGTCGATTTGGGTGTGGATTTGGCGCAGCTGATCGTCGGGAGATGCGAAAGAGGAGCGTCCGAAGACCAACGCGAAGAGTTGGGAGATGGCGTGGAGATCGACCGATTGCTGCGAGTGAGGCGGTCGGTGGAGTGGATACTGGAGAGTTGAGAGGAGGGTTTGAGGAGATGGACGCGTTGGAAGCAGAGGGAAACACGCGAGCGAGCAGGGCGTTGAACACGCTTTCGATGTTTTCGAACATGCAGACAACGCTGCTGCGGATCTCGGCGACGTCGGAGGAAGCCGATTTCCACTCGGGAATGGTCTGGCAGATCGAGGAGAGCATGCGATCGCCGATGGATTTGCACTCGTCCAGAATTTTGTTTAGTCGATCGAGATCGCTTTGTTTCTATTTGGAGAAGATGAAATCGATGCTACATCCAGAGAATAGGGAGATCGGTAGGAAGAGTAGTTTCTGGAATACTGGTTTCCCTGCTCATAACGGCGAATTTGATCGTTTTTGGCTGCTAATTCGTTTTGGAGAGACTCGATCTTGTTTTTGAGATTGTTCACTTCCCAAGAAGAAGAAGAAGAAGAAGAACCGTAGTTTTGAGATCTCCAAGTGGTGTTATCATACTGTTTTGTTAGAAGAAGCAAAGACGACTACTGTTTTATCCTGGAGTATTTTTCGTAAATCTGCAATTTCTGAATCTCTAGCATTTAAATCTGCTTCTAATTTATGAATCCTGCTCTTCAAATCGATGTTTCCCATAATCAGGTTATTATTCATCATTCTACTACTAATTTTGATTCTACATTATTACTTTCCTGTACTAACATCATTTAACATCTTCTCTAGGTCATTCACTCTCTGTTGCAGTAAACTATTCTCTGATCGCAGTCTCTGCAATTCCCTATCCTACATATCAAAATATTCCGCACTTCTACCTGCATCGTGTCAATGGTGGTCGCTCTCGTTCCCATATCCCTAGGTTGCGAATAGTACAAGCCAGAAGACTTGGAATAGTCCATTTCTCCACACCACCAACCAAAAACTGCTTATGTCCAACAAACAACCCATAAGATACTAATCATCACACGCTCTTAGCAGCAACCTCCCTGAGCCTGACCCGCACCAGCATTGGGTGCCTGCAGTCCCTTCACCGCATCACTCTGTCCCACTTTCACTCCGTTCGACTAATTCTCAATGCAGTCCTCCTTTCTCACCTCATTGCTCACATCGATCACACCGGTCTCGATGTTGTGATAGATCTTCTCAGCCGTCTTCACGAACGCCTACAGTGAATGGAGAGCGCCAGCTTTTACTTCTTCGACGTTCGCGGCTGTCTTGGCTGAGGTCTCCAAGAAGATCAGACCGTTCTCCTCCGCGAACTTCTCTCCCTCCTCTGTAGACACGGTACGACTACGCTCGATAATATGCAAAATCAGTACCGGTGATTTAAGTCAGACTTATTTCCGATCAGCATAATCACCATGTTCGACGAACCGTTCTCACGAGCTTCAGTAAGCCACTTCGTCAGCTGTGTAAATGTCTCTCGTCGGGTGATATCGTACACCAAAAGCGCGCCAGCAGCTCCACGATAATACGAGCGAGTAATAGAACGGAACGACTCCTGACCAGCCTAATAGTTCACTGGCAAGTTAACCACCGAGTACCGTATCCCAGATTTGAAGTTTAATCTGATTCTCGCCAATGTTAATCATTCTAGCTCCAAACTCCACGCCAATAGTCAGATCATGGACCGGCTGGAATCTCTTGTCAGTGAACTGAAGCAGAAGACAAGACTTACCAACACCTGTATATTAACTCCTTTTTTTGCTATTTCACGTACCGGTGTCTCCGATAATAATGTACTTAAAAAGATACGAATAGGACATATTACTGTTTGTTTTCTGCCAAATAGGTGTTCAATTTCTGGGGGTAAACAATTCTTTTGTGAGAACTCTGCAGAAGCCTTATCCTTACCCCCACCTTAATAATGTCTTTCATTATTGATTTCAAATCAATTATTCATGGATTGGCGGATTGAATTCTAGTGTCGAGATTAATAGAACTTGTGATCTGTACAATATGAATGTAGTAATTGTAGTGATACGTTGTTTTGATTTAGATTCGATATCCATCCCTTCATGTTGGCATTTTGTGGAACTATAGTATGGCCTGCTGGTCTAGTGGTATGATTCTCGCTTAGGGTGCGAGAGGTCACGGGTTCGATTCCCGTGTAGGCCCTTTTTACTTTTTCTTTTTTTGATTTTTGGATGGATTTGAATTGCTCTTATTGTTTGCATTTGTTTTTTGATTTGTATGATAATAATAATGATAAAGATATATTTCGAAGCATGAACTCGAATACTCGTAGGTATCATCATTCTATACACATCTCCATACATCTCTTTAACCATTTCTATCTTTTCCATTCACATTTCTCAATCAAACAAAATAAAATAATGAAACTAAAGAATGCAGAGATGGTTCACACGAAAAGAAGCAGTACTCCATTGCAATATCCATCTTATATATCGGTCTACAATCTTCAATCCAAACCAAATCACTTACAACGAAATAGGACACATCACATCCTCCTCCTCATCATCATCAAAAACATCCTCATCCAGCGAAATCTCCTTCTTCCGCTTTATTTGATAACACACCACATTGAACTCCTTGCAGATCTCCGAACAAAGAGACAACAACTCCATCTGAAACACTCCATTAAAAAGCTTCGCCAATCGATCCTTCCTTTCATCCCTCCCTTCGATTCCTACCAGAGAAACGCCTGGATTGCTCACAATGGAATACAGAATCTTCTTCTTCATCGCAACCCGCGTAGAACTCGACAGGGAGTCTTTCTGGACACACAAGAAAGCTGATGGCTGGATGATTTGATCGTCCAAACTCACGGACCATCCGAAGATTTCATTGCGATGCACAAAGAAACACTCGAGCTGCGTAAAATAACAGAAAATGCGCGATTGGGACAAAAGACTTTGAAGGATTTGATTCAATTGGGATTGGGAAAGCTGCTGATAAATGTGGTGGAGATCAGAATAGAGAATCGCTACGAGTTAACAACACATAACAGAAAAGAAAAACGAACCTTTCTCGAGAATCGTCTCTTCGACTTGGTCTTGGATGGATTTCTCGGGATGGATCGCTTCCTTTTCGATGTGGGGAGGAGAAAGAATCAGCCAGGACGATTCGTCTGGTTCAGTGCTGCTCACGATAATCGAACTTCGATCCGAATCGAGAATCAGCTGTCTCTGTCCCCGAATCACCAGCAGCAAAATCACAATCACAACACTCAGTCCAAGATTCACGATTTTATTCTCTTCCTTTTCCGACTCTTTCGATTCGCTTTGCGGCGACGTCAACCGCAAATACGACCCCGAAAGAATATCTTTCTGAAACGAATACTTCGGAATCCCCTGCACATCACCCGCTCCTTCAATCGCTTTGTACCCGAGAGAAAACCTCCTCGCCCTGCTCGACCAGGCGGATCTGAGCGAATGCCGCCGTGTTCAGCCAGCGATACACGGCATAATCGGGAGGCTCGCTCAGATAATACGTGCTGATGCTCCTTCCCGCCGTGCCCGTCAGTTGATATGAGTTCCAAATCACATAAAACGCGAGGCGAAGCTCGTCTTGGCTTCCCAACTGCAGCTCACTTTTTTTATCGGCGACTTACAGAGAGAATCAGGCGGAGCTTTTCGATCGTGTCGTCGTTTGCTTGTTTGTTGACGTATAAGCGAAGCAATGAAAGCAGCGTGTGCGTTACAAACGCGACGCGAAGCGGCGATGTGGCGCCGAGCAGTTGGTTCCATTGCATCTGCGCACTTGTCTGCAAGTTCGGATCGGCAGGCGGGAGAATCAAAAAGGAGGGATAAAACGAGGGGTAGAGCGTGTCGATAATCACAGAAAGCTGCTGCTGCGTGGCGAGTTTGAACACAGAGAGGGAAGGACCCGCGTGGGAGAAGAGAGCGGAATACAAGCGATGGGCGTCGGACATGCTCACAATCGGCAAGCGTGCAGTCGGGTTCTCGGTGGACGCGGGAAGCGTGTTGATCAGCTGCGCGATCAGTTTGTAATTGGGACTGTTCTGACGGATGAAGAGAAGAAGAAGAAAAGCGATACGGAGGAGCAGAACAAGCGATACGTCGCAGGATGATTTGGATCGTGCAGAATGAGATGATCAGGCGGCGATGCGCGTTTCAAATTGAGGAACTAGAAAGAATAAAAAAGAAAAAAGAAAATGAAAACGTAAACCATGAAGGATTGGATGATTAGCAGCAAGGAAGAAGTGGAATGAAGCAATCTGCATATTCAAACAACTCAAGGAAGCGATGCGTTTCGATTTCTTCGCTGTTGAGAGACGACACGTCCAGCGGCTCCGTGACGCTCCACACGCTTTTGGCCATTTTCGACTTCCTCGGCGTTCTCCGCTCCTCCGTTTCGTCGTGCAGCCGCTTCTGCGGGATTTTTTCTTCCGCGGCGATGCGTTCGACAGAATTCCGAGAAGACAAAATGCGCGACAAATCGAACACATACGATTCCTTCGCATGCACACGATTGAACAACGCGCGGAACGAGCGAGCGTACGGCGTGAGATTCTACACTGAACGCCACTTTCTGAACCTACCGGCGAAATCAAATCGAGCCGAGCGTGTTTCGATGTGTCTATCGCAAAGAACTCGCAAAGTTGGCTCACCTTTCAAATCGGAAATCAGCGAGAACATCAAGTTCTTCGCTTCCGGATTGATCACGAGCGAAAGCACCGTGTTTTTCTCTCCCTGATTGCGGAGATTGAACGCGGTTGCGAGGATGGCGCGGAAGAGCGCGTTCTGCGAAGCAGGATTGGTTAGGCGGATCAAATACGCGTTGTCGGTCATGTTTTGAATGCGGAGCGTCCGGGAAACTATGTAGCGATCGCTCGCATCGCGCTGAATGATTTGCAGCTTCTACAACGCTCACGATTCCGGTCGGTTTCTACATAAAGATTCTCCAAATCGGCGAGCAGCAACGCTCTCCACTGACTCAAAATCCTAGGCGGCGCTTCCTGATTCGGCTCCAAAAGCAAAGCTTCCTGATCCACAAAGCCATACAAAGCCGCCAATTGCTGCGTTGAAACGCTCCGAAGAAACTGATCGGGCTCCAGCACCATCGCTTCCTTCTCTTCGTTTTCCTCCGCCTCCAATCCGTTCATCACCAGCAGCAACACCGCGTTCAGTCGCACAATCAGCGGCGTCAGCGGGTCCTTGCACTCGCGAAGCGAACTGCGCTGCGCGTCCTCCTTCAGCAAGCGCAGCTTTTCCTGCTGCAGCCCGAAATACCGAGAAATCGCCGCCTTGACTTGCGGCGAATCGATCGAATACGCCAACTCCGTCACCACCAAAATCTTCTTGAGCGCCGCTCCGTCCTCCGCCATCGGATTGCTCGTCTGGATCTGATACAAATGAAGCAGCTTCTTCTCCTGCAGAAAGTTCAGCACCGCCATGATCGTCTTGTGGTCCACCAAAAACTCCGTCGAATGCTCGCTAGAGTCAAGGAAAAACCGCGGGAGTACTTGAGGAGCGTCCGGATTTCCGATGTTAGCATCACGTGGTTTTGTTTTAACTAGCCAATCAGCGCGCTCGTTTCATCCTACAGCGTCGAGGATCAGTTTGCGTCGCTCGATCTGCAGCGTGGATTCCGTACGCTTCGACGAATCGGATTGGATGGAGGACGCTTTCCGCGTCGTCCCATTTGCCAATTGGAAAAACTTCGTAAACCGTCTCCCGCGGTTTTCGATCGAACTGCTCAGAATGTTCTGCGACTCGAGCTGGTACATCCGCCGACTCAGGCGTTTCACGTTCAGTCCGGAAATCGCAGAAAGTTCCGCGAGGGAAAGCGAAGACTTCGGCGATTGCGAAATTAACTGAAGCAGGTATAAAGTGAGTGAAACACCCGCTGGACGAAGAGTAATCACGCGTTCATACGAATTAGCGGCTTCCTTGCCGTCGTCGTCGTCATCATCATCAACGGTTTCATCATCATCATCTTCTTCTTCTTCTCTTTCTTTTTCGTTCTGATGGTCTTTCAATTCTTTTTGAAGCCGCATTTGGATGTCAAATCTACATTTCAGCTCTGCTTCATCGCCCTTCACAGATGCGAGTCAAACGTCACGTTCGCTTCGCCGTTCGCCACGCGAATTCCAACGCCGTTTTCGGGAGAAAACGATCCGATGCAGCGCCGAAAGGAGTAAGACGAGCTCAGAGGGATTCGCTTCCAGCATAAAATGGAGGAAACGGGGGCTTCCGAACCGCGGAACTCCGAAAAATACGAAGAAACCGCGTCTAAATAGGCTTTTTCGATGGCAGAACGCGGCGAGGCGGCGTGTTTGGGTTTATAATAGGAATGGTAGATTTTGATGCCTTTCGAAATGATTTTATTCTTCTTCCTATGCGTTATCTGGGTTGGGAGGAATCACCCCAGTCCATAAGACCGATCCTTCACGAGAACGCCTAGCAGAAGGCTGCGCTTTACGTATAAATGAACAGTTTTTAAATCCAGATCGAGCAGCTTGGAGAGTTGTGGAATGAATATCCCTTCGTGTCGAGTCTCTGCAACTACCTAGAATTTACCCATCTCCATACTCGGAGTACCTCTACGACCGATATGAGCGATGGTACGCAATAGTTTATGTCATCTTCCTTCAATCCCAGACAGGAAAAGTGATATTCACGCGAACAACGAATTAGCGTCTTCGAATAGTCCAATTCTTCCAAATTCAGCTGGTTCTATGCCCTGACTCATTCCCACTTCCACTACTCCATTCGATTCAGCTTCTATGCTAATTTCTGGGTTGTTTCGGAGATGATTCCACGCTACATTCTCAATATAGGGACGACATCGTCTACACGCTTCAAACTCTCATTATTGCCTTACTCATCCGGTAACGAAATCCACGAAAAGACTGTGTCCAGTGGTTTCGCCACATAACAGTGAATCCCTACTTCAAACAGGAAGGAATCGATGATCTCCTATACGTGAATGCTTTTCAACATCGAAAAATACAGGATTCATCAAAAATAGGGGAGATTCGAGTTTAATAGAACGATGTTTTTAAATTCAAGAACTACTAAACACTTTGCCTCTACTTTTGTTGTTTTGTAATGAGTTCGTACATCCCAGAGTCTGTTAGACTCAAGGAGAAACGTGACGCATTGCTAAAAGCCAAGCAGGTTGCTGAAGCTTTGAAGAAGGAGAATGTGTGTTCAATGAAGCGTGGATAATACTTAGTCACGCGACCATTACCATACCGAATATGTAAAGCGAGCAGAACGATACATTTTGGAATATCAGCAAGTCGTGGCCTTCGCTCAACTTTATTTGTAGAAAGAAAAAGAAGAGATTGAAAGAAATCGGATGGCCCGTAATAAAGGGTTGCTCATCAGTAACAACTCAAATCGGCTAGTATTTGTGATTCGAATTCGTGGCATCAACGAAGTCCCTCCAAAGCCAAAGAAAGTTTTGGAGTTATTCCGCTTGCTGCAGGTGAGTTTGCATTTCGCCGCTAATAACCAGATTAACAATGGCGTGTTTGTTCGCTTGAATGAGTCAACACGAAAAATGCTGGAAATCATTTCTCCCTATGTTGCTTTTGGCTATCCCTCGGTGAATACCGTCCGCAACCTCATCTACAAGCGCGGCTTCGCGAGAGTGAACAAACAACGTGTTCCTGTATCAACCAACGAACTGGTCGCCGAGCATCTGAAGCAGTTCGACATCATCTGCGTGGAGGACTTGGTTCACGAGATTTATACGGTCGGCGAGCATTTCAAAGAGGCGAACAATTTTCTGTGGCCTTTTAAACTCAATGCACCCACGGGAGGCTATAAGAACGTGAAGAAGCAGTTTAACGAAGGAGGAGACACGGGAAACAGAGAATACCTCATTAATGGATTAATAGCGAGAATGCTGTAGTGGAAAATCGTGTGTAACAACCAAACAAAATGTACCATGTCATGTTTGTTAAAACGAGCCGGGAACGAGCAGGCGGATCGAATTATCGGATATTTTCACTTGCTTTCGAACTGTAAACGACTTTATGCGGTCATGATTGCGATAACGATGGACCACCAGCTAGACTCAACAATAAACCACAATTGTACGCTCCCCGAAATAGAAGAAGAGTTTCCAGTAGATAAAGGCATCAAAGCGAACTGGACATCGCTTAGGTAAACAAATTGGTAGTACTAAGTGGAAAATCGAGGCAAACTGATACAAGGGATTTGTCATCGTCCAGTCCACAAGGGTGACATAAAATTATCGAGTAACTCTGAATGAGGTACCAAAATGGAGGGAATTACAGGGAAGTGATCTTCGACAAAACAACGCAGGGTTCGGAGCGAATTTGTGATTTCTTGCAAAGTCAAGCCGAGGAGGTAAATATCATCCACGATAAGGTAGAGAGGCGATGTGTCGTGAGTGGATAACTCCTGAACCTCCTCGAAGAACTTTTTGAATCCGTCTCGTATTGTAGATCGTATATAAGACACAGAAGGCAGCTCAGGGCGAGGACATGGCTTGATCTCCTTCCCATCGCGTTGTGTGAGGACGAACTGATCATCTAGATACTCCTGTTCAATTTGGCAAGTACAAATTAATCGTAGTTTGCCATTTTGAATAGCGTTGAGAATATTTACACCCTAGGGAATTATCATTGTGAAATAAGCTTGCATTTCGCTTGCTAATCGTGGAGATATCTTCAAACGACGAGTTGGAAGCCAACACTATAGAATTCGAATCTATTCGAGTCAAAAGAATACTGCAATTGGTACTTGATCGAATCGACAACTGAAGAAAGTGATGGAACAACACCGGTGAATTGAGCCCAGTTGAGGACGCGCAGTATACAATATCATTTCCCAGATCGGTCCCATCACCCCAATCAAATTCTGGGGAAATATGCTTCAGTTCTTCCATTTCAGTGTCATTTCTCTCTAAATCGTGTATGGTTTTCTCTCTCTTTCAACTGTCTCATCGTACTCGGCTTCAACCTCTCACTCCAAAAGCGTCTCCAACAAACAAAACACCACTTCTCAGGTCGATGATGTCCCGATGAAACGGGTCTTTTTCGCATCTCCACCTTCTCTCGCACGGCCTCAATTCCATTCTACACCTCACCCTTCCCCTCCTCTCTCACCGGGCTTCGCTCCAGCGGGTCGTTCGTCACATACATATCCGCTCCCGGCTCGAAAGAGCCATCGCGCAGACTATCTTCAAAGTGTTTCACAAACTTCAATTTATGTCGCATCCACTCGACCGTTCCATTTTCTGCGTTCTCGTCATCCTCTTCGTCCTCTCCATCCACAACATCGCTTCGTCGAGTGGCCAGCAAATCGTTCTGCGTCAGTTTTCGATCGGATTCGTTCGACTGCTTTTCCTTCGTCTCCGAATCGCTGTCGCTCATCGCATCCACCGCGTTGAGCGTGTTTCGAAACGCATCGAGCGCTGCCAAGGTCTTCAAATGAAAGAAAAGGATGAGACAAAACGTTTTGGGTTCGTTGGGAAGAGGAAATGGCTCTTCTTCGCTTGTGCGAACCTGCGAGTTGATTCAAAGTGGCGATGGACTCGCGTTTTTGTTTTGTTTTTTCGAACTAGGGATGAAAGAGGACGGAAGAAGGCCGCACCTCCATCGATTTCTGCTTCATGGCGCGGATTTTCTCCTTCACGCGCTCCTTCATCGCGTCTTCGGAAGACACGGAAGGTTTGGATGAGGAATGAAGAGGATTCGATGATTCATTCGATGATTCAATTGATGATTTTCCATCGTTGGAGGCCTTCTCGTCCTCCTTTTCTTTCATCATCGCTTTCATTTTTTCCACCCACGCGCTTTTTTTCTCCGCCTTCGGATCCTTCGGATCCTTCGCTTGCTCGCTCTGCGCCGCGTGCTGCGCCGTGAGCTCCTCTTTCTTCACCAATCCGCTTGCCTCCTGGAAACTCACCACACCGGATGGGAAACCCGCAGAGCCATTTCCATCTCCATCTCCATCGTCATCATCGTCATCGCTGTGAGCAAAGGAAAGAAGCTTTTTATTGTGAACTTTTTTGATTGAACGCTTCGGAGCAGCAGACGAAGAAGACGCGGTCGAAGGCTCCGCTCGCTTTCTAGATTACAAACAACACGAATGGATGCCTTGGAACGATATCCGGAAATGGATTCGTTATTACAGACACGGATTTAATTATCGGAGGGTAATGAGGACGATCATTGGAATCCGTCGCTAACTCGCCCATTTTTAGCACGTTAAAGATTGTGTTGCCTGTGACCTTGCCAAAAATTGTATTCTTCCCTGCAAGCCAATCCGTGGCTTCTAAAGTGATGAAGAATTGGCTGTGATTTGTATCTGGACGGTTTTCGTTCGCCATAGCGACGATTCCACGGTGACTGAACTTCAAACGAGGATTAAACTCGTCCTTGAACGCCTTGTCATAAATCGATTCACCGCCTAATTTTAAATCGCCAGTAATAGCAAATACCTTGTCCAGTTCCGGTCGGATCGCCACCCTGGATCATCATGTTCTTAATAATACGATGGAAGATAGTGTTATCATAGTAACCCTCCAAGCATAACTGAACAAAGTTCCGACAAGTCACAGGGGCTTGATCACTCCACAACTCGATATCTATGTCTCCGTGAGATGTGTGAAGCACCACCTTTCCATTGGTGTTCGGCTCAACATTGTAGACATACGCCATGTTGGTAAAACCAAAGTTTGAGAGTTCAAATCGAATGAAACGCCCGATCGTTACTATCTCCATTTTGTTCGTTTGACAATGAGTCAGCAGAATCAAACAACGGATTCGGACTCTGCTTGCAGTAACAAGCAACCTTCGACGGAAATTGACGTGTCGATCATTGTACTCCTCGCCTCTGAGACATTGATTCTAGATCCCTATTCACAACGAAAAGGAATTTTTAGATGAATGCTTTGAAGGGATCGATAAGCAGACTTACACAGGAACAATAGAAGTCGATTTCTTGCTTGCTATTTATGTCTAGTTGTCGATATACAATGACCGGTCAACAGATGGGTCCGAACAAATAGTGCAAAAATGGATTGAGCACTTCAAACAAAAGGGAATTCCTTCTGTATATTCAGAGAATACTGGGACGACGGGAGGTTGTGGATTTGCCAAAAACTGCTGTGTGAAACAAAGCCACGGCAAATATCTATGTTTCCAGGATGCAGATGATGTCATGTATCCGGAGCGTATAGCAAAGCAGGTTGAAGTTTTGAAAAATCATCCCAACGCGATCGTAGGCACCCATTTTGAGTATTAGACTGTTTTTCTCCTATTCTATGATTAGGAGAAAGCCAGATAATAGTATGCGCCACTACAGTGAGTGGATGAACAAACTCACAGACGCGGATCTTGAATTGTACCAGTACCGCGAAGTGCTGATCATCCAACCCACGTGGATGATGACTCGCGAAACGTTCGACAAAGTGGGAGGGTATTCGCAGCCAGAATCCGAAAACGGTCCATACCCTGAAGTAGATTCCATCTTTTATATATGTTAAACAAACCAGGATCTTGACTTTTATCACCGTCATTTAGACCTCCATGGTGAACTGCGAGTCGTTCCTGAAGTGCTTCTGATGTACAGGTACAAGATCGAGAGCGAATGAAGTGTGAATAGAATGCACGATCACAACACTTGCGCGAAGATTCCACGACGCAAAATTCTGCGAGTGAAATTGCGAGCTTTGGAACGACGAGTGTTGAATTCGTTGGATCATTTTAGCGTTTGGGGAGCGGGGCGCGATGGCCGCAATTTCGTAAATGACTTAAGCGAGAAAAACCGAAAGAAAGTGGTTTGTTTCGGAGATGTGGATGTGAAAAAGGTAGGGAATTTAGAAAGAATTAGAGCTGTACAATAGATCGGAACGCGCTATCAGAATCCACTGACCGATGTGGATCTCCCCATCGTGCATTATTCGGAACTGCAGCCCCCCGTGATTTGCTGCGTGGCATTGGGGAGAACCAATGGCGTGTTTGAATCCAACGTGCAATCGATGGGGTGGAAGGCAGGCAAAGATTTTTGGTATTTCAACTCGCGTGTTTGTGACAAACAGAATAAAACCAGGCACAAAAAGAAGGATTCATTTGAACCAGGAAACGCGGATCCTTACTCACAGACACCGCGTCAATGATCGCTTTATCTACTTTTTCTTTTGATTTGATGTTTGGATTGCTCACATTCGGAGCCAACGCAACGCCTCGCTGGGTCAACCACTCGCTATTCTCGTTCACCAGCATCGAGAACACGTTCGGCGGCACTTCCTCGTTCCGCATCAACAAAAACGAATTGATTTGCTCCAACATCTGCAGGTGCGTTCGAATCGCTTCCTCGTTCTCTTGGAACGCCAATGCAAAAGCGCCCAGAGAGAACTGAAAGCTTCCGATCTCGAAGTAGCGAGTCATAAACTCCGTGATGTTCGGCGTTAATCGGAAGGGAACCGAGCTTCGATCCGCCAGTTTATAACAATGCTCGTTATAGAGGTAGTCGCCGTGGATCCCCATCGCAAACACGTCGCCTGTCTGGAAGTTTACGACGAGATTGGAAGGACTGAGCGCTTGATTTCTAACGATTCATTTTGGGAAGCAAAGCTACGCGAAGACGAAGGAAATGAACTGGGAATAAGCGTATTGCTGCGTGAATTCGTTTCGAAAGAGATAATAATCCGAAATACAGTACAAATGCGTGAAACTAGGAGTGAAAGCGATTCGACGCACCCAACGTGTAATGAATCAAAACATCCGAAGAAATCATTTTCGGGATTTCCATAGTCGATTGTCGATTTGTGTGGATTTGAATCGCATACTGCAGCTGCTTCCTATCGAACTCATTCCCCAGTTCATTCTGCAGAATCCCAAAAAGCGAAATGTTCTGCGAGTGCGTCGCCACTAGCCGAAGTGTCGGCGCGATGTTCACATAACAAGGAATCGAGGCGTGAAGATGCCGCTGCAAAATCGCATTCGAACTCCCCATCATCTGCTCGAGATGGTGCTGAAACGTAACGATTCGCTCTTCCAACAGCGCATCGACCGCTTGAATCTGCTCGATATCGAAGCGATGCACGCGATACTCGCAATCCACCAACTGGATCGATCGATTATTATGAACGTCTTTATACGCCACTGGCGAGTGATAATGAATGCATTGAATCGTGGGGCTGCTTATCCCGACGCTATATCGCTGGTACTGCCATTTGGGAACCGAAACATAGCCAGGCAAGAATCGGTTTTGGCTGACGATCATTTCCAATGTGTAACGAAGGAAGTCCAGCTTGTATTCCTTCAGCAAGAAGTTCTTCCAGAGCAGAAGTCGCTCGAAGAGAAGCTGATTTGTCGCGGGAAAATTGGGGTTCGAGACGAAGAAATCGGTGGACAGACACGGCGAGAAGTCCTGTCGAAACCGATTGACGTATTGATAGACGAAATAGAACGTGGACGGCACCGTTTTGGACAGGCAGAACGAGCAGGCGATCAGATTGGAGAGCGTTTCGCGGAGTTTCGGACTCACTTCGCGCGCGAGCAGCTCGATTCCTTCGGCAGCGAGATCGGAATAAAGAAGATCCAGAATGCGATCGATCGCAGAGAGAAGTTCGAGGAAAGGGTTGTGAGGAATCGCGTAGAGCGTGTCTAGGAAGAGAAGCAGCTGCGGGATTTGCTTTTGAGGGAGGGATCGAAGCCGATTATACGCGACGGACACACTCTATTGGGTAGAACCGCGGGAAATGGGATACTTGGAGCGAAACGGGCGGACGAAAAGGGGATTCGGAGGGGAAAGGAGCGGCCTAGACGTTAGGAAGAGTCGAGAATCGCACGGCAGAACCTTCGATGGATCCGCTGAGAAGCGTGGTCTGCATGAGATTGTAGTCGGTGGTTTGCATTCCAGCGTTCATTGCGAGGACGGTGAGCGGATAAAACACGACTTGCGGATACTTGGCGATCAGTTTTGTGATGACGGGCGTGAACAAAGCGAACTGCGCTTCGGAGGGATAGGAGAAGAGGAGAGGAAGGTACCACAGCCAGACAGAGTCGCTGATGCTCAGGACGTTGTTGGGATCGAGCAGGGCCGCTTGGTTTTCATCCACTGCGCTCAGAACGATCTGAAGGAACCGGTCGATCGACTTGAAGTCCCAGGTCTTCCGCATAAACACGTTCATGCAGCACGCCACGCAGTTCTGCGCCGCTTTCGCGTCATGCGATGCGGTCCACTGCTTGTAGTACAGATCACTCAGGTTCTCCCAAGCAGAGACGAAGTTGCAATCCGCATGGACCGCCTTCCAGAAGAGCGCCATCGCCTCCTCCGTTTTGTCTTCGACAAGTCTGTAGTTCCCTTGCAGAGTGAACACGTTGGCGGTTTGCGTTCCGTTCAGCAAATCCATCGAGATGCCGTCGAGGTCGGTGAACACGGAGGAATTTCTCATCTTCAGCGCGATGATGATTTTGGCGCGCTCGGTCCAGCGACGCAGCATCCCCGAGACGTTCCGCGGATCCACCGAGACGAGCTTTAAATACTCGGCTGCCATCATGGGAACGTTCTGCTTGCGCGCGATCGATACGAGGCGAAGCGTGTAACTCGCAGGACTCAAGAGTCGTTTGAAATTCTCGCTGGGATCCGAGCGAAGCAGAACCGAAGATAACGCGCTTCGCCAGGAGAAGAGATCGTCCCACATGCAGAGCGGATCGGAGGGACTCAGAAGACACTCGTTGAAAGGCTTCAGCACGAGCTTGATGGTGTTTTCGCTGCGCGATTTGTGGATGCTGATGAGGTACGCGGAGGTGATGATATCGGAATAGCAGTAGAGAAGGTGAAGAACCGGATCGTATTGATTGGTAGGCTGGTAGGGAAGCATCTGGAAAATCGCTTGGAAGAGCGGCATGCGGGGAGCGAGGAACTTGCGCGACTGACTCAGTTGGATTAGGCTGCAATGAGCTTCGATGATTTCGAGACGCAGAGAATTGAGATTGAAGGATCTCTCCAGAGGTCGACTGAGAATCACCTTGACATTGCTGGGATTGAGAGATAAATCAAATTCTCACTTCCACATATTCGCTTTTTCCAAGCAATACAACGCCAGCCCTGTGTCCGTGTTCAGCTTCAAGTATTCAAGCAATACGCGCCACTGACACAAGTTCACCGCACACTCTTTCCAACAATCCTCCATCACCCACAACGCCTCGCTATTATTGATCACATTCTCGTTTCGAAGCCCCGCCAAATACGCCACTTGCGCCACCTTAAAGTTCCCATAATTCTGCAACACCGCTCCATTGTGGAGCTCCGGAATCTCCATCGATTTCACCATCGCTGCGCACGCGTCTTTCTCGTTCAGACTCCGATAAATCTCGTAAAGACACCGCAGATAGACCTGCTTTTCCCGCGGGTCCTCGCACTCCGCGATCATCTTCTCCAACAAAATCGACGGCTGCGACCCGCCCACGTAATGTGTCGTCAAGTACATCAGCAAAACGGGCGGGATGTGAGGCAGCGGCTCGCACCGAATGAAACTATCGAGCAAAACCTGCACGCCGGAAGTGGCCTGCAACGACCCGTAGCGCGACGTGGCTTGCTGACAGAAGGGAAGCGAGAGGTTCACGCCCCATTGCTTGTAGTCCTTGTCCAGTTCCTCCCAGCGCGAATGGAGCGAGTTTCCGAGCTTGGTGTGCATGTCGAGACTCAAAAACTTCACGATGCTGTGCGTCAGCGCGGTTTGTTCTTCGCGCGAAAAGCGAGACCAGATGAGCGGAAACGCGTCGACCCACAAACTACCAATCATTTTCGTTGGCTAGGGAGTACCAGGAAGCGATGCGGAAGTCGCCATACGCCAACTCCAGAATGGAGTCAGCCAACGCGGACTGCTTCAAGGTCTCGCTCTTCAGAATCGCGTGCGAAATCTGCTTGATGTACTCGGGGACGGTGTCGCTGGGAAGGCCTGTTTCGATCTCTACCGCGGGGAAATGGAGCGTTTTCGAGGAAAGAATGGCGGGCTGGTTGAGATCGGTGGACTGAATCAAGATCTCGACGAAAAGCGGAAGCCACTGCTGCTTGGCGGAGAAATCGGAGGTCTAGGAGTGATGAGAGAGACGAAGAGAAGGGGATTACGATGTTGAATAGGAATTGAAGGCGGGCGAAATAATCGACGGGGAGAATTCGGTAGAAAAGAGGTCGGAAGAGGGAGCGAATGGAGGAATCGACGGAGGTCATGCCGACAAGAATCAGGTTGCGAAGCTTCGAGACGGTGTCGGTTTGGGGCGTGGCGTTATTCGCTGCGTCCTGCGGGTCAATCGATTTGATTTTGCCTACGAAACGAACGCAGATCATGTGGACGAATCTCCAATAAATATTGAAAATGCTGATGAACTGCGTGTTTTCGGGATAGGGAAGAACGATGCTGACCACATTCAATATCCGGAAGAAATCCTCGTTTGATAAAGTCTGCTCCTCTCTGTCGATCCAGTCTTTGATCAGCAAAAACAAGCGATTGATGATCTCCGTGTTCGTGCTGCTGTTGCTGATGAAGAACGAATAAAAGAGCGAGCAGAAGAACGAAACGAATTTCGATTGAAACTCGATCATGTAGCCGACATTGCGAGCCATGATTTCGATTATGATGAGCAAACTGTACACCAATTCGATCTCTGTGAGCTGGGGGATGGCTGGCAGATCGAGCAGTTCGAACGAAATGCTTCTGCGCGTTCGTCAAAAGAAAAAACGACCTACGGTGTTTGCTTTTTGGGGACGAAGCCGCGGCGATTGTCCCGCATCGCAGGATTCGACATGCACTTCACGTATAACTGCTGTAATTCCCTGCCGAAATACAGCAAATTCGCTGCGAAAAACGAGACGGCTGCGGGCGTTTTTTGCACAATGCTCTGAATCAGATAGATCAATCGCCAAATCCGAGTTGGGTTTTGGAACGTATTCGGAGTGATCAATTTGATGTCCGTCGAGAAAAGATGAAGCAGCGTGTCGCGAATCCCAGTAAACAGTTCGTCTTTCTGGCTCTCGTACTGCGTCGTACAGGCGAAAAGCTCGGGAAGCAGCTCGATAAGCGAGCAGAAGATGTAATCCTGATCGACGTATTCCAACGTTCGCTGAATTCGCTCCAATAACGTCTTCGCGTTCTTGTCTAAAAACCCGAGATGATTGTTTTCCAGTGCGATCGCGGAGATCCGAAACGTCACAATCAGCGGCATTGCCATTTGATACAAGCGTCGATCCGTGGGACCTGCGCGTCAGGACGGAATGATGGCGGGATCCTACGCTCACCGGTGTAGAAAAGAAGCGATCGCTGATGCTGCGAGAATTGCTGGGAAATGACGTTTAGATCGATGGGGATTTCGTTGCTGATCGAGAAGATGGTGCGAATCAATGCGAATCCGCGCTTGCAAAGCGTTTGCTCGCCGTACGTCATGGAGTGAAGGAGAATGATGTGGACCGCTAGATTGAACGATTCAACGAGGAGGAAGGAATTGATTCCCTTCATTTTGGGATCTGGAAAATGAGAAAGGCGTGTGATGCGTACCCATCGTCGAATCTTCGCGTTTCTGCCGGAGAAGGAATGAGACAACGACACAGAGAATATCAATATAGAGCTTTCGGTTGTTGTATGCATTGCGACTATTGACGCTTAAAAACCGAACGCGATTCAGAATAATCTGCGAAACCGATTTGTGAGTCACATAGAAGAACTTGAGATTCTGCACGATCAGATTCAGAATATGAATTTGCTGATCTTTGAATTGCTCGCTTGTGCACAATCGCTGTCTCACTTGCAAGAAAATCTTCTCCTTGTACTCCTTTCCGATTTGATTCAATGAAGGGAACAGCAATCTCGCCGACTTCAAAACCAAATCTTGGTTTCGGTTCTTGTACATATTGAGAATCATCACGAACAGTCGAGACGCATACGCTTCCGAAAACTGAACCGTGTTGGTGTATTGGCACAGAAAGTAAACCGCCCAGGCTTGAATCAAATCGCTCGACGACTCGGAAAGATCCGTCGCGAACTTGAAAATCGCTGCGTGCTCAGCTCGCACGCGATCTGCTGCGAACTTGGCCAGCAGCGAATTCAACTTCAGCAACGTGCAAAGGTAAGGAATTGAATGGCTTTCGGTTCGCGTGTGGAACGAAGGAAGGAATTCGCGAAGATACGGCGATAAGAACGCGTCTGGAATCGCGATGGTCAAGTCCATCGCTGGATTGTTTCCAGTAGCGGCGAGCAGCGGAATGATTGAATACTCGATGATGCATTGTTTCTTTTTCTCACTCAGCGAAGCATCGTTCAGAACAGACAGCAAGTCGCTACGATTCAGTACGAGAATCAAGAAGGCTCACATCAGCACGCTTCCTCTCTGCTCGGCCGTCAGAACTGCGGGGAGTTTCGTCGCGAAATAGTTCTTTAATGTGCTCATGGAGCTCAGAAGCACAAACGCAAACACGATCGCGAGGCGATTGGAAATGTGCGGATCCTACGATCAAACAAAACAAACGCGTCAAACGAATTCTGAAAGCATGCAGTTGTAAATAATCGAAGCGAGTTGCTCCAACACATTGTTGTTGTCTCCTTCATACGTCGTAATCGTATCGATTTCATCGAGAGAAAGCGAGTTTCGGATCGCTTCGAATCGATTTTGCGCGTCGGCGATCCGCTGCTCGATGATGCTGATTTGATTCTCCCAGGATTCCACGAGAAATGCGCGAATGCGAGGAGAATAAATCTCGGGCAGTTCGGAGAGCGCAGTCGAAAGCTACGAATGAATCGAGACTCTGAAAACCAAACGAGTTGGAGAATCACGCTGATAATCAGATTCGCCTATTTGTTATCTCAAAACGCAACAAAAAAAACTTTATATGAATGAGGAGTGTGCATTAGCTGCGTCACCAGACTTCCAAACTTGTCCCATTCTTGAATGACATATTTCAAAAAGACCTTCAAATCGCAGTCCAAGAACAAAACGTAAAGCGACTGAGTAGCCTGGCTGAACGGATCGTACGGCGAAACCGAGTATTCTGGGAGATTCCCCATCGAGGAGTAGAGAAAGTAGAGAAAAGAGGCAACGACTTCGGGATTGCGATTGACCAAATTCGCCATGGAATCGTTCTATGAATCAAAAACCGTTTTGGATGGCGACGATCACGCGGATGTTCGATAGAAACGGACATTGCCGATTTAGAATTTCGATGAGCGGATTGTGGATCTGAAGAAGATCGTCGCACTGCGAGATTGTGATGGTTCCCTTCCCTAGAATCCCGTAGAGCTGGCAGATCACGTTAAACACGGACTTCTTCACGATTTGAAGCGTCTGCACGAAATGCTCTTTGATTTTGAGAAGAGCTTGCAGCGTGGCGGAAATGATATTCTCCTTTCCGGCCTCATCGAACACGTCGAACACGAGTCGAATGCGTCGTAGATAGTGCGCAGACACGTCCTTCCCATCCGTCACGTCCTGTGCCAATTGTTGAAGCACTTCCACATTGCTCGCCGCATCGAAATACGCGAAACTGCTCGTTCCCGGATTCAATGATCGGATGTACGGGAGAATCGGAGCGACAAGATCCGTCACGTAGTCGCACGCACAGTTCACAGAGGGGTACAGACAATCGTAGATCGCTTTGTTCAAAGTCAAACTGTACGAGAGAGAGTCGGCGTGGGATGCATCGGGATGGTCGATCCGCTCTTGGCGTTGAAGAATGAACACCTGCAGCAAGCGAAGCACGATCACATACATGTCCACTTCCTGCGGATGGCCCCAGACAAAATCGCTTCCAGTCAGCGGGATGTAGTACTCGCTCGTGTCTAGAAGTGACTGCGTTGACGAGCACAGCAAACAGTCGGTTGGGGTGATGGATCGAATCTGCTCGTCGATGGTGGAATCCGGACCGAACAGCTGGACGGCTTTGGAGACGACGGAGAGAACGATGGGGTCCAGAACGGAGAAGATGTGAAGACGAAGAGCCATTTCCATTGTGGAGAACACGCTAGATGAAAAAGGAGAAACAGAGAAACCTCATTTGGATGTGCGGAACGACTTTTCCGACAAGTTCGAACTCATGATGCGTCTTGACCTGCTCTTTGATTTCTTTGATGAGTTGGTTGGTAGGGTCGAATTGGTAGAGCGATTCGATCGTTTCGCGTGCAAATTCAGACGCAGGACCGTAGAATCGAAAGAGCGAATCGACCAGCGTGACCGCGAAATCGGTGCGTCGTTTCGAAAACAGTTTCCTCTCTTGCTCCAGGAAGGCGATGACTTCCGGATCCCCGCTGTCTTCCATCGAATAATGACTGATTCTAATGAATCGAACGAGCAGAAAGAGAGCATACGATGGATCGATTTCGATGGAAAAGACCTTGACGAGAATGAGTCGAACCAGTTGGCGCGATGTGTTCATGCAGGATACGACGTATTCGGGCGGTGCAACCAGCAATAAATCGATGATGCATCGCAAACAAATCGGAGCCATTCGACTCACGACGACGTCGGAGAGTTTCGCACACCACGGCAGAAACACTTTCAAGCAATTCATCTACACTTCATCCTCCGCTTCGCACGCTCACTTTATATCTCCAATCGCTAATGACCGTGTGCTTGCTCATCTCCATCATCGGCAATTCCACCGAGGGAAGCGCCACCCACCTCAACTCGCCCTTATCGTTCAGCAAATGCAGCAGCACTTCTCTCATGTACATAAAAACGTCCAGAACAACATCCACCACATTGGGAATTTCGCGCTCCAATAGCGCGATTACGCCATTCAGAAGCAGCTGAGGCGATAAGTAATCCACTGGGAAGTCCATCATATAGGGAGACAGCGAGGGGACCACACCGCTAACCACCATATTGAGAGCGTGGTAATGCTGAGAAGGAACGCGAGGCTCCACTTCTTTGGGTGTTTTGATCGTGTGGTTGAGCATTAAGCCGGTGAGATAGCAAACGATGCGTCGGAGAATCGTCGACGCCTCGTCGCGAATCTCCACATCGCAGCAAGCGAGGAGAAGTCCATAGAAAAGCAGCGACAAAATATCGTTTTCCTGCGACTGCACGATGGGATGACGCTTCACAGAATCGGGAGCAGTCAGCGGAATGCGCAAATGCTTTGCAATGGTGGGGTGGAGCAGCATTCCCTTCTTCTCGCAGCAGAGATAAAACGTGTTCTCTAAACTGCGCACAGCGATCAGTTTGTAATGCTTCCGAATGTTTCGCATGTGCAAAATCGACGTGGTGGAACATGCGATCGTTCGGCTGAGTTTGACCTCCGAATCGCCCAACGACTTCACGATCAGGTTTCGTTCGATCAACGAAACAGCCAACATGATGTAAGGGTCCATCGGGAACAAAATGGGTGCTTGGCACTGAACCAAAATCTTGCGCGAGAACGAAAAACTCGTCAGATCGATGCGGTCTCGTAAAATGGTCCGCGTTTGGCCTCCCAATTGGCCGATTAGTCGAATTACGAGCGTCGTAATGGAGCTGTTCGACGAGGTATGAAGAAGATTCGAGAGCGCCGACATAAACCGCGACTTGAAGGGCTCGCGCGCTATGATCATCGCCATGGAGTCCAGCGATGTTTTGCTGAAGAAAGCGTTGAAGTAATTGATCGCTATCTTACATCCAAAGAGAAACATCCACCTGATTTGACAAGCGTGTCGGGACCAGTCAACGCGCGGATATAAAACGGCATCAGCAGGTTGAGCAGCTGGAGAAGACTGCTTCCGCTCCCGATGGGGAGATGGAATACTATTTCGTGGATGCGTTCACGGATCTGGCTATCGGGACAAGTGTGTTCCAACTGAAGCAATTGGGGAATGAGATCGGGGTAGAGAGCCGCTAAATCGTTGGGAAGTTCGGTCAGCTTGGCTTGCCGGATCGAATTGAAGCAGCAGAAGAGAAGGTCTAAGTAGGGAGCCCAGTTCTGTGAGTTGTTTAAGCGACGAAGGCATTCTGTAACGAGTCTCTGGTGGTCAGAAAGAGTTCTAAAAAAGGACTCGTAGGTGTGGACGAAGCATCGATTCCTCGATGTTTTCATAATTCAGACGCGTGCCGAAGATTCGGAAGAGCGAAATCAGAATCGGAGGGTTGTTCGTGTCTTTATCGAGCTCCTTCCAATCAAATCGATTCAAAGAAAGATACGTCCATGTTGGAGATGATGAAATCGATTAAGACGATCGATGTGTAGTGCGTGCTCAGCGTTTTCGAAACCACATGCCGAATGAAATCCAGCAAGATCGGGTTCTTCTTCGTGCATTTGTAAATATGCGGAAACGCTGTCGCCAATACCGTTCGCTTTACATCTCCAGGAAGCGCGCTCAGCACGTCGGAATAATGCTTTATGCATTCATTCAGCTACAATTCACACTCTCTTTCTTTCATTTCTACCTGCTCTCTGCTTTGGTTTCCGTCCAGCGTGAACAACTCACTGCAATCAAAAATGCCCACCAAGTAGCGATAAATCAGAATAATCAGCTCGTCATTCAAAGGAATCGCTGCAGAATCCACTGCCGGATATTCGGTTCGCGACAATCCGCTTTCTTTTGAATGAACGGACTCTTCCTCCGTCTTCTGCATCGCCGAATCATCAACATTCGGATGATTGTAAAAGTTCACGATCTCCGTAATCGCTATGCAGATCTGCTGAAGCAGCAATAGAGTCGGGAATCGGGACTCATTCACCACAATGTCGCCTAATTCGGCATCGAAGTTCGATGGAACCATTCGAATGCCGGATTCCTCGTACGGAATCATTGGAGGATTGGAGTCGATTCCATTGGCACAATCCAGAAACTTTGTATTCGCATAGATGTACGAATCGATCGCTTTCTTCGCGTTTCGAACCTTCGAAATCTATCCATGACGCACTTTTTGAATCGAAACTCGCTTGATCACTCTGCGGATATCCACGATTTTGCGAACATACGTTGTGCAGAGCCGATTCATCAAGAGCACTTCGATTCACTCTCCATCAAGACGCCTACACACTTCATCGCGATGAGCCGTGAGGTGCAATCGCATGACTCCAACGAGCTTTGTGAGAATCACGATGAGCTTTCGGGAGAGTTCGAAGTCCGCATCGGGATGCTCGATGTAGACGCAGTAGCGAAAAACGATGTTTTGCAGGTCTTGAATGGAGAGTTCGTTGCAGTAGAAGACGATGATCCTGTTCAACGTGCAGAAGCAGAGCTCGGATTCTTGCAGTTTTGCGCTCGGAAACTCGTCAAAGAGGATCCCGTTGTTCAGCAGGAAGGAGAGATGGCGAAGAAAAATGCGTGGCACGTACTGATCGGAACAAAACGACTCCACGACGTTCAGTAAAAACATCCGCAGCATGCTCTATCGTTAGTATGAGAGACCCAATCCGCACGTCTGATTTGGGGAAGTAGACGAAGAGCTGAAGAATGTAGGAGGCGACGCGATCGTATTCCTGAGTCTGTGTGATGTTGAATCGACGGAAGAGATTGCCCATGTACGATAAAGAATAGACCAATACGCAAAGATAAAGCACGTATTGGCGACTGGAAGTGGAGGAAGGAGGGTAAACCGGGAATGAAATCATTTGGAAAAGAGAGTCTAGAGAGAAGGGAAATGGAGAGAGAAACGGAGAAGCGGATCGCGATGCGTGGACATGAGTTCGGGGAAAAATAAAAACAGTTTCGATACGAAAAAGAGGCTTCGTTCGAGCACTAAAATCGAATTGGAGACGGGGCAGATCTCCGTGTTCTATGTTGGAATTGCCGAGAAAGCGTACGGTGATCTCCGGAATCGGATTGGTTCGGGAGAGAGGAGCGGAGGATTGAGAGCCAGTGTTTGATGCCACAGTGGATGATGGTGATGGTGATGGTGCTGCTGCTGCGGATGATGTTGATGGAATTGGTGATATGGAAGAAGAAGAAGAAGAAGAAGAAGAAGAAGATAAAGGTGGAAATGATGGAGAGGAAGAGGGTGGAAGTGATGGAGAGGAGGAGGATTGTGATTGTGTGGTGCCTGGCTGGCTCGATCGAATCGATTCGGCAATGAGTCTGGATGATAAATTTGAAGAAAAGGTGGAGGAAGAATCTATGAGTGAAGAGAAAAAAGAAATCGAACAAACCCAGTCGAGGATTTCATCATTAAGCTTTGTCTACATATGAATCGATTGCTCGATATATATATATTTACATGAATAAATCGATCAGCATTCCGATCAAAGTTTGAATACAACTGCTCCAGCGTCGTCAAGTACGAATCAGCATCTTCTTTCTCACAGGACTCTCCAGATATCAGAATAGAATGAATAATCGAGATGATCTCCTTTCCGTTTAACTCATTTTCTTTGGCAAAGAGCTATATGACTCACACAACAAAGCCATGTACAGAGAAGCTCAGTTTCAGAATCGATTTTTTTAAATTTTTGAGTGGAATAAACGATGAAACCAATTTTTTTAATGTTAAGAGGCATAAACTACAAATCGAAAACACCGCCATATTATTACAATCGAATACGATGATTATAATCGTCTTTGAAAGAAATAGGAATATATGATAAAATCTGCTCAATACAACGATAGAGTTCTTCTATATCCTGTATCTCTTTTACGTAATATAACCCATTATATGCGAATTTAACGCGCATCCATAACTAGAAAAATCATTTCTACAGCCCAAGTAACTCACTGTACGAGAATCAACTGTCAGGTCCTTCAGACTTGCTAATATCCTCTTGTCGATCGTGACGGTTGACATTTCTCGTTGGATTTTTCTTGATATAGGAAAACCCAAAAACTACCAAAAATATGACCGATTTGTGGTATAAAGATGTTTGATTAAAATGGAGCGGTCTTCGATGTTGCATTCTTCATTTTCGTCCGATGGCTGTTGATTGCGATACGGTGGGGCCTAATATGTAGCGTTTTTGGCTTGCGGATTTGAAAATGGGTTTTCTGTGTTTCAATGTCATCCGTTCAAAAAACTGTACTCTCGAAGTAGTCTAACTTGTGGATACTTTATTATAGCATTTCAGAAGGGAGGGATCGGGCTCATCGAGCTGTTGGACCACTCGAATATCGTAGCCATGGTAGGAGGTGGAAAGAAGCCTCTTTTCTCTCCCAATACTGTACCTTTCCTCGTTTACTCTCATTTTAAGGTTATGCTATGGGACGATGCAAAGGCAAGATTTGTGGGAGAAGTAAATGTGAATATGAAAGTGCTCAGTATCTGCATTGATACAAAACGGTTTTGTGTGCTTTCTCTCTCTCATATTCAGCCTTGTCGTCGCAACGATTCAAAAGATATATGTCTTCGATCTCAGTACCCTCACAAAACAACAGGAATACTCTACCTACGAGAACGAATATGGTCTTGTAGCGATCAACAAAAAGGTGATGGTCATTCCAGACAAAGGTCGGGGCGCTCTCCGCATTCTGGTTTATTCTTCGTCCTCTATTTACCTTCTCTAGAGCAACAACTCGGGTTTGCTTCACTTAGAAGCTCACGATAATCCAATTCGGAGCATTGGACTATCGCATTGCGGTTCTCTCTTAGCGTCCGTTTCTGAAAAGGGAACGCTCATTCGCGTGTACAATGCAAGCAATGGCGAGCGAATCCAAGTGTTCCGACGAGGAATCGACAAGGCCTCGGTCACTCATCTGCTGCTTTCGAAAGATGAGAACTATTTAGTGTGTGTTACAGAGCGACAAACCATCTATGTGTTCCAGACCTCCGAAAGTGGCTTGTTTGGCTCTCTCTGCGATCGTAGATGTCAATGCCACGTCCCTCACCACCATTTTCACCACAGAAAACAAGTATATCTCCAAGCTTCAGGTCTCGTTCTTAATGTTTGGCCTATGGAATCGGTGGGTGATGGATAGAAGCACGCTGTACATGGTCGATTCGTCGTCTCTTTTCGTCGTCTCCATCAGCGGAAAGCTCTATCATTTGATGCTCAACAACGAGAGTCAGCTGGTGTGCGACATGGAAAATGTTCTTTCTCTGTGGGCTGTTTTCAACAAACACAAGATTGGCTCTCAGTTGCAGAGCTCTCTTCAATCACTTGATGTACACGACGGTTGTATTCAGCGCGGTTCTCTGTGTACAAACGCGCTGCCTCATAGTTTGCAGGAGATAGTGGATTCGGATCACTCAAGAGAGACTATCAATGACCAAAGACACACGACAACTACTTGGATCGATAGTAAAACTGCGGAAACATCGTACACGGGACTCCACTGACTCTGAAGAATATCTAAACAAATGCGACCATCGCCATAAACTAGATCAAACAAGTTGATAGCCCTCATACCGTTGGGATGAAAGATTCGAGTTACGAACTTCACTTTAGGAGCCGAGTTGGGGTAACTATCATCAAACTTGAGATGAAGCTTAAAAACGCCTAGAAAAATGACTGCTACTTTCTATCGCAAACCTCCTTCAAACGGTGTGTCACTGGGTCTATAAGTTAGGTCAATTCCCAAAAAGAATACCCAATGATTACGCCTTCCCATGACTATAAATTATAAACAAGAAACAAAGAATACATAAATATCGTTATCTATCGGTGCAGCGGCAACTCCAGCAGGCGGATCGCGCTTTAAATTCTTCAGATCTCTTAGAAGACGTCTCCCGGACTCGTTTAGTGATATTTTTGACATAATACAGTATTTATTTGGTCTTTCGAACGTTCTATAGGGAGTTTCAAGTCTCAGATAGTTATGTTGACTTCTATCAAGTTCCAATTCCTTGTTGTGTGCTCAATAGGGAGTGCACTACTATTCAGTCTATGTAGGTTTCCACACTGAAAGCTACCAGTAGGTTTGCCGCGCAAAATTAAAACGGAAAAGGAGAGTCACATAGCGATTATCGATGCCGGAAGGTGCTGTTTACGAGTTCAGATCGAATGTAGTTCAGGAAGTCGACTAATCGTGTACCAACGCGCATTTCAAGAGCAAGCTCGAAATGTTACACAGGTTTGCATGCATACAATCGAGCCTGGACTTAGGTATGCCCATTTTTGACTGCCTTGATGAGTTCGTATGTGTCAGATTTGCAAAGAGTGGATGGCTATATCGAGAAGCTGGTTGAAGGAGTGCGTTCGTGTATTCAAGGGAAAAGTGAGTATAAAACCGAAATTCCGCTGTATATTTATGCTACAGGGGGTGTCAGAAAGCTATCGGACACTGACCAACACCAACTCTTTGCATCTATCAGAAACTCTCATTTTCCTTTCCGAATCCATTCCAAGACAGTTCTGTCTGGTAAATCGATATATTTTTGATTTCATTTAGGAGAGCAGGAAGCAACGTTTGGTCTTTTCGCAGTGGCTGCACTGCATAATGCTGTGTCTCACGTCGATTCGACTTTAAAAATCGATGAATATAAATCAAACAACAAAGAAAATGAATCAAACAAACCAGAGACAGACGACTCATCACACCAGATGATCCCAACCAACTCGCATTTATATACTACGCCACATCACCAGTTGCCCATTGGAGCCTGCGATTTAGGAGGCGAAAGCTTCGAAATTGGCTATTTCTCCAACATCTCGTCTCCATCACCCATCGTTCGCTCGTTCAGTGCGTTCGGAGTTCAACGAGCCGTTGACGCAGTGCTCAGCAAGCTGAACTACACTTCGGATGTGGTTGTGGACCATCCGTGCTATCCAGTGGGGTATAGCGAAATAAAGGGGAGTTTTGTGGTGTGGGGAACAGGCAGGGTAGAGTATAGAACACACGTTGAGCATAGTTTGAGCTTTGCGAACAGCTTGTTAAGCAGGTGTTTAGGGAAAAAGCCAAGGAGGCAGAACTAGACAGATTTCAATTACCAGGGCAGAAGACGTTGTTTTACGGAATGTCGCTGCTGTTTTATGTCGCTGACTATTTTTCTTTTGCTCTGGATCCAAGAGAGAATGGAGTCGGGCATGCAGACGGAACATTGTACAATGCCTCCGAACTCTTCGATCAGATGAAGCAGGTCAATTCCTTCTCTTGGAGGTAATGCAACTAGCAGTAGATGAGTGATAGAGAGTTGTTGCATCGTGTGGGAAGTCGCCATCAATACACACCTGTCCATTTGCTTCCTCTCCGAATGATCCATGTTTTTGTATTGTACTTCATTGAGGATAGGGCTTTTGGGTTTGTGAAGTACTGTCCTTTGTATCGAATGACGCCATGACTGGCAACACGATACAACTGGTGAAGAACATTGATGGGAAGAATGTCGAGTGGAGTCTAGGCGCAATGTACACTATATTTTGTGTTTTCTTCAATATACATTGGAGGGAAATGTTGCTTACCCTACAGTTGCAGTGAATTAAATGGAATCTATAAATTCAGTAGGCTCTCCTCAGGAAAATAATGATATTACGGATGAAGTATGCAGCAGGATTGCTTTTCATACCTAGGTGATCTGTTCACTCTCTATCACTGGAATTAAGTAGTACCCCATCTTTCCAACTAACTGGTAGTGTTGGAATTGCATATTACTTCCACAACAACGAAAGTGTCGAAATGTGCGAACTCCCGATTGCAGAGAATCTGGAGCTGTTCCTATCCAACCGTAAATATCAGAGAACCCATTGATTCTAGTTTTTACAAAAAGAATGCCAAAGAAAATCCTCTTGAAGTGGATATGGTGTAAGTGTCTTACAGGTAGTGCGAAAGTGTCCGAAGATATACCCAACACAATCAACGAATCATGTAAAGACATCACCTACGAAAACCCTCCCCAAATCATTTTTCAAAAGCCTATTTTCTGTATGACTGTGCCTCTCTACCAACCTAGATGACTACAAAAAAGCCTTAGAACGGATCACGGAGGTGATCTCACCCGACGCATCGGAGGCATCATCATCATCCCAAATCCCCTCTTCTGATTGTCCTCCTTCGGTGTTTCTATCCAGCGCCATCGACATCGACGCCAAGGAAATGATCCGTGCTCTGGGCTGTCTCCTCAACTACGTCAGCACTCTGCAATCGAACGAACTTCTGGAGGGTGACTCGTTCCAAATCCGAATCCACGCCTTCCACATTCTCCAATTAGACAACTACATGTACATCGATCGCGTAGGCGATTGCCTTCTGTCCTCTCTCATCGCAGCACTCCCTTCACAGCCTGGATATCTACTCGATGGTGTCACACCCCTCGCTGATCAAAGGAATGGGCAGAGAGAAGCAGGGGTTCACGATGTTTAACCTACTGGATCGAACGAAAACAGCGCTCGGGAGACAATTACTGAAACAGTAGAATCGATTTCGAGTGTAAAGTAGATGGATCTTGTGTCCTCTCACCAACGAAAACGAAATCATTGCACGGCAAAACACAATCGAATTCTTTCAGCAAGCGCAGACGAACGAATTAGCGAAGTCGGTGAAGAAGGAACTGCAGCGAATCGGCGACATTCCGAAGATCGTGAAGAAAATCATCGCGTATCAGTGCGGAACAGCAGACTGGCTTCGCCTCATCGACTCAATCCTCGCCGTTTTAGAAGTGGGACGCATCCTCCAAGTCATGCTGCGATACGCTTCGTTTGAATCGATTCATTCCCTTAATCATTCACAGAACAACCATTCCAGAACTCATCGAGCTGGCGCCGTCGCTTCTGCGAGGCGAAGAAATCTCCCGGTTTTCGTTCTTTCTTCAGCAGGTCTTCGATCTGAAGCAATCCGCGGAGAACAAGGAGATGTACGTCCGCGAAGGCGTGGATTCCTCGCTGGACGAGTACCGAGCGATCCAGCAGAACATGCTGAACATTCTGGACGAATGCTCGGTGGCCACAAAGCAGCGGATGCTCGAGCGGTTCCCAGAACTCGCGCGCGAGAACAGTCTCGATGAATGGGAATATGTGTTCATGCCGCGAAGTAGAGAGCAGAGCGATGAAGCAGGATGACGAATAGTCGGATATCTGTTTGTGGCGCCTTCGTCGGTTGTCGGCCGTCTGCAGGTCGATTCCTCCACGTTCACAAACGAGCAGTTTCCGAGCGACTTTCGCTATCAGTTCCATACAGAAGACCGTGTGTATTACAAGACAGAGCTCGCGTTCACTCTAGATGAGGTACTCCATTCATTCATTCATTCATTCATTCATTCATTCAAAACCCGATCATTCAATTCATTCATTCATTCATTCAAAACCCGATCATTCAATTCATTCATTCACTCACTCACTCACTCATTTGTGTAGAAGTATGGAGACATCCATGCCAGCATTATCGATCTCCAAAACAACGTTCTCCAGCAAGTCGCGCAGCGGATCGCTTCTCTCCGCTCCGTCCTCTTCGATATCTCCAGTGTCATCGCAGAGATCGACGTGCTCCTCGGCTGGAGCGAAGTCTGCAGCGAGTGCGGCTATGTTCGGCCTTCCATCCAACACGATTTCACCATCGATATCATCGTTCTCACCCTCTCTCTCTTTATTCACCAACAGAACGGCCGCCATCCTCTCCAAGAACTCGTCACCGATCACTTCATTCCCAACGGGTTCCACGTTTCCACTTTGGAGGAAGTGAACATCGTAGATCGAGCCGAACTCCCCTTCCATCGAGATTCTGACCGGTCCGAACAGCAGCGGGAAGTCGGTGTACCTCAAGCAGATCGCTCTGCTCGTCTATCTGACCCAGATCGGCTGCTTTGTTCCAGCGGAGCGCGCCTCTCTGAGTCTATTCCGCTCCATCCACACCAAATTCAACACGATCGAAAGGTTTGGCTCTCTCGTCCGTCGCTTCGTAGCGTCGCCGATTTCGACTCGTCGTTCACGCAGGACCTCACGCGCATTAGCTGGCTGTCCAAAGCCGTCTCGGAGCGTTCGCTGGTGCTGATCGACGAGTTCGGAAAGGGCACAGCGCCGCAAGGTAGCATCCGCTCCGCTTGTTGACTAGACGGAATCGCTCTGTTTCTCTCTTCGCTCGTGTACATCCACACAACTCACCCTCCTCACTCTCTGTTCATGCTTTCCACCCACTTCTCAGACTATCTCGACCACGAGATCCTGCAGCCACTGCACGCCTCCCTCACCTTCAAGCAAATGAACGTGCTTCTCGATTCAGAGAACGGAACCATCGCCACGCCTCTCTTCCAAGTCGTTCAGGGCGTCTGTCAGGACTCGCTCGGGATCCGCTGCGCGCGCGCGTTCGGAATGCCCCGCGAAGTCACGGAGAGAGCGCAGCAGGTGCGAATCAAGCCACCCTCGAGAGTAGATTTACGACTGCATCCACGAGGACAAGGAGGTCCCGATTGTTCCGAACTTGATCGCTCCGAAGAAGGTGGAGCAGATCGACCGCTTGGTAGACACGCTCTTTGCGAAGGAGGACTGGATGAAGGCCACTCCGGAAGAGGTGGAGCAGTTTATTCAGAGAATTCGAGAGATCGGAGAGATTTAGATTGGGATGTTTGTTGGAGACGGAAGGGTTGGTGGGAACTGGACGATTGTTCAAATTACTACTCACTACCAGGGAGAAATGGGAAGGAAAGGGCAAGACGGGTACGATGATCGAAGAAAAAGCCACGTAGCGAAAAAGCCAACTCGCAAATACAATGACCAATCGACTCCGCATGTTCGTGGCTATAAAGAGGTAGACCGATAGAAAAGTGCGTAACTAGCAGAGTTTCCAGTTTAAAACAAGTGTTGGAGTCTACATGTGGGACTTCGAGCAATGTGATGCAAAGAAATGTACGGGAAGAAAATTAGAGCGGCTTGGTTATTTGAGTCCGATTGGGATCAATTGCTAACACATAGAAGCCATCCGTGTTAATGTGCCTTTCCATGGACTCGTTCTCTCTCCTTTTGGAACGAAGGCTGTGTCAATCGAAGACTTAGTAATTCGCTGGACCAGTTTCTCACATAGGATGTCATTAAGCAGTATGGAACCTCTGCCATCGACTGTTCCTGGGCTCGAATCGATGAAATCCCTCTCGGAAAGCTGAAGAACGGAGTTCATCGCTTGCTCCCATTCTTGGTCGCAGCGAACCCTGTGAACTACGGGAAGCCTTCAAAGCTCACTTGTGCTGAAGCAATTGCGGCTACCTTATACATTGTCGGGCTGAAAGAAGACGCGCTAACCATTCTGAAGCCGTTCAAATGGGGATGTCAGTTCATCTCTCTGAACTACGTATGAATAGGGAAATCTACTCAATAGGAACTTCTGGAAGGATATTCCAAGTGCAAATCCGGAGCGGAAGTGATTGAATTCCAGAACGCGTACATGGAACGAATTGAGCAGGCAAAGGAGCAAGAGAAGGTCATTGATGTAGGAATGAGAAGAATATGGGATGTAGCTGCCCCCTACGGATAGTGACGAATATAATGTGGACTCCGAAGAAGAGTTTGTAGTTCATGGACTGAATCAGAAGCAGTCCCATTCCTATGCTGAGATTTATGGAGACGATGATGAGGAAGAGGAAGAGGAGGCTGATTATTGCGGAGGAGATGAAGCAGAAGAGGCAGTGGAAGAGATTGAGGGTCAGGAGTAGAATTTTCTTTTTGTTTGTTGAATATGAAAAGAAGATGGAATAGTCACTCAGAGACAGCAGATATCAAGGACGGAGGAGCACTGGAGAATAATCAGGCGGGAACTCTGTATCTGTATTGATCCCCGTTAATGTGCAGGAACTATGGCACTACGATGCAAAGAAGCAGGTCGGACGCGTCCTATAGTGGAAATAAGTAACTTTGTTGAATACTGCGTTTAACTCTCTAGAAGTAGTAGCAATGAAAAGCAACAACAGTACCAAATGGAAATCGAACAGTTAAGAAAAGAAAAGGAGGAGTTAGAGTTTCAACTTGAAATTTGCAGGATAGAACGTGATGATCTTGCAAAAAAGAACCAGCAGAGCGATGCTCCTCAAACTGTTCTAGAGACTCGTGCGGTCCAAGAACAGATCCTTGAAGAAGACCGGACATTCGCCTCGCAGCTACTCGCCGAAATATGGAGGGGTACAAGGAAGTGCGTACATACATATTGTAGGAACTTTGGTTTCAGAAAGTGGAGTGGATGCATCGACAGACGCGTAGGTTTACTGGAATCGCCGATTCTGTGTAGATCGAGAGTCGTTGAGTCTTCGGTTGTATTTGAAGTTGCGATTCCGTGAGCATTCGTCTATTTCTGTAGTTACAATCTGTCATGACGACAATTCAATCCAAACGAACCACCTTATCTCCACTTCTTGTCTATCTTTTAAATCACATCCACACAGCCAATGGCGTTTCGATCCTCATTCCCCTTCATCCCATAGAATCTCATTCTTTCCATCTTGAATTCTCTCCTCATCGCCTGTCCCTCCATTCGAAATGATCTCTTTCCACAGTCCAACTCGACTCTTTCGCCTTCATCCAACTGGAAACTTCCTTCCAATCCCACAAACCTTTCCACTCTTTCTCATCCTGTCTATGACGGGACCCTCGACTGTCCCTTGAAAACGCTCCTTTCCTCACTCGAAACCAGCATTTCGCACTGGGAGCAGCACAACGTTTCATTCGTCTCCCTGAATCTGCAGATCGTGTTGAGCTGTATCGCTTGGAAGGCTTTCTGAAGCGCAGGCTACTCGCTGTTTCCGCAGTGGGAATTGTTCCAGCCGATCGTGGTTTCGGTAATGCGGCTGTTCCCCAAGATTGTACTGAAATCATTGGTGATCGATTGTTTGGAAGTGTTAAACCGTGTGTTAACGGAGCCATTGTTGCTGATGATCGATCCCGAAGTGAGAAATCGAATCAGTCTTCACTCTAGGATACGACGAATTTGCTGCTGACGCTCTTTGATCGAATTCGAATTCCGAATATCAATCATAACCAGGACAATAACATATCAGAAGTGTGCGATAACAGCGTTCTGCTGTCCCAATCGCTGCAGCTGCTTCAGTCTGTTGTGTATATTCTGCTGTACAACAGCAGCAACAATCAGCAACTGAGCAACATTCTGCGCGTTACGCTGGTGAGATGTGGGAGTGGCAATTGAGTGTAGAAAGCATACAACATCAGCAATCTGCTGACATTAGTGATTTGTTTGTTCAACATTTTGTATGACGATCATTATGTGAACAAATTTGATGTTTCGGACACACAATTGACGACGGTAGTCTTTTGTTTCAAATGAATACTCGGTAGATTCAATCGATGCTACAAATGGAGACTGCGCTGATTGACCAGCTGATCAAAAAAACGTCGATTCTAGCGATCATCAAGCAAGAAAGTTTGTCTTGGATTGTCGATAACGATCGCAGAATTGTTTGATGAGTTTCGAACCTGCTTAGAAATAATGATAGTTGATACGCAAGTCCCTTGTAGATATCTAAGAATTGCCTGCTCATTCTAGATTTTGGTCCCTGCAAACTGGTCGCCTCGACGATTCTCGCAGAGATTGAGAATGACGAATAATATTTCTCAATGTTGTTTGTTGCACTAACAATCGAAAGAAAATCATAGTACAAACGATCTTTTCGCTTCCAACTCTTCATGGTTCTCTCTCCTTCCTTCATCAAACTCTCTTTGGCTTGTTCATAGCTCCGTCTTTCCCTTTTTATTTCCTTGTAGGTTTTAGAACAATCCTCGCCCTGGACCACCTCTTTGAAAAAAGAAAGGAGTTGCTTTGGAGATACAGCGCTTGCGTTTTTGATGGTAATCCCCCTTTTCCGATTTGCTCCCAATTTGACTCCCTGTCCAGCTATTAGAGTTTCTCTCAACCCATGGACATTCCACACAATGGCAGATCCACAAGCCGACAACTTCTGATTCCCATCTAATCGTTTCATTACTTCGCTCTCACTAAAAGGAACGCTTTCGCTGTCTTTGAATAGTTGAATATTGTTCTTGTGATAAGGAGGCGGTAGATGAACTTCTATTCGATCAGCCAAAGCGTTCTTCATACGAGCCTCATCCCAACAACCGCTAATAACAATTCCCGTTAAATAGATTGGTGAAATGAGTGAAGAAAGCAAGCCTCCTTGTAACCCAAGATGATTCCAGAGGCAGAGCTTGTCACTGCAACTGTAACTACGAGATGGGTCACCTCTTCCTGGTTTGGTTGATAAACAGACAGAATCAAAAATAGAGTCAGGTATTGGCTTGGCTCCTGAATGATGAAAATCGTCATCGTCTTCAATTTTCCGTTCTAAGTGGACTCTTTTAGAATTTCGCTGCTTTGCAAGGTGTATCTCCATAGCTGTCCGCTTTCCATTGGTTTCAGGATACTCAGAGCCATATCCACATGGACTTTGACTAATATACATGTAAAAGTGATAGTCTCTCTTCACTTGCAGATGGAAATCCCCTTCACAAGGTTCAAATACGCAGTCCACATCTCCAGACCGATGTTTCTGAATCTCTTTTATTAAATAATGAATGAAGGATCTGCGGCATAGCACTTCAGCGTGACAGTCATTGACTACAAAACCTTCAGGTGATTGAGCCTTCGCCCCCACACATTTTGTCCCTGTAGCCATACAGACGACTTCTAGATTTCCCTTTTTCTCAAGCACGATGGAAGCTAGGACAGTCCATTCATGAGTTTGTGGCTTTCCTCCATTATTCAGCTTATCGTATGCCTGAAACGTAGCATTTCGAATTCTGGCTGAAAGCATGAAAACAATTGAAATCGAAGAAAGAGTAGAGAACAAATGGAAGTCCAGTATTTTGTTGGCTACGGTAAAAAAAGTTTATGAATCGCTCTCTTTTACTGCTTTTGCTTCTCTCCACTGTTTTTTCGATCCGTAGAAATAAATTAGTATGGTAATAGGTAGCCTGTGGAGAATACACAACGGATTGTTTGCAAGCTGGTGCTGCCTGTACCTTTTTTCTTAGTCTACCAAGCTAGATATTAAATATGTGTATGTTGTATCGGTAGATAGCAAGGACCACGCAAAGAGTATTACCCAGACAGAGTATCAGTATGAGAGTGCCGGCTGCAAAGGGTCTTCCTATCTCTCATTCGAAACAAAGTACTTTCTGGTCTATGGGTTGATTTGAAGGTATTCGGCGAAGTTGCACGCGGGGGGAACAGACGGGTATGACGACTACGATCTGACATACAAGTCTGTGTCAATGGATATCAAGGACAAGGACGTGTTTACAAAGATGGGTTTTCACTGTAATCAGTCAATCAGAAACAAATCTTATGATCTAAAGTACACACGAATTTCCAGTTTGATTCTTAGGAAAATTTCTTGTGATCAAGCGAAGATCCCGTACACTGAAGTTTACTCGAACTCCATTGGAACGACGGTTGAGAATGTGCGAATCCAGTATTCTGATAAAACAATGAAAATCATGGGTCTTTCTGCTCAGAGCAGCGGAATTAATGGTAAGGTTTGTGTTGTGATTGCTAAATTAGGCTGCCCGGGAAAGATTGCTGCTGTGACGATTGCTATTATTGTGGCTGTTGTACTCGTTATTCTTCTTTTAATTTGCTGGTGTAAAAAGACCAAGAACTAGATTGAACTGTTTTCTTCTCTTTTCAATCAGGTCTGTTTGTAACAAACACAGCTATTCCACAAGGGGCACCTCAATCACCTTTCCTCCGAAGCATTCACAGGTCTTCACTTGACAAGCGAGACGAGCCCTAGGTTTCAAAAGATAGAAAAGGTGCTACGTGGGAGCTGCGTTCATCTTCTTCAGAAGTTCAGTCTCAGTTTCACCAGGCTTAGGAAGCTTGTCAAAGATGTCTTTAGGGAACACAACGATGCACTCACCACAAGAGCCACCACCTCCACAGCTACCTGAAGTTCAATTCCAAACATATGTCTTACTCTTAATCTCAACATCGTTGCTCTGTGCGACTTCAAGAAGGTTCTCCTTCGCATCACATTCTACTTCAACTTCTTCACCCTCAGCAGGCTTGAAGGTAAACTCCACTTAGAATTATAGCAGTATAATATCTTAACCTCCAAAACGGCGGACCTGATTTGCAAAACAGGCACCGCGTCTAGCAGCAGAAGGCAACAATCTACAGAAAGCTTGCATGATAATTATTTAGTTTTTATGGATCTCTAACTATCTCGGCTAGTTTCCACTATTCGATGATGTTTACAATAGGAACAAATAGGAAAAAAAACCAGAAGCCAAGATAGCTCAGTTGGGAGAGCGTATGACTGAAGATCATAAGGTCAGGTGTTCGATCCACCTTCTCGGCGCTTTTTTAACAAACAATTTTTGTTGTATAGGAATAAGCAAAATACTATTGAAATAGTCAATAGTATTCAATCAATAGAGTATCTCTAACGTATCACCAGCAATAGAGTGAGTTTAGCTATTTTAAATGGAGGGACGTGCTACAAGACTTCATTCTTATAGTGGCTGTAGTGGTATAGATCTACCATTGTTAATCTGATATTGCACCTCGATATTATTATCTATTGGTCTTTCTGTAAAAGTCACTCTAATTTTTGTACGCTCTTTATTACCAGTTGCTTCTTTCATTCCATTATTATTTGCTTCTTTCATTTCATTATTATTTGCTTCTTTCATTTCATTACCAGTTGCTTCTTTCATTCCATTTCCAGTTGCTTCTTTCATTCCATTTCCAGTTGCTTCTTTCATTCCATTTCCAGTTGCTTCTTTCATTCCATTTCCAGTTGCTTCTTTCATTCCATTTCCAGTTGCTTCTTTCATTCCATTATTATTTGCTTCTTTCATTCCATTTCCAGTTGCTTCTTTCATTCCATTTCCAGTTGCTTCTTTCATTCCATTTCCAGTTGCTTCTTTCATTCCATTTCCAGTTGCTTCTTTCATTTCATTTCCAGTTGCTTCTTTCATTTCATTATTATTTGCTTCTTTCATTCCATTTCCAGTTGCTTCTTTCATTCCATTTCCAGTTGCTTCTTTCATTCCATTTCCAGTTGCTTCTTTCATTCCATTTCCATTTCCATCATTTACTATTCTTGTACCATTTTGGTTTTGATTTTCATCATGTACTACCATTGCATCGGTTAATATATATAGCGGAAACTTGAGCTGTTTTCTAAAATTAAGTAAGATAATCAATTCAAAACGTTTTGCGTAACTTAAATTGCAGTGTAAATTCAGTTCTATTCACAGTAATTACCCATAAATCTCTTCCACCCTCAACTGGAATCGTGATAACCATATCCTTTTTACAATCTTCAATAATCAGATTGATCTTACCTTTCTTCTCGAACCTTAGTTGTTGTATGCTACTTAGCCCTACTAGCTCGAACGTTGTAATCTGTAATTTTATTGTTAATTTTTCCAGGTCATTACACTCTACACTGAGAATAAAACATCTAATCAAAACTTTCGATTCTTAGCTTCTTTAGTTTTGTATCAGGCTGTTTCACGCTAGTAAGCGTACATTTTTGTATTTTATCAATATTTTTAAAAGTAAGCTCTAACGTGTGTTGGCTTTTCCCTAATTTCGTTTGTCCTATCGTAATGACGCAGTCCTCTAGAATGCAGTCTACAAACTCCAGGGAATTTATAGTTAGATCCCCTAATGTCCATGCCCCTCCATGTTCTAGTGTCACTGAAGAGATCCGAACATTCACCAGATGGCCATCCGTTGTGAGCAATTCTAAGATTCGATAAAGGTTAATCTTTTCGGTTTTGTCATAATTCTGAAGGATCATATTCTTGGGTGAGTTATGATTGTTTAGGGGTAAAAAGGAACTGATACCCCCATCCTCATTTAGAATCTCGTTCGTAATACCATACAAAACACACGAGTCTTCACCGGCTCCGAGTGTCTCGAAAACACGCTCTGATTTCTTTTGTCCCTCTCTCGTATCAGAACTAACAATAACGATCAGTTTGTGAGAGTTCTCTTCTTGGTAATACCCATCGTTGTCATAGTATGAATAATCTTCATCCCATTTCAAATCAGGAATCTCTCGATAATACCAGCTCTTTGTCGTTGAGTTTCCAGCTCCTCCCTTGTAGTACACAGAAGGGGAAATGTAAGTGCATGTCTCGCTTGCTTGCAGGTATCCACAACAAAATAACGACGTCTTCCTTATTTGACCACTTACATACTCGATCACTTGCCCATCCAAAAGTCCATCCCGGTAATATTCTCTGAGCGAAACATGTTTTTTAAGTTTGTCAAACTCTTCTTTTTTCAACACGGGAATCGTAAAAAATTGCATTATAGCGTCTTTCTGCACCATCAGCTCTTTGCAGCTATAGAACGTGAAACATTCACCAAACTCGCGGTCGTCTATATATTGTCGAAGCCCAGAAACCTGCTTATCTCTATTGATGAGGAGAAACATTCCCTTCTTCAATCCGTTCTCCCATTTTCCATAGATACGATCCTCCATGATAAGGGGAATCAACGTATTCTCGCTGTCATTCATATACTCCCTTCCGCGACCATTTTTCTTTTTGTTCTTAAAGAATCCCTGAAAAATCGTTTGCTTCCCCTGAAAAAACTTCCCAGAGGACATCTCGGGATTGAGACACATATCCTGTGGATTCGCATCGAAATCAAGATTTTTGTTGAACGTCTGCCACTGATTGCAATAGAAATTATCGAAGAATTCTTCCACAATCTTCTGCTGGTCTGGGTTTCGGTTCCTCTTCACAAATCGTAAGATTAAGAAGAGCTCCTGGGCGCTCAACAGGCGATATTTCGCCAAGTAATTCACCACGCGAGCGATGTAATCTCTTCCATCGATCTTGTTTGTGCAGGCTATCAAATAAAGAAACTCCTGCACCCAGACGACGGAAGGATCCATCGCTGGCGCAGCTTGGTAGTTCTTATTTTTATCCAGTGTGTATTCGTGTGTTTTGATCAAGGCGATAACGTGGAAAAGTTTCTGGAGAGTATATAGCAAACATGGCTACCCAAATATCAACAGCTTGGAGCTTATCATGCATGTTGCCGGGTCTCTTTAAAGAATCGTCAAGCTGTTGGAGACAAGACACGCCAATAATCGAAAGAGCCAGCTCGTCCCGATAGATATCCTTCGTGAGATCGAAATCAAACCCTTACAAATTTATTCCTGTCACGAATCATTATAAAATCACCCACGTATTTATTGAAAGGCTAGTTGAAAGAGATAAAACAAAAGATACTTCGGGATTTGCATCGTATAATAGACGGTGGTGATGCCAAACGTTGCAGCATTCCTTAAATTGCTAAAATCAAAGGAACACAGTCGTAGCAGTACTTGAAAGGACGAAAAATCCATTTCAGACAACTCTTGATAGGCCCTTAAAATATAAGCATTTATATCCGTAACTCTTTCAGGTATCTCAGGAAATTCTCTAATGATCTGGGACAAATCCTCGAAATATTTCTTTTCCCGCTAATGATAAGATGATACTGTACAAAAGAATCCTCACCTCTATAAGTCTATCTTTGTAGGTTTCATAATAGTTTTCTGGATCGCTTTTCAGAGCATCAAACACTGTTGCGATTTCTGTGAGGAAATCCTACATTGAATAAATCAAGAAATTACTCTACATCGTATGTCTTTAAACGTCCTTCCTTTTTACAAATAGGACAAGTCTCTGTACTATCAGGCTTTAAGTGTGGTTCGCAGGTTAAGCAAACACAGTGCTTACAATCTTCGAATATAAATGCATTTTTATTAACTTTGCCACATTTCACTATGAATGGAGAAATAATCAGAATACTCACTGCATCCTCGTAGATCAGAAGCAAGTTTCCCAAAAATAATTCGCATACATCCTGCTAATGATATCTGTTCCGTTTCCATGATCTCTGCGATTGATGAGAGATATAAATAGTTCCCAAAAGGAAGAGATCAGTTTACCATTATTTTCTTACAGGTAGGTAAAGGTTCAACCTTTCTTCCAATTTTAGCGCAGTCTCGATTGGCTTGTGGCGATACTGTGATAGTAGTTGGAAAAAGACGTGCTTCTCTCATCTTTTCATGGATTGGTTTTTTGGCTCATTCCACCATGAGGAACGCATATTCTAATTGCTTGTAGGTTTCAGAAGGCTACAGGTCGCAACAGCTCCAAAGAACGAGTTTCTAGACCTCGTTGTGGTTTTGTGGTTTTGCGTGTATTTTTAGTTTTTAGTATTTTCTTTTCTTTTATCTGTTGTTTGTTGTTGAACAAACTCGAATCTCGTATGAAGCTTCTATTCCTCCAACCCTTTCCATTTGCTGCATGTTGAACAACTCGAAATTAGAACAAAACTACTATTCTGATTCTTATCCTTCTCCGTTCACGATTTTCATCACATTCAGAACGGTTCCAGCGATACACATCGTAAATCCGAAAAACACCATGAACCATGCCTCGATCTTCTTCCGAAGCGTTCCCTTATCTCCCCTTCCCGCTCTGTGCCTCACTCCCTGCCCATTTCCTCACATTAAATACATCAATCCAGGAATCGCGAACATGATCAAGGATCCGAAGAGCGATCCGTTCAATCCGATCACCACTTCCACCTTCGTCTGCAGAATCGCAATCGTCACCGTGGACGCGAGCACTCCGACGGCCGTTCTGCATCACATCATCCCTCCGCGCCTACACAAACCGCAGCCCCAGCGAATGAAACTCCCGCATCGAGCAGAAAATCGAGTGCAGATTGGTGCGCACGGCGAAGTAGGTGATGGGGAAGTGGCAGATGATGCCGAAGCCCAGGCCGATGCGCGCCACCGTGGGCGAGATCGAGTCCCGCGGGAAATTGAGCAGAATATTGCCCTGCGTGTCCTCGCCGAACATCAAATAGCCGCTCACTGGGGATTAGAGAGAGAAAAGAGAGAGAGAAAGTACGGGATACGGCGAGGTAGACGAAGAGAATGATGGAGGAAGCGCCGATGGAGGTCAGCCACATGCGGCCCGGCGAGCGGTTCTTCAGCTCCTACGCGCGTGAGGCGGCGAGGAGAAGGAGGGTACGTAGTAGTAGCGAGGCACGTTGTAGTGGCAGTTGAAGGACACGCACATCATCGGGATGACGCTGATGATGCGCGATGTGATGTGCATCAGCTCCACCGTCGGGTTCACCGTGGGGTGGGACGCGAAGGCCACGGTAATCACGCCGGCGGTGACGAGAATGGAGAGGATCGACACGACGGAGACGTATTTGAGCGAATCCACCGCTACATGAAACGTGGAAACGTGGAAACTACTGCGAAGCATGCAGAGAGGGAAGATGAGGAAGAAGCAGATGCTGCCGACGACGATTGCGCGGCTTTGGAGGATGGAGATGGAGGGAAGGAGGAAGGAGAACGCGTCCAGGAAGAGATCGCCGATGATTACGAAGTAGGAGATGCAGGAACCGCAGGTGTAGAGCAGCATGATGAAAGAAACGATCACACCTCCCGTGTTACCGAAAATGCTCTGCGTTTGACAGGAAAAGACAATTTGAAACTTGGCCCATTTCTTTATATGTGTATTTATCGGTGAGGCGGCAGCTTCGTGTGATAACGATCTGGGAAAAGCATGCGATCGCAGCGATTGTCATCAAAATCAGAATTCCAGGAATCAAGGTACACTATCCCTTCACCAAAACAATACCGCTTGCTACGCGACTAACAGAGTACGCTAGAGCAACTAATCCAGAACCAAGGACATTGTTCGTCATGTTCACAATTGAGGCACCAATGCTGGCGTTTGCGTCGGTTTCGACCTTCTCTTCAAGCAAGAGAGGCTCTTGGAGTTCGGGAAGTTCGGGAACTATGGGTGGAGATAGAACCTCAGGAACTTGTGTCGGCTCTTCAGTCGGAGCTATAACTTAGGCTTCTCTACTCATTGAAACGCTGCTGCATCTATAAAAATATTTATTCGAAACGGAATAAGAAAAGTTGAAAAGGTTTCTCTAATTGTATTTCCCCAAGATTTGCAATCGTTTTTTTGGATTTCTAAAAAACAATCGGGGAAATGGAATGATCGTCGGCCACTCTCGATACTGACTGCTGTTATAATATGTGTTACTGGAACTGTGTTTTCATCGTGACAAAAAAGATGTTGTTGCAACATTTGATTTGGCAGCGTTAGGTTAGGCGAATAATAATGTGATTTCCCACTGTACAGAAACCAACCCCATTGTTCATTCGTTCTTTTCGTTACACGGAGTGTACTCAGCGATAGGGATCCATCGTAAGTATAAAAACCGATAATGAAGTACAATCCCCTGTGAAAACGGTTATTATAATTCTCATATCGATCATTTTCCACTCCTTTGAAAAACCTTTTTTCTCACTTTTTGGAAGGTAGATCATGAAGATTCCTGTAGAAAAATCTATCTATAGAAAGGTCTATCTGCAGCTTAAAACAGGATTCCTTACGGAACGTGTAGGGAGAGATCAGTCTGTCTGAAGCATAGCCTCTGTTTTATGATGCGATTCGAATTATTCCACCCCCAGCATTTGTTCGTCCGAGCGAAAAGCTCCCGAACTTGGGAGGTTTGGAAGATCGATTAATTCGGTATGTTTGTGTTATCTTTTGGCTTAGATATGTAGCAATTTCCAAAGAAAATACCCTTATCACTTTGAAGACTTTGTAAGTGACCATAGTGACTCAACTCGCTATGTCGCCTACAATTTTGCCAAGCGGCAGATCCAGCGAATGAATATGGGTAAGCTTTACTTGCTGGATGGAACTGTAGGCGAGCGTGAGGATGTTGCTTTCCGCGCAGTGGAGAAGGAATTTTTAGCGGAGTTGGATAGCATTAATGCTCAGTTGTTTGATGATGTACCTCCTGAAGAGGAAGCAGCAATTACAAAGGAAGCAACAACAACAAAGGAAGAAGAAGAAGAAGAAGAAGAAGTGAAAGATCTTGAAGACTCGAATGGAGTTATAGAAGAAGAAGAAGAAGAAGGAGAAGAAACGCATGTGAATGATGCGGAGCTTTACAAGGTAAAACGAACATTTTCCTTCTTGATATTCAATAGAACGAAAGCGTTCTGCACAGCGCGCTTCGCAGGGAGCTGACCATGAAACAAAAGCAAACGATGCAGAACACGATCAACCGAATCATCGCAAATTACAAAAACGAAAAGTAAAACAAACAAATAAATCGATTTACACACAGCGGAAACCACATCATCTCACGCAAACTCTCCACACTTGAACACTTTTATGACGAAAAAGATCCCAATGCGAAGTCGGTTCCAATTCCGAAATCGGATTTCGTGTATGACTATTCGTATTCGAATAGTGACTATATCCCGCAGGACGATATGGAAGAAGAGGAAGAGATGTAAAGAGAGAGAGAGAGAGAGTAATTTAGTGATGGATACCTTGTTTGTTTACGAATCTTTGCTAATCCATCGGGGGTGAGGACAAGAGGCGATAAATTGCCGGGTAAAAAGAGTACAGTGCACTTCCTCCTCTTTGGAATGTTCATTGAGGGACACACAAACAAAACACGAAACACAACTTTTTTTACCGTTTGGTTTTTCTGGTAACTCTCGCATTTGACTAGTGTAGGACAAGTTGGTTTGGATTCTTCTGCTAGAATACGTTTCTACAACAATGTGGCAAGATGAAGGAAAGAAAGGAGGTAGATCGTGTCCAGTTCGGCCTAATATGACCTAGCCGGGCCTAGGAGAGCCAAGTGCCCGTGGTGCAATCAGTATACTTGCAAACACTGCCGATGTCCTGGATATGAGGGGTGCGACCACAAGGTAGCCGATTCTTTGTTGGATTCGAGTCGCAGGACGGGATGTGTCCGAGAACGAAGTACAATCGGCGTTTGGTGTGTAATTCCTGCGAACGTCACAAGCTAGCGAGCAGGTAAAGAACAAACAATGTAATTTTTGCAAGAGAAAAATACGGGAACGACCTCCCGACGGCATCACGCTCGGAGTCGTCCACCATGACAGTGGAGCCGGAATCGACTCTCCCCGCACGTCCTTCGGACGCGGTGTCGCCCCAGCAGCCCGCGGCCCCGATCCCGATGCAGCCCTCCTTCTCTCCGTCGGTAGCGTCGAATCCGGTGGTTCAGGTGCCGTCGAACCAGCCGCTCGTGCAGCCGCTGAGCAGCTACCACATCCCGCCCTACTCGCTCAACGGGTCATCGCACAATGTCATGTTCAGCGAGGTGGTTCCGCGGGGCATCGTCGATTTCTAGGGGACGGACGACGTCTTTCCGTCGCAATTCCCGAACTTTTTGAGCAAGGACGGCAAATTGTACAGCTTCGAGAGCTCCGGGTTCGTGGACCATCCGCCGATGGTGTTGAGCGACGGGCGCGTGGTGAGCTTCGACAAGATCAACAATGTAGGAACGAAATCGGCGCGGATTATGATTAGATCTTCCTGCCGAACGAGAACATCTCGTTCAACTCCATCGACGAGCTGCAGCACTTCCACACATCCGAAGACGCCTACCTGGCCTCGCAGCCGCCCGCCTTCCCCGACGGCCGCATGATGGACAGCGGGCATTTCCTCGCCGACTCCGCCAAGCGCGACGCGGACGACGTCTTCGGCCTCCCCACCGTCGTCCCGCCCTCCGGTCCAGGTAGGTTCTGCCGCTGCAGCTCCTGCAGAAGCGGTTCGTGAGTGTGCTGACGGGTAGAAGGGAGCGGGCTGGACGGCGAGCACGTCATCGGGTCGATCCCGATCGTGTCTCCGTCGAGCGTCACGGACTACACCCACCTCGTGCATCTCAACGTGGCGCACAACCCCTCCTCCTTCGCCGTGGTCCCGGTAGGCGCACAGCGCGGCCAGAGAGCGCGTAACTCGCAGATCGTCCGGTCGCAGACCACGCTGCGCGAGCTGCGCGCGTACATTCTCGACGTGCTCTTCGCGACGCAGACCGCCAAACCCAACTTCGTGTTCCTCAGCAGGGACGGCGGAGCGATCCAGCCCGTGCAGGAGAGCGGGATTCTCGCGTGGAGAGAGACGGTCGAGCACAGCTGGACGCATCACACATTCAATGCGGTCATCACGCGCAGACACATCGTCATCGCGCTCAAGGCCGAGGAAATCACGGTATTATCCATTTGTAGAGCAGATTCACGCAAAGATCGTCAGTCTGAAGCGAAAACGAATCGATCCCGAGGACGCCGAAACGCCGAAACCGGCTTCCTTGGAAACACTATTCCAACGAGGATCCGAGGAGGAGAAGGCCGCCATCGTGTGGTAACCGTGGAAACGTGGAATGAACGGCAGGAACTATTTGGAGAGTCGGAACTTCAATTTGTCGCGGGAATCGTCGGAAAATGGCGGGGCGAATCGGAGCTCCTTAGCGAGCAAAGCCGTCGAATTGAACCAAATCAACGCGCTCCGCTTCCTTCTGGAGCACGGCGCCGACGTCAACGTGCTGTTTCCCGCGGTTTTGAGTGGAATGAGGGGTAGGGATTCCCGCGGGGATTCGCTTCTGCACGTGGCGGGGCGGCGCGGGCACCGCGATATCGCGATGTTTTTGCTGTCGATTCTGTGGAGACGGTCGGTGCTGCTGTCAGGGTACCCGGATTTCATGCAGGTGAACGAGGCGGGCGAGGACGCAGTGGATGTGACCGGAGACGCGTCGCTGCGCGAGCTGATCCGCGCATGCATCGACCGGTACTCCATCGTGTCCGTCGCCAACCTCCGCGATGCAGACTCCTTGGCAGATGTCAGAGAACGCATTCTTGCGTCCTGCACGCTGAAGGATAGCATGCGATTGGCCAAGTTTGTCGTCAATGATGCAATTGTGTTCCAACAGCAGGAACACAATTTCCCGGCGCGGCTGTGCTGCGGAGACCGCAATAATTTTATTATTTATGTGCCGCCCACGCTGCACATTCTGGAGCAGGTCGGAGTCGAGATTAGCAATCCCGAGGCCAAGCAGCGCGAAGCGCTCGATATGCTCGTTTATTCCTTCTCCCATTTGTCGCTGAAAGGAGATAAGCAGCAGCAACAGCAGCAGCAGGGCTATCGAGGAAGTTTCAGCATGATGAGTCAGGGTGAGGCGGGAAAGAGTCCGGAGCCGTTAGGAAGCTCTGCAAGGATGATGAGCGTGGCAGGAGAGAGCAAAAATCAGATTTATAAGCCGATTAGTGTTGGAGGGAATGAGACAGAGAAGAGGAAAATGGTGGAGAATAACATGAAGGAGTGTACCATCATGTAGAAGGAGAAGAGTAGTGGTAGAATAATAAGAATATAAAAATAAAACTAAAAAGAATGGATCATAGAAGAATGATGTGTTTGTTTGAAAGATCGAGAGGAAAATGGTGGTCAATACGATATAGAAATATGTAATCATGTAGAAGAAGAAGAAGAAGAATGGTAAAAAAGTGTTCAAACTCCACAATGACACAAGTCAAATGTGTTTGAAATCCAGCAATTTTAATTGATTAAAAACAACAACAACAACAACAACAACAACACATTCTTATTGGATTTACATTTTAGCGTAGGGAGGCAGCGTACAGACTAAACTTGGCTGTGATTGCGATGGCCGCGCTGCTTGGCTTCGATCTTGCCGTATCTTCACTGCATCCAGCACAAAATCGGGAATTTTAGGCGACTGAAACGCTTTGCGAAGCCTCGGAATGAAATGCCGCGATGCCTTCGCTTCCTGCGCTTCCTTCGCTTCCTTCGCTTCCTTCTTGTCTTTCTTGTCCTCCTTTCCTTCCTCCGACTCTCTCTGCATCAGCGGAATCGGAGATGTCGGAATCGGCGGCGGCGTCGCTTTCGCCTTCGTCCCCGGCGTCGCCACGCGATTCAGCCGCCTTTCCAACTCGCCTACGCGTCCCTGCAGCGCTCGCAGCGTGGCCTCGAGCTCTCCTGTCTGCGTGGGCGCGGTTTTCGCTCTCACGATCGCTTCAATTCGCTGTTTCAACGCCGCGTTGCGCTGCTGCAGCGCTGCGATCTCGTCGAAGCGAGGCGTCACGACCTGCAATCGGCTCTGCAGCAACTGAATGGAGCTGGTCACGTGGTCTAGCTCCTGGCTTTGGCGTTTCTGCGATTCGCTCAGCGTCGCGCGCAGCTGCGTCAGCGAACGCTCGTTTTGCTGCGTGAGGTCGCGGCAACGCGAGAGAAGCGAGGACTGCTGCAAGGATTTGGCGGCTTTTTCGTGGTTTTCGCGCTCTAAACGGCGAACGCGGCGAACCAACTCGGGAATGCTCTGGATGAGGAGAGGGGAGAAGAAGAAGAACGAGGAAGGTGACACGGAGGATATTACGTTCCGAAAAGGATGTTTGGTACAAGGGAATCGAGTCGTCTTCGGTGAGAATCGAATCATTGGATTCGAGGATCAGCAAGTTCGGATCTTCGTTACAAATCTTCTGAATGTAACGAAAAACGAAGCAATGGACGTACAGCAACCTCGCTGCGCAACTTCTCCACAGGAACAAAACTGGAGAGTGTAATGGATCGGATCGGACCTTGCTGCTGATGAATGTGGAATTGCATTTCAGGATAACAGAGGAATAGCTCAGAACCCTTCACAGAGGAGAGGGTTGTGGTATCTGCAATGGCTTGGCCGTCTGACACTGCGACAATTCGAGTTTCGTCAAAACTATCCAAGCCTTTCTAGTGTTTAGCGAAACACGCAATGTTCACTGTTTTCAAAAGCATTTTGATTCCTAGTATGGTGGACGTCGGCTTTAACTCCAGCGGGATAGAAAACCTCCCAAAATGAATCGTGATCGACACGAGGTGGCTCGTGGGCGCTACTTCTAGCGTCTCGGACTGCTGGATCCCACAATCCATAACGCTCTGCATGTTTTTCAGCTCTACACCCTTGTACAGTAATGTCTGCTCCGATGGCTGGATATCAAAGCGCTTCTGCTCGTCACAAGCAAAACCCCTCAGCGCATACCGTGATTTGCAACTTCACCATCATGACGGTGGTTGTTCGCAGGATATCATACTCCAAGGAGACCTGCCGATATTCTCCGGTCCCAGTAATGCGGATGCGCATTCCACCACTATTATAAAAAAAGAGTAAAGTCCATTCCGAGTCTATTTACATAACAATCTATCTATCTATTGATCTATCTATCGAAAGAACCTCTCTGCTCCGCACTACAGTCGTGCCTGCAACAAACAGCGTGATTACAATATAACCGAACTATTAGTCTCTCTCGAACCACTGGTGGAGGCCGGTGAGATGCGAGGAGAACGAGGGCGCGAAGACGAGGGACACGATGGCCATCAGCTTCATGAGAATGTTCAGCGACGGGCCGGAGGTATCCTTCAGCGGATCTCCCACGGTGTCTCCGACGACTCCGGCCTTGTGAGCGGCGGATCCCTTGCCTCCGCACTCTCCCTTCTCGATGAACTTCTTGGCGTTGTCCCAGGCGCCTCCGGTGTTGGACGCCGAGATGGCCATCTGCACGCCGGACACCAGACCGCCCGCCAGCACGCCGGTGAGCGCCTTCACGCCGAACAGATAGCCCACCACGATGGGCGTGCAGATCACCAGCACGCCGGGCTTGATCATCTCGTACAGCGACGCGTTGGTGGAGATGGCCACGCAGCGCTCGTAGTTGGGCAGCTCCTGGTTGGTCATGATGCCGGGGTGCTCGCGGAACTGCTGCTTCACCTCGTTCACCATCTTCTGCGCCGCCTTGCCCACCGACTTCATCGTCATCGCGGAGAACCAGTACGGCAGCATCGCGCCCACCACCAGGCCCGCGAACGTGATCGGCTTCAAAATATCCACGCCCTCGATGTGCGTCCGCGTCACGAACGCGCCGAACAGCGCCAGCGACACCAGCGCCGCCGAGCCGATGGCGAAGCCCTTGCCGATGGCCGCCGTCGTGTTGCCCGCAGCGTCCAGCGCGTCGGTCTTCTCGCGCACCGAGGCGGAGAGTCCGGTCATCTCGGCGATGCCTCCCGCGTTATCCGTGATGGGGCCGTACGCGTCGATCGTCAGCGAGGTCGACAGCGTCGACAGCATGCCCAGCGCCGCCAGCGCCACGCCGTACATGTTGGCGAAGAAGAACGAGAGGAAGATGGTCACCGCCAGCGCGAAGATGGGAATCACCACCGACTTGTAGCCCAGCGCCAGACCGCTGATGATGTTCGTGGCGGCGCCGGTCATGCAGGACTCGGCCACCTCGCGCACGGGCTTGTAGTTGTAGGAGGTCATGAAGTCCGTGGCCTTACCGATGATCAGACCCGACCACAGACCCGCGATCACGCACAGATACGCCTCCCAGCGCTTCGTGTACTTCACGCACCAGCTGCCGTTCACCGCCTCCTCCACCACACGCGAGCAGAAACGGTCGGGGAGGAAGAACTGCGCCATCAGCGCCACGGCCACCGTCGCGAAGATCGTCGAGATGTACAGCTGGATGGACAGGTTGCGCTCCACGTGGCGCTCCTGCGTCACCTTCAGACCCGGCACCGAGGTGGCGAAGAAGGAGGTCAGGAAGGACGACAGAATGCCGCCAGCAGACACCAGCAGCGGGAACATCATGAAGCCCCAGTTCTTGTTCAGCTCGTCGGAGGTCGACGCCACCACCAGCGCGGCGCACGTCGATTCCGCGAAGGATCCGAACAGATCGGCGCCCATTCCGGCCACGTCACCCACGTTGTCACCCACGTTATCGGCAATCACAGCGGGGTTACGAGGATCATCCTCGGGAATGCCCACTTCGACCTTGCCCACCAGATCGGCGCCCACATCGGCGGCCTTGGTGTAGATGCCTCCGCCCACACGACCGAACAGAGCGATCGAAGAACCGCCCAGACCGTAGCCAGTGATGCACTCGAACAGAACCTCAGACACGTGCGCGTTCGTCGAGTCCCAAGGCAGGAAGATGCTCCAGATCCAGATCGCAGCGTACAGGAACAGAAGACCGATGGAGGTCAGGCAGAAACCCATCACGCTTCCAGCGCGGAAGGCGGTGTTGAAGCCGTCCGTCCAGGACACCTGGCACATGGTGGCAGTGCGAGCGTTCGAGTACACAGCAATCACCATACCAATGTATCCGCAAAGAATCGAGGTCGAACCACCGAGCAGGAAAGCCAGAGCAGAGAGACCACCGGAAAGCCAGCAGTAACCCAGATCCTTCTCAGCGATCTCCCACTTGCAGCCATCCTGAGGGTTCACGGTAGAGCATTCCGTGCCATTGAGCACGGGCATAGCAGTACCGCAGGACTTCGACCAGCCCAGGAGCACAAAGATGAAAAGACCAAAGCCAATAATGAACCAGAGCAGAATTCCATACTCAGCCTTCAGAAAAGCATGGGCTCCGTCAGAAATGTATTTCTGGATCGTTACGAGACGCTCCGTAATAGCCTCATCGTAACTAGCGCTACCACCCTCAGCCTCAACGAGGCCTTCCTTCGGGTCATCGCCCTTAGGCATGTGCTTTACACTACTCGTCACACGGCCCTTCAACCACTTACACCACCTTAGAAACCTGAGTTCTTTGATACCACGCAAAAAGCAGTCCAGTCAAACCAGACACTACGATGATAATCGTTGCCGCAAGCTCAGTCGCGTCTACCATCTTGGTAAGAGTTTTTTAATCTGATGTTAATGGTGGTTTTCAAAACGGAGAAACGTGGAATTCAATGACTTTGATCGCTGCACTCATTGGCGCACCGATTTCGGGACTCGAAATATTGTCTTCTATTTTTGGACCTTACAGATAGGAAAGACCATGTATATCACTTGCGTCCGCATAACACTCTCCGTCTTTACACTGAGCTAAGGAATACGATAGCAGCCTATTGAACGATAGCTTTGATACGCGTTACAAATTAGGTACTTCGTTTTATGGAAGAAGATCCGGAAAGAGTATAACTCATTGTCCAGTTAATTATTTTAGTACATTGAGCAAATAAAACCTTATCAGGACCGTGTACGAAATGTCCTTAGGAAATGCCAAACGACCTTGAAAACGTATTTCGAATTTGCTGAACAATCCCTTTCTGATGTTGTCACCCTTTCAAACACAGTTACTCAACTTTCGTATGTTCGGATGGCGCTTATGACTTGCAGATATGTCAATTCCAATACGTGGGGAGTATTCACCCCGTTTACGGCTTTACAGAACAAAGTGAAAATGGAAGTAGTTTGCTTTTTTGATGCGTAATTTAGGTGTACAAGGATATCTATGCGCAGCAAGATTATTGTATGGAGCTCATAATACGCTTCGTAACGCTTTTTCTGTTGCGTTGATTCCTAGCGGTCGCTCCATCAGTCATTCATACAAGGCAGTGCAGACCTTTCCTATATTCGAGAAGAGCTCTCCAAACAAGTTCCAATAGACCAGATTTACATATTGGGTGGCGTTTCTACCTTATCTGACTTCATCAACCTAATCAACAAAGTGACAGACAGTCTAGAGCAAGATATCCAGATGCGTCAAGCCATCCTCGAGTCGATGTTAGATGCGACTCTTTCTCAGGTGGGCGTGTATGTTTCTTCCTGGAAGTACTCTCCCTGCCTCTCCCCTTCCTTGCTCTCCATTTTCGAATCCACGCTGTCGAGTGAGCTAGGATGAGCGATTGATCACGATTCACGATTCATGATTCACGATTCACGATGTTTGTCCAACAAACAATACACACATTCCACACCAATCAGCACTCCATAATTCGCAGATTCCTCCAGAAGATCATTCTTAAGGCTCCACACGTCCACGAATACGTCCAGTGCGACGAGCAGCAATGAGACCGACCTTCTTTCCGGGGCAAGTGCCACGGCTGCGAGTCGAAGGCTTACCAATGTGCTGGTGGTTACCTCCTCCGTGCGGGTGATCCACAGGGTTCATGCACACACCGCGCACCTTCGGCCACTCATTGCGCTTCACAGCGAACTTGTGGTACGCACGACCCGCCTTCAGCATCGGCTTGTCCATGCGGCCTCCGCCAGCCACGATTCCCACCATGCCACGGCAGCTACGCGTTACAACCAACACAAAGAGAGAAAAACATACCTCGAAGAAACAGTCTTCTTGATGCCCGAAGGCAGACGGATGAACGTCATGCTGCGGTCATCCGAGTGGCCAATCACAGTCACGTAGTCGCCAGAGCAACGAGCCAGACTGCCGCGATCGCCCACCTTGTGCTCCACGTTGCACACAACAGTTCCTTCAGGAAGCTCACGCAGAGGAAGCACGTTACCGACGCTGATATCGGCCTTCTTACCGCAGAACACGCTCTGGCCAGTGAACATACCCTCAGCAGCCAGGAACAGCTCCTTGTCCACCTTGAAGTGGTAACTACCCATTAGCGACCATCTGTCAAACGAAAGTACGGATTGCGGAAAGTGACGCGAGCAAGAGGAGCGCCACGACCGGAATCGTGAACGATCTCTCTCACCACTCCCTTCAGGAATCCGTTGCGCTCAGAATAGTCCAAGGCACGGAATTGAGGCACTCCCTTACGCAGGTGAGTGTGAGCCTGGAAGACAGCTCCTTTAGCTCCCTTTCTTTGTCCTACACACGCAGTTAGATGAATTCAGCAAGAAACAACAGAAATCAGCAATTTTTCCTCAAAAAAACAAAACAATCCCAAAAATTAAAAACGATTCCGTACCTCGAATAACACGACCCATTTATGCTAATCTCAGTGTGGAGAATACTGATGGGAAGACAACCACAAAGCAGAATTGGGGCGAGTTTTGTCCCAAAAGGTCCCTATCAATTAGGGCCATATCAAAAATACGTCAAACAAATGTGTATTTTGAGTGTAATAGCACGCAAACAATTGATTCCAACAAACAGGACACTGGACAAAATCCTTTGGGAGAGAATTTAGACGCGGGAATGATCGTGTTCTTCGAATCTCACTTGTAGCTTTGTGCATCGGTCTCACACCCCAGACGCATTGACAGTACTTCGCGATTCTACGCACTAATTCCCATTTCGAACACGAACGCGTTATCAGAGCTGAACTTGCCCATTCCAGCCACAGTGTAAATGCTTCTCCGTGTCCACTCATCCTTGTTTCGCCACACCCTCTCCATTTCCTTCTGGACGCGGAGATAATCCTCGAAGTCCGAGCAGACGCGGAAGTAGTCGCCATGATCGAGCGGATTGATGATGAACTGCGCTTCCTCCGTGGTGATAAATCGCCCAGACAGCAGAATCTCAAAGACGCGTCGAAGAGAAGAAGGCGTGCTGCGAGTTGTCAATAATCCGTTCTCCTGTTCTTCAAAAGAAGGTCCAAACGCAAAGCTACATGATAAGATGGACTTTCATTTGCAGGACATACATATTCTCTCGCCCCACTTCATTCGCAATCTCAATACTGCTTCCATCCATTGTACACATCAGCAATGCGCCGTTTAGGCAAAACTTCATGTTGCTATTCCATAATTTCCTCCTTTTATTTCAATAATCTACCTCGTTCCGCTCGCTTCCTTGCCTACTGTGCTGATGTGTTCGCTCACATCCGTTGCCGGAATGATCATTTCCGCAATGGACACGTTGTAGTTCGGAATGAACACGATTTTCAGCTTTCCCTCGATTGATTCGTCGTGATTCACAACCTCACTGACCTTCACAATCAAATGGATGATGGCCTTGGCCATGCTGTAAGCAGGCGCCGCCTTCCCTGCGAATATCTTGACCACTTCGACTTGGCGTCGTAGCTCTTCCTTGGACATCATCTTCAACTGCGTGTATTTCCAAATGCAGCTATCCATCAAATCGCAACCATTCGAAAACTAGAGAATGTTCAGCAACTGCCGTTTGTATTCGTGAATTCGCTTGATCTGCGCGTCAAACACTGCGTCCAGCGAAATGTCGATTTGGAGATGATCACGGATATAAGAGGCGAGACGCTCCTTATTCATTCTCTTGCTTTGCCTCCATCGCTGAGCGAATGTCTCATCATCCGCATAGAACCGAATGCTCTGAATCAAAGATAGCTGCGTAACGAAATCAGTTCCGATAAAGTCGGTCAGCAGCTCGGTGAGGGATGGATTGCAAAGCGCGAGCCATCGCCGAGGTGTGATTCCGTTGGTGATATTGATGAATTTGTTGGGGAAAAGCCTGTAGAATGCGTTGAACACACGCGAGGTTAAAATCTCAGTGTGCAATTCAGCAACGCCATTGACTCGATTGCAGAACGCGACACACAGATTGGCCATTCGAATCTTTTTGGGGAACGATTCCTCAAAAATGCTCATCACACTGCACAACGAAGGATCATCAGGGCATCGTCGATGCACTTCCTTCATCAGCAAATCGTTTAGCTGATACAACACGTCCAAATGGCGAGGTAGAAGCCTGCCAAAGAGATCCACATCCCACATCTCCAAAGCTTCAGGAAGGATGGTGTGGTTCGTATAGTTCATGCACAAAGAAGTGATATGAAGCGCATTCTCAAAGGAAACGCCTTCCTGATCGACCAACACACGAATTAACTCTGGAATCGCGACAGCTGGATGCGTGTCGTTGAGTTGGAAGGTATGCTGGATGTGAAACGTGAGGGAAATAGAAAAATACATAGTCAGGGAATTCGGTCCAAGAACGACCCGTTCGTTTGTAGGAAGCAATGACGTCTTGGACCGTTGCAGATACAAAGAAGAACTGCTGCTTTAGACGGAGCTCCTTTCCGTTGTACGTCGAATCGTTCGGGTATAAAATACTACTGATACTAATCGCATTTTCGCGATTGTTCAGAGCAGATACATAGTCCCCTCCATTAAAGGAAGAGAGATTGAATTTCTACACACACTAATCCACCTAGAAAAAGCAGTTACTGCGAATGGCGTGGCTTTCCACAGACGAAGATTGATCGTTGTGTTGGTGTTATACCCATTGATCGGCGTATCGTAGGCCACCGCCATCACTTTCTGAGTGTCTACCCATTTTTTCTAGTTGATTATCCTTCATAGATTCACCCACAACGCAATTCCCATAGGCATCGCACTCTTCGATTAAAGAACCATAGTACTGGATTTCGTATTGAATATCATCGCGTTCGATCTCCCAGGGAGAACCGAAAGTGAGCCAATACTCTGGATGTTCCACTTGGTATCCTTCCTTGTTGATTTCCTGTTGGAAGATTCCATAATTGTAACGAATTCCATACCCAGTAGCAGGAATGTTGTTGGTAGCCAGAGAATCAAGATAACAAGCGGCGAGCCTGCCTAATCCGCCATTTCCAAGCGCAGCATCCTTTTCCTATTCAATGAAAACCAAAATGGCTTTTTCTACTTCTTCATAAATATCTTCCAACACATATCCCAAATCAAGTAGCGCTTCCTTGTACTTGTTTTCGATGCCCAAATTGATCAGGGAGTTTTGGAGAGAGCGACCCATCAAAAACTCCAGAGAGAGGTAATGACTAGGATTCAATTTTGGCTCCAATGCATACACGCGTTTGCAGTTGTTCTCGTCGATCGCTACTGTCGTATCGTTGAATCGTTCGATAAGTCGATCTCTCACACTGCTATTCGTGATTTAAATGCATCTCCAACCTATGACTGGTGGCAAGATAGGCTTTGGTATCGTCAAAATCGAAGCGTGTAGAGGCCAGGGTGTATTCTACGTGATTGACGATTCCACGCTCGATCGTATCGATATCTATAGGTAATTCCAAGTAAATAGATTGCCACCATCGCCCAAATAGGAAGACATCAGTTCGTAGAGGAGTTGATGAGTTTTTTCGCATTCCTCGGCTCGTATTTTAGGATCCCGGCAGTCTATAGTCTCCATTTCCAGTGGATCGTAAACGGATTTATGAGAGCCGTCCTTCGCTGTTGACAACCTTTCAAACAAACAGTGCAACAAATATACTGTACATTCGCCACAGAGGCGATCACTGCATCCAGCAGCTTTTCATCGACCCCTCCACTCTTCTTCAGCAGCAAACACCTCTCCAAGAACTCAAAGAAATAGCCCTTCATCTGATTATCCAGCATGCTTTTAAACTTGTTCACAACGTCCTGGAACAGCGACAGCACCAAATCCAGCACTTCTTTCGGATAGGGCATTTCAATCCTGCAGATCAGCTTGTACAAGAAGTCCAGAATGACCGCTTCGTTCATGTCCTGCTTTCGCTGCTTGATGATTTGCAGCACGAGCATGATGTATCTACGCGATCACAGCCTCGAGGAGCCCATCACCCGCGTTGAATCAGCTGGAATTCGAAGTCGACCACGATGGTTTTGAGCTTCTCGATGTCGGAATACACGCTATCCTTCGATTCACCGCTGTGTTTTCACTCGTACATGGAACACAAGACACGGAATCGTCACCATAATCGACGTCACGCGCTCCGTATAGTTCTCCTGCTCCGCCAGCACTGCCAGCAAATCCAAGAAGAAGAACAAGCTGTCCTTCGTGAACTGCCCAATGTTCCCCTTCGCGAAGCACTACATTCAACCCTTCCTTCCTCTCTCACCATTTCCAGCCACTGCATGCAATACTCGCGATAGAACCACCCGATCTCCGTCACGCCCTCGCTCTCCTTCCCGCACAGCTTCATCATCAGCTCGCGCAGCTCCATGTCGCGGAACCGCACCGCGTCGCGCGACGTGCACATCCGCAACATCCGCAGCAGCGGCGCCTGCTCCTTCTCCGCGGGCTTCTCCAGCAGCAGCCACAGCAGAATCTGCACCACCATCTCCATAAACCGGCTCCCCGAGAACTGAATGCTCACCAGCTGCGAGGCCAAGTACGAAAACAGCAGCTGCGAGAGCCGGTTTTGGCGGAACGCCGCTTGGTCTTCGGGGGAGAGCTGGTGCAAGCGCGAGTTGAGCTCGGCCAGACGCGTGTAGTCGTCGGTGAGAACGCTCTGGATGGCCGGTAAGAGATCGTTGAACCGCGCGGTGCCCGCATAGCAAAGCAACGTGATCTAAAGAGGGAATACGGTGCGGGCGTTTCTACGAGTGTGGTGGAGTGGCGAGCGCGGAGCGTGTCGAAGACGCGCTCGAGAAGCTGCTGGAGGAAGGCTTGGATGGGAGGCGAGGGCAGAGCGGCGAGGAGAGTGGCGATGTAGTTGATAAAAACGTTGCATTCCTGGACGGAGGCGAAGGAGTAGCTGTCCAAAAACTGGGCGATTTTGGATTCGCACTCGGCGTGGGAAGTGCTGTGGGCGATGTCGTTTAAGATTCGATCGAAGAAGAGAACGGTCGTTGCGTAGCAGCAGCAGTTCAGGTCCACTTGGTGGATGGTGCTGCAGAGGTCGGTGGAGTTGAGGATGAGGGTGGAAGTGAAGAAATCGATCAGAGCGTTGTAATCGCCCGTGCGAAGATGGTCGTGGAGCGTGGGATCTTTGAGAATGTAGAGGAAGAGCGACTTCCCCATGGGACTTTGACAAACGCGAGTGAGCCATGCAGGAGGCTCGGGAGTGTCCGCAATGAACTGGTTCGCACGAGAAGACATCACTGCATCCGATAACTACAGTGATACGAGGACCAAACGAACAACATCCTGTAGAATAACACTTTCGATCGCTTGGTTGATCGTAGCGGAAAGCTCATCTCCACTTTCGCCTAAGGATCGTCAGAACACGCCAACACTACTCTCAGATGCCACCATCTGAATAAGCTTGCGGATAAACATCGTTTCGACAGACGGATCTCTACCGATCAGAGTTGACGCCTAACTGCACTTTTGAATCTCGCCTACGGGGAATTCTTGCCAGAGGCTTGTAGACTGTTTCGAAAGTAGACTATTCGCCTAATCTCCAGCACTCGGCCCTACGACATTGGGAATCGACTGCCAATATACGAAAGCGCTCGCTCAGCTCCTCCAAACGAACTAAAAATGGGCGAACCGCAGAATCGCGGAAATTCGGGCAATATTGCGATTTCAAAATATATCGTCATTTACAGTCCCAATGGAGCAAGAACTATACGATGAGTTTGGAAACTACATTGGTCCTGAAGTGCAGGAATCAGAAGAGGAAGTTGTGAGCGTAGGCCATTTTGTAGTGGGCGCGTCTAATTGGGTAGCAAAGCGAGGAGGAGCAAAATTGGGATATGGATGAGAACGAGCAAGGTACTTTTCATTTTGATTAGGGATTGTAATGGCGTAGAGGTGGAGGAAGAACCCGAAGATAATACAGTCCACACATATGAGAACGCAGTGACCCTGTATGAAGACAAAAAGTATTATCCTGACGCAGAAGAGGTAGCTTCGGTTTCTTTGCATTCCTTTCCAGGTTTTCAAAGGAGCCGAGGTGTTGGTGCAAGAAGAAGATATGCAAGACATCAACGAGCCCATCATTAAGCCGTTGCGCCAGCAGACCTTTTCCATCATGGAGAAAACGATTCCGGAGACAAAAGCAGGCGAGCTTCGCACTTTTCACGTCTAGTATTCCACAGAGTTCCTCGCCGCCTTAATGGACAATCCGCTTTTAATCCGCAACGTGGCGGTGGTCGGAAACATCCACCACGGTATTTAGCTCTTTTCCCTTCATTCTAATCATTGTAGGCAAGACCCTCTTCCTCGACATGCTAATCGAGACCACCCACGTCAAGCCGTGGAGTCTCACCAAGGAAGTTCGGTACACGGACACCACGATCTCCGAGCAGGAGCGAGGCATCAGCATCACCTCGACGCCGATCTCCCTGCTCCTGGGCGACTCGAACGAGAAGAGCTGGCTGCTGAATTTCGTGGACACGCCGGGCCATATCAGCCTCACCGGCGAGGTCACCGCCGCGCTGCGCATCGCGGACGGCTGCGTGGTGTGCGTGGACGTTGTGGAGGGCGTGATGCTGAACACCGAGCGCTGCATTCGGCAGTGCGTCGCCCAGAACATTCCCATGCTTCTCGCCTTCACCAAGATGGATCGCCTCATCACCGACCTCAAAATGCCTCCCGTCGACGCCTACTTCAAGCTGGTCGCCATGCTCGAAGAAGTCTCTATTTCTGGAACTCTATTCCCGCTAGGTCAACGCCATTCTCGATTCCTGCGATCCCGCGCGCGAATTCCCGCGGCTAAACCCCGTCAACAACAACGTGTTCTTCTGCAGCGCGCTGCACAAGTGGTCCTTCACGCTCCGCAGCTTTGCCGCCAAGTACTGCCGGCAGTTCCGCGGTAAAATCACGGTGGAGCAGCTCGCGAAGCGGCTGTGGGGCAACGTGTACTTCGACCGCTCGACGCGCCGTTTCGTGGGCCGCGCGCCGGACGACCGCACGCCGCGCAGCTTCGTGGAGTTCTGTCTGGAGCCGATGTGCGTGTTCTGAGCACTCTGAACCGCAGATACAAAATCTACGCGCGCGTTCTGGGCGCCGAGACCGCGGAGCTGGCGCCCTTCCTGCGCGAACTGGGCGTCTCGCTGACGAAGGAGCAGCTGCGGATGGACGCGTTGCCGCTGCTGAAGCTGGTGCTGAGCGGGTGGTTCGGAGGCCACGGCGGCGTGGTGGATTCGATCGTGGAGGTCGTGCCGTCGCCGATCGCCGGCGCGGAGCGGAAGGTGCGTCGGTGCTGGAAGGGCGACGAGGCCTCGGAGGTGTGCCAGGCGATGAGTCGCTGCGACCCGAAGGGGCCGCTGGTGATCCACGTGGTGAAGATGTTCCCCACGCCCGACGCGAGCGACTTCGTGGCGCTGGGCCGCGTGTTCAGCGGGACGGTGAAGCCGGGAATGGAGGTGGACGTGCTGGGAAGCAGCTTCTCCGCGGAGAACGAGGAGGATCTGCTGCACCGCACCGTGCAGAGCGTCGCCGTCTCCCAGGGACGCTTCCATCTGGCCGTCACGCAGTGCAAGGCGGGCAACTGGGTCCTGCTGGGCGGGCTGGGCGACGCCGTGCAGGGCATCGCCACCGTCGTGGGGAGAAACGTGGAAACCACGGTGTTCTGCCCGCTGGAGTTCGACACGCAGGCGGTGGTGAAGCTGTCGATCGAGCCACGGAAGCCGAGCGAGCTGCCGATCATGGTGGACGCGCTGCGGAAAGTGACGCGGTGCTACCCGCTGGTGTCGACGCGGAAGGAGGAGAGCGGCGAGTACGTGCTGCTGGGCACCGGCGAGCTGCAGCTGGACTGCGCCATGCATGACCTGCGGCACGTGTACAGCCACATCGACATCAAGGTCGCGGTCCCGGTGGTTCGCTTCACCGAGACCGTGCAGGAGCCTTCCTCGCTGCTCTGCTTCGCCGAGACGCCCAACCGCATGAACCGGCTCGCCATGACCGCCGAGCCGCTGGAGCGCGGGCTCGCCGACGCCGCGGAGAGCGGGCAGATCGTCGCGGATTGGCCCGCGGAGCGTCTGGAAGCGAGCCTCACCGCGAAGTTCGGCTGGGACAAGCTGGCCGCGCGGTCGTTCTGGGCGTTCGGCCCCGAGGCGCAAGGCGCCAACGCGCTGCTGGACGACACGCTGGCGAGCGAGGTGGACAAGACGCTGCTGAGCGACGTGCGGGAGAGCGTCGTGAAGGGCTTCCGCTGGGCGTGCAGCGGCGGACCGCTCTGCGAGGAGCCGATGCGCAACGTGAAGTTCAAGATCCTGGACGCGATGCTGGCCGACACGCCGGTCTATCGCGGCCGCGGCCAGCTCATCCCCACGGCGCGGCGCGTGGCGTACTCGGCGTTCCTGCTGGCCAGCCCGCGGCTGATGGAGCCGTTCTTCCAGGTGGAGATCCAGACGCCGCCGGATCTGGTGAGCACGTGCGAGGAAGTGCTGAGCCGACGACGCGGCTTCGTGCGGCAGAGCGTGCCGAAGCCGGGCACGCCGTTCATCAGCATGAAGGGGTACATTCCGGCCATGGATAGCTTCGGGTTCGAGACGGATCTGCGCGTGAGCACGAGCGGATTGGCCTTCCCGCAGACGGTGTTCTCGCACTGGGAAATCGTGCCGGGAGACCCGCTGGACCGCAGCGTGAAGATTCTGCCGCTGGAGGCTTCGTCGGGATATAGCTTGGCGCGCGATTTCATGCTGAAGACGAGGCGTCGGAAGGGGTTGAGCGAGGATGTGAGCCTGAAGAAGTTCTTTGATGAAGCGATGCTGTTGCAGCTGGCAAGTCAGGAGAATGAGATTGGTGTTTGGCGTGTTTGTTTGAAATCGGTGCAGGGGTGCTTTTTGTGTGTTCTTTTGGAAGAGAAGGTGGATAATATGAAGGGATGATGGAAGGGATTATTAATATGGATGGATGAAATCAATAGGAAAGGTTGGAGATAGGCTCATGGTAGAGATACTGTGTGATGATTTTGAGGTTTACATATGTTACAGAGAAGGAATGCTATATTACTTGTAGCATGTATTGAAGAGTGTGACCCTTTATTGTTTAGAATTATTGCATATACATGTTAAATAGAGATAGAATACTTTATGCCTGTTATTTCAGTTTGTATCTTATTTTGAGTAAGTCATTGTGATATATTATAAAAGGGAATTTGATAGTATTTTTAATTACAGCAGTAAAGATGTGATCTTTTTAGAACTTTTTTTTAGTACATTAGGTAAATGGGATAAATTATGTCAATTAATAATGCAAGGTATGAATAATATGATTTAATTTGAATTACTTGAATTCAGTTATTCCAAATCTTCATAATGATCACTGTTTGTATTGTTTTCAAACCTTATTAGTATAATCCATATCGATTATTGCATGACGGATTTCTTTTTTTGGTATATGAGTTTTTTTTTAACTTGTTTATTTTGCCCAACTCCGAAATAAAACTGTTTACAGCATTGGATTTACATTCATTATTATACAACTAAATGTTATCATTAACAATCTTATTCAGTTATTGCAACTACTCAGTTATTACACTCAAAATCTTTTGCGATTCTATATCATCCATTACTGTGATTAATAGAGTGATTGCCACGTTTTGGTATTAAGAACAAAAAAAAAAGATGGTAGTTTTTTCTAACGTGGCTGATATGTGTAACAATATCTAACATATCCCCATTCACTCAAACAAACGTTTTCTATCCATTTTATTAATACTACAAACAACACTAAACAATTATCTTCAGTATATTTTACACGTCACACTCAATCATCTATTCCCCGAAGTACAAATATCGCCTCAATGTAATAGCAATTACTTGATATTTCTTTTCCCAAATTTCTGCTGTTCTGAGTAGAATTCGACCACCTATCAAACGATTTCTTAACATTCTGTTTGTTAAAAAAACATAACAACTCACTTTCAAATTTGCTTCTACAAACAAAAGCAATAAATCAAAGATTAGTTATCTCCTTCTTTATGAGAAATTGCTTCATCAAGCCTTCCCTCCCGAATCATCTGCCGCACACTCTGCAAGAATTTGAGAAAATGATGCATATTATGTTGCGTTCTACGATTTAACCTCCCTCCCAAGCAATACAGTAAAATAACTCCCAACATCTCATGACAATTAAAAAGATGATGAATATAACCCTTTGTAAAGCGCTTACACGCATAGCAATCGCATCCCTCCACTAGCAGACTTTTATCGTCCTTGTACACATTGTCTAACAAATTCATCTTTGTTTCCTGCTGAATATTTTCCTGCTCGTTGCAGAAAATCGACTCATTCGAAAACCTGCGTAAATAAAGAATTGAAAACGGCTCATACAATGATGCATATGCTTTTTCGGCTAAAGTCACCGGATAGGAGCATACAGCGATGTCTGTGCCTAATCGGATCGAATCCAACACTTCGCGAGGGCTATTTGGGCCTGTCACAAATCGAACCAGAACCGCGGGGATCGACGAATAAATCGCAGACAGTATTTTCTCTCTCTGCTGCGGCGATTCGCCGAGATGGAGGCCTGAAATGTTAACGCCGAAGAGTTCGTCGCTGTGCTCATTAACTAAAGAAATTTGTTCTTGAAGCAGCTCCATGTTGTCGGTGGCCTGAATGTTCGCTATGATCCGGCTTTTCTTATCGGATCGTTCGAGTTGTTGCTGCAGCCACGCTTTGCTGCGAGCGATACTTTGCTTCCCGCGTCTCTTCCCGATGGTGATGGGAACTTCATCGGAAAAGGACACTGCAGAATCCACGTTGAACGATTTGATAATATCCAAATATTCATCGAACGCAAGATCTCGACTACCTTCCGTTGTCATTATACCAACAGAGTTGTCTGACGCTTTTGGAACCTTGGAAAAAGAACCAATTAAAAAGTACTGGGAAGTTATCGATATCTCGGATTTGAAAATGAACATAATAGTCCTGGAGCGAGGTAAACGCTTTGAAGCCCGCTCCGGACTTCTCAATCACTTTTACAAACTGATGACTATAAGTAAACAATCATCCACACCCAAACGCATCTCCAGCAGTGATAGAGAACATGGGTTGCTCTGGAAGCTTTTCGAGCATATCTAATGAGTTACAAGACGTTATTATTCCACACCCAGGGTGAGATAAGGCTGGAAACAAGAGCGGGTTTGGAAGAGCACGGCGGGCGTTTGGATATTCGCAAATGAGAGGCACCGCGCCTTTCCGCACGTAGCCGTAACAACTGCCTTTGCAGGGAGCGACATGATCAAAATGTGTAACAAACAGCTCAACACTTCGTCACTTTGAATACGGGAAGCATCATCGGCGTGATTTCGACGCGTACCTTCACTCCAGACACGTCCTCCCGTTTTTCCTCTTCATCGCCATCTTTCATCACGGCCATCATCTGTTTTCCTGCCAAAATATTCATCAACGCCGACTATTCATCACGCCTCTCCCTCTCGCCTACTCTCTGCAGCATTAAGCAGTCCTCTCTCACCATGGTCTCGCTAATCACCGAGCTTCGTTGTCGCAGCTGCACAGCGCCGCGCTGTGTTTCCTCAAACGACGAAATCGCCTGCTGGAGGAGCTCGCGAGGCCGGTAGCGCGGGTTTTGGAGGTTGGTTTGGAAGTCTGCGAAGGAAGGTTTTGGGAACAAACCGGAGTTCAAAACGACGAGAATGCGCTGCTCGAACAAGATTTCGGGGGATGCGAAGAGCGGAGAGGACGAAGGGAGCAGTCCCGAGCGAAGCGTCGCGACGAAAAGCTACGGGGGAGAGAGAGAGCGAAGAGAAAACGAAGAGAAGGCCGCGCAGATAGGGAAGCAGAAGCGTCCAGACGTCGGTGAGCAGCGGCGTGACCTCCACGGCCTTCGCTGGCTTCGCTGGCTTCGCAGCTTTGGATTGTTTGGATTGCTTGGATTGTTTGTTGGCTTTGGAAGAAGAAGAAGAAGAAGAAGAAGAAGCGTTTGGTTTGGTGTCCGTGGGGACTGTTTGTTAGAAAAAACAAGCGCAAACGGATCGAATAGCGCGCCTCGTATTCACGAAACTGCGCTACGAGCTGGCTGAAGAACCAGAGCATCGCGGGGAGCTCGACGCGCGTCCACAAACCCAGTCGCAGCTCGTAGAGGAGGAAGCAGAGACAGAGATAAAACGCGATGAGGCAGGGGAAAAAGGAAAGTTTGTGCCGCGCCTCCGCGCTGAAGGGCTGCTTTTTGTCGGTTTTCTGCGTCTGCAAGGCGTCGAGAAGCTGCGAGAAAGCGAGAAAGCGAGGCGTACGGCGTTGGAGAGAATGACGAACGCGGGGATGCGCGCGTCGAGCTTGCGATGAATGGCGTGTGCGGAGTGGAAGAAAAGCTGAACGAGCGATTCGACGTTCTGGACGTGAGAGAAAAGCGGAACGAGCGACGAGTTCGACGTCGCGAGCGACGGATTCGAGGGATTTCTGGCGCAGCACGGTGACATCGCAGTGACAAGTGCGGCTAAAGAGATCGATGAGAGCGAATTTGGGCGCGTAGAGAACGCGGAAGCATTTCTAGAGGATGAAAAACGCGGAGAGGAAGAGCGACGAAGAGGAAGGAGCGAAGGAAGGGGTAGAGAGAGTGAAGAGAAAGCTGCGTTAACTCGCGGAGAAGAGCGAGGAGATCGGATTTGGAGGTGAGAAGAAGGAGGTAATCGAGTGTGATGTGGAAGGAAGATTCGAGTTGGCGGATGGAGGTTTGGAAGGGGAGAGAAACGGGGAAACGCGAGGGAACCGTCGTGGAAACGAAGCGGGAGAATCGATCATCGAAATAAGTGCTGGATGAAGAGGAGAGCGTGGGATCGGTGGAATAAAAAGAGCTCTAGAAGCAATGAATGGAGGAAAAAAATGAAAACGAAGCGCGAAAACGCGGGGAAAAGCGAATTCAGTTGCGAACGGAGCGAAGAAACCCGCTCTTTGGTGAGTTTGTCCAGCTCGGAGAAGAGCTGGTTCAGCGAATCCAGTATGCGGAGGTGGGACAGGAGCTTGGAGCGCGTTTCGGTCGTTTCCTGCATTGAAAGAACGGCATGCAGCACATTCTTTTCATCGAAGGTGAGATTCGTTCGATCCGGCAAGAATTGGCAGGATAGACTGAACTCGTCCGGCTACGCATGATTTCACACACAAGCAGCCACTTCGCTGACCACATATTCCGACATGAGGCTATGGATCGCGCTGATAAGCCAGGTGTAATCCATAACCAGCTTTAACAAGATCCGCAGACGCAGAGTCTGCTCACTCGCCTCCGCTGTTTGATCTGCCTCGAGCGTGCTCCGAAATAGAAGCAACAAACGATCCTTCACCTGCGCGTGCATATACACAACACGCAGCATGCAGTGGTTCAGATTATCGCCTGCAATCCAGGAACTGAACGAAGAGAACAAACACTCTGCGATTTGCAACAACGTTTCCTCGTCCGGGTAGAAATTAATCGAATCTATTCATTATGTGTCAACAGGAACAAACCATGTTCCAGACGCTCCTCGATGGTCTCAAACCCAACGAGCCCCAGTCCACTATCCACCTTTTTGTCCATAATATCGATAGAACGCATCGACGCCTCGTAGTTGAACGCGTCGCTTGCAATGAACGAGCCATCACTGATTTCGCTGGCCGCTTCGCGGAGCAGCTGCGTGATGTCTCTCCACTCCTTGGTAGACTGCATGAAAAAGAAAAGTGTTTCAAACAAATAAACCACTACGCTTGTCTCCATGCAATGAACGCCACAGCTCTCTGTCTCCACATATCCTCCGAGATCGACTCCACGTGCGGCATCTCCACCACCGCAAGCAATTCGGCTCTGGATTCATTCAAATAAATCGGCACTTGCACCGTATTTTCCTTTCCTCCCTTCTCACACTTCCACTCGAACAGCACCACTTCCAACAAACATCGAATCTCATCGCTCGGCACGAGCCTTCCTCCTTCCCACTCCGCGCCTTCCAGCATCAGCTGATGCACCAAAAACGCGTTCGGCCGCTCCGCGAGCAACTCGTCGCAATGATCCACCTCCTCCTGCATGAGCGGTTTCAGCGACAATTTCACATCGTCGAGCGCCCATCCGTTGCTCTGCGCGACCTGCTGCCCCATCGCCGTGATGAACGCCTCGGGGTGGAACAGCCCGCCGAGCCAGATGCCGGATCTGCGGATTTGATCGAGCGATTGAATCGAAAGTTCCGCGAAGTGCTGGCAGCGCAGCGTGAAGTCCTGCATCCACAGCGCACAGTTCTCGCGCTGCGTCGACAGTCCTGCGGCGATCCAGTGCTCCGGAACGTGGTCCTGCGCGATCTGCCGGAGCAGCAGCCGTAGCGGATGCGTGGACTGGATTTTGTTTTGGCTCCACGCGAGGAGGAGCTTCAGATCGTCGACGATGCAGCGCTGTTGGCGTCGCATGAGCTGCAGCTCGCGCGCTAGGCAGCGGTAGAGCGGGTTCTGGAGGAGAGCGGCGGTGGGCTCGGGCTCGCGGACCTGGACGATGAGGAGAGAAAGCCACTGCTCGATGGAGGCGGTGCAGGAAGCGAGCCAGTGCGAGGAAGACGAGGCGAAAGCGTCGGATTCGGAGGGCGACGGAGAGGCGAGGAGCGACGCGGACACGTCGAGATCGTCCTGGATTTGGAGCAGGCCGCGGAGAATCGAGGCGCCCTGCGTGGAGAGAAGACGCTGCTCGGCGGTGGCGGGGAGGCCGAGCCAGACGGGGCTGTTGTAGACGGGGAGCGAGTCGGTCCAGAGCTCGAAGTCGCGCTTGGTGGTGCCCTCGGGCGCGAAGATTTGCTCGAGCGTGCCGTTGGGATGGACGTACTGGACGAGCGGGAAGCGCGAGTCGAAGGCCTGCGGGACGAAGAGGCGGCGGATGAGGGAGTGGAGGAGCTGGTCGTCGAAGGGGTTGTCGACGCGGCCGCCGTAGAAGGAGTCGCTGAGCAAGCGGCTGATGGCCGTCCAGTTGAGCGCGGAGGGATCGATGTGGGTCAGACCACGACTCGCCGCGTTGAGTAAGCGGTCGATCACCGAGAGCGAGCACTTCAAGTCCGCCTCGCTGAACTCGTAGTACTTCGTCCAGCCCACCGGGACGTAGCGAAGCCGCTCCTCCACGACCGCGTGCAGCCAGAGCAGAAGGAAGCACACGCGGCAGCGCTCCACGGGCTTCGCCTCCATCGCGGACGCGGGGATCGCGTTCAGCGAGTGCTTCAGCGACGCGCGGATTCCGGTGGGCGTTTCAAAGACGAGGGTGTAGCAGAGACGCAGCACGGAGGGCGGGAGCTTGGAGGAGATCTCGCTGGTCATGAAGAGCCGGAAGGAAGCGCTGGGGCGCATCGTGAAGATCATTTTCTCGAGCGTGGAGAGCCACTCGGGGCAGAGATGCACGTTGCGAAGCAGCACGGCGCTGCCGCGCTTCGCTGCGCTCGTGATGAGCTTCTCGGCGTCCGCGTAGGACTCCGCGTTACCCATTGCGATCGTGTCGAGCGGACGGTTGAGGTCCTGGTAGAGCTGCTCGACCTTCTTGCTGGCGTCGTAGCCGGGCTGCGAGCAGAGCAGGAAGGGACGGTCGGCGCGGGCTTCTTCCTCGACGAGCGTCTCGAGATTGTATGCTTCCTCGGAGAAGAACTGCGGGTCGACGAGCTCCATCACCACGAATTCGATCGCCGAGATGAGCAGCTCGGGGCGGAGCTCTTTGATGAGGAGCAGCCAGCGCCAGAGACAGCGGCCGTGCGACCATCCGTTCTCGCCGAGCTCGTCGATGATGGGCTTCAGCTCGTCCAAGGGAGCGTTCATGAACGTGTCCGACCAGTACTTCGATCGCTGCAGCAGCAGCTTCTTGAGATTGTTGGTGTGGTCGAGCGAGAGATGCAGCAGAATCTGCGACTCCTGGTCTTCGTTCAGCAGGTCGCCGAACACCGCAGTCACGAACTTCTCCGCCGAATCGTCGACCGTCACCAGCGTGCCGCGCAGCAGCAGCTGCAGCTCGGAAGGCTCGGCTTCTTCGCGCGTGTTCTGCACGAAGAGCTGGCACATGCGCAGCGCCAGAATGTGCGCGTCGAGATGCTTCAGTCCGCGAGCGACGCGCGCGTAGACCTTGCGGTAGAGCGCGCGGATGAGGACGGAGACGCGCTCGGACTGGGAGGGCGAGGAGTTCTCGCTGTTGCTGCTGTTGAGCACCGCGTGGAGAATGTCGAGGAAGAAGTGGAGGTTGTAGCGATACAGGAAGAACACGTGGTGCAGACTCTCCAGCACGAAGTAGAGACGCGAGCAGGTCTGCGAGAGCGGCTGGTAGATGCAGGAGGACTCGCGGATGGAGTTCATCACCGCGTCGGACTGGCTGATTTCGTAGGTGATCGTCTGGGCCTCGTGCTTCAATTGCTCCATGCTGTTCATCACGTTGTCGTTGTCGAGGATGTTGCCCTGCACGCTGCTCAACGAGATCAGGAGCTGCTCCTCCAGATCGCGAAGCCGCGCCTGGTATTCGCCCTGCAACTGAAGCAGGTCGTTTCGCCGGCTGTACAGCTCGGGCGCCTCCTTCTGCAGAATGATGTTGAGACATTGGTCCTGGAGGGATGACAGCGTCATCGTGAAGTTCACGAAGGTGACGCGGGAGCAGAGATCGGGCGGGAATTGATGCGAAGAGTCGCGCGTGGTGAGGAAGAGATTGAACGACGGCGAGAAATCGATGTCCTGGTCGCCCAGACGAATGAGCGTTCGGCCGCCCTCCTTGTGGAACTCCTTGTTGAGGAGAGGGTTCAGCACGGGATCCGCGTTTTCCACGTCCTGCACGATCAGAATCGAGCCGAAGCGCAGCGCGGATTCCAGCAGTTTGATGAAGTTTTTGTCCAAGAAGGAGGTCTTGATCACGCGATCATTGTTGAACGTGTTCATGATGTAGTTCACACCCTGCCCGCTCGGGTCGATCAGCAGCGGATAGCGATTGAATCGGTTGAGAATGATCGCGTTCTGCATGCACAACTCGTCCGCCGGCAGGCCGTCGGACTGCCACTGCAGCCGCGCCTTCGACGTGGAGAGATACGTCGTGGTGTCGAAGTGCTCGTTGAACGGAATGCAGAGATCGCGAAGAAGCGACTGGCACTCCGTGAACAGCATCGCGCGGTGATGCTGGTCGAAGAAGCCTCCATACGTGATGAACGACGCGCCCAGAAGGCAGTCGCCGATCATCCACGCGAGCTCCTTCTCGAATTCGAACGAACTTTCCTTCCATCGCTTCTGCTCCGACTCCAGCGACTCCAGCAACCGCGCGCTGCGCTCCAGCTTCTCCATGACCGCCTTGATTTCGATCGAAATCTGCTGCGTCCGCTGCGCCATCAGCGTGTATTCCTGCGTGTATCCGTCGATCTCCGCGTTCAGTTTGCCCAGCTCCGCCACGCACTCGTCGTGCTGCTGCCGCAGCTGGTTGCTCTTCTGCGTTAAGAACTCCATCTCGTCGTTCAGCGGCTTCACGCGCTGCAGGATGTACGAATACTCCAGCTGCGACTTCACCCAGTTGTAGAGCGGCCCGCACACTTTCGAGCTCCGCACCGCCGTTTCGTACGTGAACCCGGGCGTTTTCATGATCATCGAGGCTTCTTCCGCGGCTCGCCGCGTGATTTGCTTGGTCTCGAAGTTCACGATCGTCTGAATGAACGAATCCTTCCGGATCGTCTTCTGGATCTCCTTCCAGGTCCCCGACTCCTCGCCGATCAAGCAGCAGACCGCCTGGATCGTCAGCTGCACGTTCTGCGGCGGCCGCATCATCGACCGGATCTCGTTCAGCTGCGTCTTGTTGATCTCTTTCACCGTCGCTTTCGCCTCTTCCAGCAGCGGCTCCACGCGGCTCAGCTCGCCGTTCACGCGAGCTCGCTTCTCCTTGATCTCTCCGTACTTCGCTTGCAATTCCTGCGCCAGCTCCGTCGCGGCTTTCTGGTTCTGCGTCGCCTGCTCCTTCTTCTCGATCACCTGCTTCAGCTTCAAAGCCGCGGCTTCGTTCGCAGCGTCCAACTCCACCTTCTTGTGGGAGACCTGCTCGCGAAGCACGCGCACTTGCTCCTCCGTTTCGCGCAGCTTGTTGAGACCCACAACGAGATGCTTCTGCTGGTCTTCCAGCTCCTCGCGCTTGTGCTGAACCAGCGCCAGATAGTGATTAATGAAATCCAAATAATCGCGGGGCGAGCAGTAGCAGCGCGTGTCGTTGCCCTTCTCCTCGTCCAGACGCACGACGGCTTGGTGCACGAAGAGAATCGCGGTGGTCACGGCGTCGTGGATCGTCAAATGCACCGTCGGATCCACCGCAGACACGCCCCACGACTTCGCAATGAGCTCTTCTGCGCGCTTGGACGGCGCGTAGGAGTCCGAAACGTCCAGACTGATGCTCGTCGTGAAGTACTGCGAGACCTGGAGCAGAGCGTCGCGATCCCACGTGCCGAACCAGTCCACCACGCAGCGATTGAACAGCGCGGGGGAGCTCGCGGCGCGGTCCCGGAAGTCGCCATTGGCGGGATTCATTGTGAACACCACGTGGAGATTGCGCTGCACGCGCAGCGTGAACCATTTGAACAATTCCTCGGCGGAATCCATGATGAGTCCTTCGCGCGTCGCCGCTTCGCGACACGCCGACATGAGCGAAATCATATCATCGCCCTCGTACAGCCCGGGCACTTCGCCACTGGCCAGCAACGCGTTCATTCGCTCCAAGAAGCCGGTAGACAAAATGTTGGACTCATCGAAAATGAAGCAGGTCTGCTCGCCATCCACTCCTGCTTGCCGCATCACTTGGCGCAAGTCGTCGTCGAAGCTGTCCAGCGTGTAGCGACGACTCACTTTGATTTGGAACACCGAGATCGCGTTCATCCACGCCACGAACCGCGTGAGAACCGTCTTTCCCGCGCCGCTGTCTCCGACTAAAAGCAAATGGCCCAAGGACTGGCGAAGCACGCGGTCGATTCGAATCACGTGCTCCAGCACATCGTCGAAAAGAACCAGAGGCACGTTGAGCTCTTCGTCGTTAAACACGCGCAGACGCGACTCCAAATAGCGACGCAGCGTCTCGCGGTCCACGCTCTGGTAGGTCCCGTTCAGCCAGCGCGTGTAGAGAATGGGACGCTGCAGAACCGCGGGGCGGATCGACGGGAACGTGGATTGGATCACTTCGTCGAGCGTCTGCTGGCACCACTGCTTCTCCTCTGCAGTGACCAGGCGGTCGCAGAAGAGACGGAGCGCTTCGTGCGCGGCGAGGCGAATCAATTCGTCAGGAGTCACGTCCGATACGTCCTCGAAGGCGTTGTGCAGAGCGCGGACCCATCGAGAGAGCTCGCGAGGCGAGTACACGTACTGCGGCTGCTGCTCCAGCGAGAATCGGCGCTTGTTCTGCTCGTAGAAGTCGACCATGACCTGCGTGAGGGCCTGGTACTGCGATGCAATGCTGGGCTTGGTGGACACGAGGGCTTTGTTGAAGGTGGAGTAGATCTGGAGGAGAGATTGCTGCTCGGGGTAGTCCACGTAGAGCAGAGGCGTGTGGGAGAGGAAGCGAGTGGAGAGAGGCACGCGGCCCGGATCGGTGGGCGGGTTGCAGGCCGCGACGAACTGGATGTTCTCGCAGTGCACCCACAAATGGTCGCGTGTGCTCCAGAAGCCTTGCTGCTCGACCAGCTGGCGAAGCAGACTGATCACGCGCTGCGTGCCGTACTTGTCTTCCTCCGGAAGGTTCACTTCGTCGCAGAAAATGATGAGCCACTTCTCGGGAGAGGCGGGACGGAGCACCAGACCGGACGGCGTCTTCTGATAGACGCCGTATTGGTCGAAGATCTTCATGATCAGCGAGGGAGACGTCGTGCTGCTGAAGTTCACCGACACCACGTCGAATCCATTGAGGTTCTTCAGCGTGTCGGTGAGCGTCATCGTCTTTCCAGAGCCCGGCGGACCGCAGAGAATCACCGGCTTGCGTGTGTTCAAGAAGGCACGCATGACGTGCTGATTGCGAAGCGTGTCGACCGTGGGAATGACGACGGACGTGTCCAGAACGCTGTTCGGATCGATCTCGACATGCGGGACGCGCTCGCTCCACAATCGCCACTGTCCATCGGCGAGATTCACGTAATGATCGAGGAGGGGAATGCCGTCGGAGGGCAGGGCGAAGGACGTCGCGGCGCGGATAATCTCGCAGAATTCGATGCGATCCGTGCCGACGAGCGACCCGCCAAAGCCCCAAATGATGGCTTCGATCATGCGGTTGGAGACGAAGTTGAGGAAGTGCTCGCCAGCCATGGGTCGCTCCAAATGCTCCATGTTGTACTCGATGATGTCCATCACGATCTGCTGCAAGAGGCTGTTAAACGACGACACCAACTCCGTGGCCGTCACATTCATAATGTGGTCGTGCGTGATCGACCAGGTCAAACACTGCTCTAACAGACAGTGCGGCTCGCAGTACGGCGTCACGATATCCGCGACTGCGTTCTGCACGGCGAGCTGCGATGGCTTGTCGACGTCTTGCAGCAGAGGATCGGATCGAAGGCAAAGCAGGCCATGCATGAACATGCTGCTCATCGGCACGACCTCCTCGCTGAACCACACCGTTCCGCAACGACTCACCGAAGCAGGCGTCGCGTACTTCAGGTTCTCGACTTCGAATAGAATTCGGACGTTGGGAGGGAGCGAAAGACGGTCGCCTGTCGGAAGCGTGAGGAGCTTGTTGTCATCCAAAACCGAGTTGAGGTTCTCGGCCCATTCCGGATCCACATCGCCATCGAACACGATCCATTGCCGTCGCGTGCTCTCGCCGCGCACATCGTTGTAGATCTGGCGAATGATCTTCGTGAACACTCCGTCCGTCCATTCATTGGTCGTCTCATCCAGCGATCCGAAGAGCTGGTCCTTCGAAATGGCCTTGGGGTCGATCGTGTAAACCACGCCTTGCTGCCCGTCCAAACACTCCATCGCCTTCAGCAAGCACCGCAGAATCGACGACTTTCCGCTGCCTGAAGGACCCACCAGCATCACGCCATGGCGAAGATCCTGCACCTGATAGAGCTGTAGCGCCTTTTCGATGAACGCGTCGGTCGGACACAGCTTCTCCTCCTTGCACACTTCCCGCAGCATCGATCGGAGCTGCTCGGCCTCGATCTGCTTCAGCGTCGCGCCGGTGAACACGCTGCCCAGCAGACTCTTCAGAATCGGGAGATCCTCGGACACCAGCTTCGGAACGATCGTATCGCACACGCTCGACAGCAGAACATCGCGCTCGAACGCCTCCTGCTCGCGCAGATCCCGCTCCTCCTCGGCCTCGTGCTGCTCCAAGCGATGCCGTTTCAGGTTGCCCGCGCTCACCACCACGCTCTTCAACGCGCGCAGACCGAAATCATAATGCGCCTGCGGCGACAGCTGGTCCTGGCAGAGCGTAAACAGCAGCACGAGCTTCCCGGCCAGCACTTCGGAGGTCCGGAATCCCTGCGAGAACAGCATCACCTGCGCGATTTTCTCCCAGTCCGGCTGGATCATCGCGATGCTTCGGAACAGCTGCTTCAAGTTGTCGGGCAGGTTGCTTCGCCCCGCGTAGCCCGGGTTCATGGTGACGAAGATTCCCACGTTCGGGTGCAACTTCACCGGCTTCTCCAGAAGCAGAATCTCCGATTTCTGGTCGCGCAGACCCGTCTGGATCGTCCAGATCTGCTGCGAAACCGCGGAGAGAATGCGCTCCTCCAGGCGGTTGAACTCATCGAAGCATCCCCACGCGCCGACCTGGCACAACCCGCGGAAAATCCGGCCCATCGCTTGGAAGTCGAACGATTCGTCGCAGTTAAACACCAGGCAGAAGCGGCCCAGCAGCGACGCCAGCATCTTCACGGACTCCGTCTTACCGGTTCCCGCGGGACCGAACGGATTGCCGCCCAGCCCCATCATGAGCGCCTGCGTGAGAGTGAGATAGCAGCGATCGGTCAAGGGGGTCTGCACCAGCCGCTCGCAGACGCCCAGGTATTCGTAGCCATAGAGGAAGGAGGCGTCGGCCACGCAGAGCGTGAGGCACTTCATTCGATCGGGCTCGTTGGCGTTGTAATAGGCGCGCAGGCGGCCTTGCCAGCGGAAGTCGGAGCTGTCTTGGACGCCCTCGTCGAGAAGACTCTGCGTCGATCCCTTCTCGTACACGAACTCGGTGATGAGCTGCTCGTATTTCTTTCGCTCGTCGGTCTGGAGCGAGTGCATGACGCGCTCCGCGAGGATTTGAAGCATGGAGTCGATCTGAGCGATGCATCCTTTCAGCAATTCCGAGCTGTTCGAGCTGTGCAGAGCCGCTTCGATCTGGCTGCACCACATAATCTGGCTGGACAGGATCACGATCTGCGACGGATAGCTTTGGATCCACGCAGGGAACGTCTCGGCGTTGATCTCCAGACTCGTCAGCTTCGCCAGAGACGCCTGGAGGAGATAGGCGAGCGACTCTCGCATGGTCTGCTCGATCTGCGCCAGCCAGGACACGACGGTGCGGTCCTCCGTCACGTCGATGGGCTGATGGAAGGGAACCACCTCGCCTTCCTTGCTGACCATCGCCGTGATGCGGCACGTTTTGTTCTCCAGAATCGAGTACTCCAGCAGGTTGATCCCTGCGAACATTTTGTTCAAGTGTCGCTGCACCTTCTGCGGATCGCGGCTATTGCCCAGGATCTCCAGCAAATCCTCGTCGCCCACGAAGTAGAACCGCGAGAACAGCTGCCGCTGCTTCTCCAAGAACTCGCCCAGCGCCTTCTGGATCTTCGACAGCTGCTGCGCCAATCGCTCGAGCGTCCGCTGGATGTTGGGCGTCATAAACACGTCGATCACGCGCGGCTGCGCGGCCACCTTCCGCATCATCGAGATAAACTCCGAGTCGATGCTCTTAAACCGATTGTAGTCCTGCGGAAGCTGCTGCATGATGTCGGCTCCGCTCATAAAAATTCCTTCCAGATACACCCAGCGACGCTGCACGTCGATCCAGTTATCGTACAGAACGCGCATGCGCGTGACTTTGTCCTCCCAGCTCTCCGCCTCCTCCGCGAAGACGCGGTAATACGGCGATTGCTTCATGCTGGACAGCGCGGAGATGTGCTCGTCGAGCTTCTGGAAGAGCGCTTCCCAGCCGCGAATCAGCTTGCAACGGCCTTGGTAGGAAACCAGCTCCAGCTGGTAGGCGTTCCAGAACTCCCGGATTTGCTTGAGGAACTCTTCGATCGCCAGCTCGCCTTGCGCGATGGAGAGCACGTCCGTGATTTTCTCCTCGTTCTCTTGGAATTCGGGCGTCCAGAAGTCGCGAACGCGGAGGAATTCGTAGGACGTGGAGAGGTTGAGGAAGGAGAGGATCTGCGACCAATGACGCTCCTTCAACGAGGAGTTCTTGAGCTCCTGGAGTAGCTTGAACTCCTTCTTGTATTGTCGAATGGTGGTCTGCAGATACGTGAAGCAGGCGTATTGTTTGGAGCGAGAAGGAATCGATTCCAAATCCTTCTCCAGCTCGTTCAGCTGCTGATTGAACGTCTTGGGAATGAACATGCTCCACATCGTTTCGCCCACGCTGTTCAGGCGGTTCCAATATTCCAGCACAGCCTGCCAGGCTTCCTGCAGGCCGTGAAGCTCGGTAAGCAGCAGATCGACGGGACTTTCGCGGTGAACGTCGAGAGACAACGCGTCGCGCCCCTTGTTGACCTTCGACCATTGGTCGTTCAGCGAATCGAATTTGAGTTTGAACTCTTCCAAGGTGGTCAGCGCGTTCTGCACGGGAATCGAACCATCCAAAGGACGGTTCTGCTCCCATTGCGACGTGGCCTCGTCAACAGCTTTCTTCACTCTGTTGTCCTCCATGATGATGTTCTTCTTCAGCTGCTCCTGACTGGCCTTGATGGACTCTTGTCTGCGGTTGAGGATCTGCTCCAGCGAGGACCAATCATTCTCGAGCTGCTGCGAATAGATCCACTCCGAGGGGTAGTTGTAGTTCTGGCTGTCCAGCAGCACTTGGCAGTTCATCAGCGCGTTCTTCTGCGACTTCCAGGTCTGCAGATTGTGAACCACTTCGCGCACCAACAGAATCAAGTTGATCGTTTCGTTCGTCGACGCGTTCACGGAAAGTCGCTCCAGTTCGGAGCGCGTGCTCGAAAGAACCTGGCTGAACTGCTTCGTCTGCTCCAGAACCAACTCGCTGAACGAGGTCAGCAAATCCTTCTGCAGCGCGTCGTACCGAATGCTCATGCTCGACTGCACTTGCTCCAAATTCACGTGCACGCAGCCAATCACTTTCTCGATGCTTTCAGACTCCAAATCCGCCTTGGCTTTCGAGAGGCCTGATAAAAGCTTCTGCCACATGTCCACGTTGCTGCCCATGCTCTCCGCGATCTCCTTGGGGTTCAGTTTCCAGACGGCTTGGTTCTGCAGCCAGCCGTTCGTGAATTGCATCACGCGCTCCATCAACGCTTCGATGAGGCCGAAGCCTTCGCGGATCGCGTCCTTGTTCAGATGAGCGATAATAGAGGAGAACGAATCATCCTCTTTGTTCTCGCTCGCAGAGGAATACACGTCCATTAATGGCTTCAACCGAGGCAGACTTGCCACGCTGCTCACGATCGTCTACGTCTCACACGCATTTCACTCCGGTACCAGCAGCGAATCGAACCACAATTTCTTCGTATCGGCGACGGGAGGCGTGACTGTGAGATTGTGGCTCACCACGCGGATCAAATGAACGTAATTCACCTGCATCGCAGCGTCGTACACGCTCGTCTCGGCCACAGTCTCGCGCTCTTCGCCAATGGCTTCTTCCTCCTGGATCGGATTCGCGGATTCTTCGCGTTGGCGGCGACGGAACGCGACGAGCCACGTGGTCAGCGCGTTGTTCGCGCGGGTTTCGAGGAGCGTGGCGATGTCGCTGTTCAATCGCTCGATGAAGAGGGACATGTTGAAGCATCGGAGATTGTTCAATTCGTCGATCACGGATTGCATTTGCGAGAGAATCGGAGAAAACAAGTCGCGTTGATACGCGCACTTCGTCAAATCCAACTTCAACTGCTTCAACAATTCCGTGTGGATCGTGATCTGCGCGATTCGGTCTTGCAACGTAAACACTGCTTTCGTAAACGAGGGCGTGAAACTGCCGATGAAACCCCCTCCAAACAGCTACTCTTTCAAGTTGAAGCTTTGCCACGTGATCTTCTCGGTCACTGCGTAAGCGATCAGATCGCGAACGGCCTGATGATACTCTGCGGCCAGCTCCAAAACCTGCGGGTCGGTTTGGCGGATGATTTGCGTGTAGGTGAAAAGCGCGCCGCGAAGCGCCGTGGCGTTCGCGTAGCACGATTTGGAGGTTTCTCCCGCGGCTCGGATGGCGACGGGGGGTCGGATGTTGAGCCAATTGAGCGTTCGAAGCTCTTTGAAGAGGATGAAAATCTCCTCGTCGTAGTTGAGCTACCAATGAATCGGAAATGAAGAAATGAATGATACGCTGATCACATAGCCTTGGATCGGATTCCGCGAGATGGTGAAGATCGACGCGTTTAATGGCTGTGCGGTGATGCGGGTCTTCATCGACTCCATCCATCGATTGACCTGGCCCGATGTATCCACTCGTTTCTTCAGCGAATCGCAGACTTGCTACACATCATGACTTTGCATCCGAAGCGATCCAACCTTCAGCTTCTGCCCTTCTTTGTGCTTCTCCCAGTCCTTTCCCAGCAAAACCTCCGCGTGATGCAGATACGTGTCGAGTTTCGTTTCGATCTGGCGAGCCCAAATCACGCTCGAAGCGAGCGGAGGCAAGTCATACAGCCGTGCGATCCGACAGGCCTCCGAGTCGGGATACGACACATGCTGCAATGACTCATACAATTTATCCGCGTCTTTCCGAACCTGCTTGAACAGACTGGTCTGGTACTGCTGAATGGACACTTGGATGCGTCTTCGAAAGAACAGCCGATTGTACTTCCCGTAGATCTGCAGCATCTGCTCGGTCGAGTGCGATCCGTTCAGTTTGCCGCGGATCATCTCCGCCAAACTCTGGTCCACGCTCTCCATTTGATGGTCGTAGCTCTTCACCAGCTCGTTCCACTCCGAAATCGCGCCTTCCGAGAGATCGCTCACGTCCACCGAGCGGAGAATCGTGTAGGCTTCGATCACTTGATTCACGAGCGACGCTTCCTTCTCTTGAGGAGCAATCACTTGCTGCAGCGTTTCGATAAACCGGTTGTGAAGCTCGCGGAACGCCTGGACGGTCTTCAGTCGCTGCTGCAAGGGCGTGAACGTGGAGGTGAACTTCACGAGCACGGGGTCGTTGCGCCGCGCGCAGAGTTCTTTTAGAAACTGCCAGAAGGAGATGATCTCGTCGTCCCAGACCTTAAACACGTGGTTGCAGTCCTTCATCATCGACGAAAACGACTTGAAGTCGATGTCCATCAAGCGAACCGAGTGCAGAATCGAAATGCATTGGTTCGTTACGTCCCGATTGATCAGATCCACGAAGTCCACCATCCGGCTTATCGGGTACCCGCGGTTATTCTTCAGCTTCTTCAGTTGGACGAAGAGTTGCTGGATCACCGACGCCAAACCGGGGAAATCGTGGTTTGCGAGCAGAGAATTGATCGGAACGCCGCTCATCAGCTCCGCATTCTCCGTCACTTCTTCCAGCCGCGAGCGAAGCCGCGTAGTAACCTCGAATGTCCCCGCGGAAACGATCAGGTTGTTCGTTTTGAGGACGGAGAAGAGCACTTGGACCTCGTAGGAATCGAAGAGCTTGGCGATGTTTTCGAGAGAGCTCTTCAGAACCGACCAGTAATTGATTTCCTGTAACGAGGTTCCTTGTTTAATGTCCCGCGAATGGCTTGTCAGTTTCTGAATCTCGCGAAGCCACTGGCCTTTCAACGGCAAAAGCTGGTTCAGCAGGTCGGAGTTCGGCTTCTCGCCCCAGCCGAGCTCGGCACTGGAGAGCAGACGCCCCGCTGCGCGACATTTATCGGCGGCCTCGATGAGGAAGGAAGGGAAATTGAGGTGAACCTCGGGGATATCCAAGTTCTGCTCGTAGTGAACCAAAGCCATGTCCAGATCCGCTACACGCTTTAGGATCGCCGTCTCTATCGGTTAGGGGAGGAAATGGGGGAGAAGTACCGCCTCCGTCGCGTTTGAAGGTTCCAATGAGCGGATTGAGGGTGGAATGAAGATAGGAACGCATGATGGTCACTGGGTTCACCGTTTGGTTTTCAAAAACATCGCTGTTGGTCCCTTCCTTGGAAGAGTTTACGAATTCCGCTAGATCTTGGTCCGTTAGGTTGACAACTGAGACTTGAGAACCCAAACGCACGTCGGTAGCCAGGGGCCCGTTTGTTTTGTTAAAATACACAATACACTGAATTATCGGAAGCGAAAGCTGCGAGGCTTCCAAAATCTCGAGAAAGCCCTTTCCTTCTTCCTCTACAATTCAAAATACAGAGCATCGCAAACGTTCTTGTTTGCTTAAAAGACGAATAGCGACCGTTCTCAACTCCCCCTTGGCAAAGCTAAAAAGCATGTCAAGAGTTCTAGAATCATTTATAAACGATCGTACTACGTCGACATCTAGCAGTTCAAAAGCAGCTAGACAGGACCCTAACAATTACCTCGTTTCCAAGCTGGATACGTTCAAAATAGTTTACTAATATATTCTTATTTTGATTCCAATCCATATTTCTTTCCGAAACGTAGTAGGTCTCGAAAAACTCTAAAAGTCAAAACTCGTGCGAACTTGGGGAATCCCAAAAATCCAAATCACTCACAACAGAAATGAATTACAGAGGGAACGATCATTATCGCGGAGGAGGTGGTCGTGACCACAGTGACACACGAAGACGTATGGACGACGATAGGCGACATCCGGTAGTTCCTGGCTTCACGTTCGTCAACCTGTGTGAATCAAATGTAGAAAGGAAGAATTTGCTAAGGAGCAGAGCAGCAAACGATTCCACGAGTCTGGAGCTGAAAAACATAGGGGAGGAGAGATGGGTAGTTTTGAAGAGCGAAGTCGTTCGGCCTGGTTCTCTTTGTATGAGTGATAGGATTCGATCGTTCATTGCATCCCCAACAAAACCCTGCAAACAATATTCTTTGTATCAAAAATCTTGCTATGGAGGTGACCGAAGCGATGGTTTCTCAAGCAGTTTCCGGTGTGAGCAATAGATTTGGGAGCAGTTGCTAGAGGATCGTTGCAAGAGTGTCCGTCTCATATCAGACAAGGATACTGGGCGACCTCGAGGATTTGCCTTTCTCGGATTTCCCTCTATTGTAGATGCTGCAAATGTTCTATCCAAATACCGTTCTTTCCTAGCTGCTTCCCATGAGTTCTAGCGTCCAGCTCGGGTCTGGGTACGGGGAACCCCTTGGTGCTGTGCAACCAAACCTGCATTTTGGAATACGCGGTCGGTACGAACGATTCGCGCTACGACAAGAAAATCGACTGGATCTGCGATAATGTACACATCGGTGTTCGCTCCCACGCAGTGCAACACGCTCAACGCAGGCCGTCGCTACAAGTGCATCAACTGTCGGACGCCTCGCAACGAGAACTGTCTCAATCCGGAGCGTCTTCAGTTCGAGTTTTCGCAGACTCCGAGCGTAGCCGTGCTCGTTCGAGGGCTCGGAATGTCTGCAAACGAAGCGGATGTGGTGATGGGAGGGCGGAGTGATGTGTAGCTGCGCGCAGCGTTCAATCTCTACGCGCCGGTGAAGCAGTGTTATCTGTTTCGGGACGAATACAGCCATTTGTCGCGGGGATACGGCGTGGTGGAGTTCGAATCGATCGAGGGCGCAGTGCATACGGTGGGATTCAAGGGATACGCGACGGTGCGTGGCGTGCAAGTGGTGATTGGGTTCGCCAATCCGCAGTGCGTGAGGTGGGGAGAGCGGAAGGGGCGTGAGAAGCAGAGAAGCGCACACGACGACGACGCAGATGGCGACGACGCCGGTGTACAATCCTTATTTGCAGCCAGTGAACATGATGATGTATATGCAGTACCCGATGATGCCCGCCTACGCGATGCAGCCAGCAATGAATTCGATGAATTCGATGAATCAAATGAATCAAATGAATCAAATGAATCAAATGAATCAAATGAATCAAATGAATTCGATGAATTCGATGAATCAAATGAATCAAATGTCCCAAATGCAACCTCCATTACAACCCTCATCGTCCCAAGTGGATTCACAAACGGGCCCATCGGTCGCCACTCCTGCACAGCCCTCTTCCTCCTCCTCCTCCTCTTCAGCACAGCCCTTAAAGCACGATAAGGGCAGCAGTTTGTTCTCGAACCAGAAGAAACTCGCGGACGGTCGGCCGTTTCCTTCGGATTACCGCACGAACAGTCTGAACTTCACCTTCGACGCCGCCTCAGGCTTTTTCTACGAAGCCTCGTCGAAGTTCTACTACTGTTCCTCGGCCGATCTCGTTCCTCTTCTTTCCGCTCTTCATTCTAGTATCTCGATTCCGTCTCTTCGCTTTACTACACTCTCAAAGATCACACACTCACCCCTTTCACGCCTCCTCTTCCCTCCACCACCGCCGCTCCGCCTCCCATTCCTCCTCCTCCAGAGCAGCCCGCCATCATCTCCGCCCCCTCCACCTTTCAGTTCGCTCCGCAGCCCGCAGCCCCCGCCGCGCCGATCGCTCTGACCATCAAATTCAAGACCGATCTCCACGAGATCATCAAGCCTCCGCCCCCGCCATCGCAGCCGGCTTCTTCTTCTTCGTCGTCGTCCCAGCACGCAGCTCCCGACTCCAAGGATTCGCTGGACACGCTGCAGCTGCTCCCTGGGCAGTCTGTGAATTGGGACTTGCAGCCCGCGCGGTCCAAAGCCGCCAAGCGCAAAGCGCCTCCCAAAGAGCCAGAAAAAGCCCCGAAAAAGGAACCGCCGTCGCTCGGCGAGGTGAAAACGAGGCGTGTGAGTGAGGCGTAGATGAGACGAATCGCGGGGCGAAGCCGACACGGGTGTCCGGCGTGTTTCGTGCGATTGAACCGCGGTTTTAATGGTAGATGTGCGGTCGACGCTTCCAAGACGACGCGAAGCTTCAACTCCACATGGAGAAGAGCGAGCTGCATAAAGTAGGCGGTGTGCGATGCTGTGAGAGAGCAGTATAACTTGGTTTTGTGGAACAAAGCGCATCCAGTTTATCGCGATCGCGCAGAAGAACGAAGACGAACCGTGGGATCGGATGCCTATACCACCGCGCATCGGCCTGCCATGCACACGCAAGCGGTTGTGCTGGAGTCCACGGCGCCGCCGCCGCGAATGCCGGTGAGCACGGTGTACCGTCCGACGGAGATGACGACGGTGATGAATGATGCGGTGATTCCGGGGTACTCGCGAGGCCAGGAGAAGAAGGTGGAGGCGCCTTCGATCGGACAGATGCTGCTGGCGAAGGACGGATGGCTGCAGAAACACAAGGAAGAGAATGTGTCGGTGGTGGGGCAGACGAGCTCCAATCACGGCGGCTTGGGCTACCAGAGCATGATTTTAGAGGGAGATAATTTTTTGAAGAAATAGAGGGTTTGTTCTCAAACAGCGACACATCGCATAGAAATACACACGAACACGTTTACTGAATGACAAGAACCACGCTTCGATCATTTCTTGCAGGCCTTGCAGGACTTGGCGGACTTACAGGACTTGCATACCTTGTAAGGCATCACAGCGTTTTCCATTCCAATCGCTGCTAATGGCTCGAAAATATGGAAAATGTCCTCAATCTCGATGATTTTACGGAAATACGGACAGCCCATCAAGATCGACACGATGGAATTTGCTGCTCGGCTGTTTTCTCGCCCGCCAGCTTCTTGTAAAAGCGTGTTGCTGTACTGGCAGCATGAAGCAATCGCTTGCAGGAAAATCTTCAATTGGGACTTCAACGGAGATATGGACGGCTATTCGTCAAGAAATCGGGACATCCGCACATTCGAAATCGCCTCGTACACCATTTTGAGAACCCATGTATTGGTAAAGAAAGCTGTCTACGAGCATAACGCAGAGAGAGTGCGGAAATACCAGTACATGTTGATCGGAGCAGTACACAATCGCAATGAGTATATCCACGATGTTGATGTGAATATTGGTTACAGAAGGATACAACTGCATCAGCCACATCAAGAACTCGATGCACTCCTACACCTCACCGAATTCCAAAAATCGGGACATTTTCTAATAGAAAAAGAAAGAGCCTTGCGTCGCCTTGATTCGACACATAATAATATAAAAAATCACATAAACCTAACACCACTTTAGGAGCCATTCGTAACACCATCGTGTTCTCCCCGCTTTGTGGATTTCCAAATTTCTGGACTATTTTCAAATGCGTCTATTTCGTATTTTTTTCTTATTTTCTTTTGTACCTCGACAATAAACCGAACCTCCTCGATCAGTTCCACCAGCCGTACTTCGCACATCCCCGCGATTCGATTCACCGCGGTTTTATCCCGCAACGCGCCCAGCGCCGCGAGCTCCTCCGTGGAAACGGGGAAAGCGTGGAAGGACGCATTGTACCCTCCTCTCCCCGCGGGAGCTACATGCCAAAAGTGGAAACGTGGATACCCGTGAGAGCATCGCGGTAAAAGAAACGCGCGAGAAGAAGAAAGCAATTGGACGCGATTTCCGCGCTGCTGTTCGCGAGCTGCTGCGTGAAGGAAACGGCTGCGGATAAGTGGAAACGTGGAAACGGACGGTCGAAGGTGGGGGAGCGGAGAAAGGCGAGGAACTGAACGCGCGTTCGCTGCAGACTGGCGGCGAGGATGGAAAACAAACGCTGAAGACTGGCTTCCTGCGTAAGACTGCGGAGCAGATGCAGCGAGGAGCGGAGAGAAAGCGGCTCGGATTGGCTGGGAGTGAGGAAAAGGGGAAACGTGGAAACTGGAAGACGGTAGCACGCTGAATGATCGAGAGAAGGAGCTCCTTGGCGTTGAAGGAGGTGGCTTCTTCTTCGAGCTTGTTGAAGATTTTGGAGATGAACGAGGAGGAATCTCCCCACCAGCATGTGTTGTCTGAGCATTAGATCATCATGACTTGGGTCACTGTAAGATGGGATGTCGATTAAATAACGGAGAGAGTTGAGATAGCTAGGCAAGGAGATACGGCGCAACAGCACGTTGGTAACGACATCCACACGCATTCGAAGATAGGTGTACAAAACATCGGGAGTTGATGAGACGAACCGCTCCACCATTTGGCAGAAGCAGGCAGCTTTTCTACGATTAGAGATACGACAAAACGTCACCGAGGACTCGTCATCCCCTCAGGGATCCGAAAAAAGGAATCCATAAGAAAATCATTAGAGCAGATGTCATCAATAAAACTGTCTGGTAGGCAACTAAAGATATCAGCACACATTTGTGGAAAATTCAGACGGAACCCACTGTGCTCCACGATATTCAACCGCACAATACTACGATTCACCACTGCAGAAACGCATTTACTCAAACATAGCACTGATCGTAAAGATGTCGTCAAATACGTTAATCACCTTTCTGTTCTCATACTGAACTTCGTCCACAATGTTCGCCTTGCAGAATACGTCCAGCAAAATGGTTTTTCGATCAGACATCCCCTCAACATATTTTTCACTCGCTTCATGGCCGGCCATTCCGTGCTCTTCTTCATCACTCATACTAGCGAGCCTCCGATTCAAATGGGTTTCTGAAACGTTTTTTATGGAAATCCCAATTAACCAATTTCAATTTCTCTTTCCTGGAACCGTATCTGGATTGTTGATACAGGGAAATGAAGTATACACACTGGAAGGAATTTAGGGTGAGCGCCATGCGACTTTTCATGCACAACCCGGAAGTGGTTCGTTTTGCCTTATTGGAGTTACCCCTAGTTTCGATATAACATCCAGTATGCAGACCACAAGAAAGGAGTGAGTATTAGCTGTACCGATAATGACATTGTGCGTTTTTTGTTTCCCTTATCATGGTAGCACATTGAATACTTTGCAAAGACCTCCGATGATCTTCCCAAGATCGAATTGCTCGTCGATTGGTTTCTCAACAAAATGGCGTCCAGCCTTCCTTTAGAAGAGCGTATTGTGTTTCTTGTTCCTCCTTCCCCCTAGTTCAGCAATCGATCCAAGCGGAAATCGATGCAGAGAGTGGAAAAGCACAGTTCCCTGTTTTCTAACAAACACACGACAACAGCATAACAACACTACACGCAGACACTCTTCACCATCCTTATTCCACCTCCATCTTTCCTTCATCACTCTCCACCTCCATGCTCTTCTCCTTCTCTGCTTTCGGCGACTTCGGCGACTTCGGCGTCTCTCCTTCGGCCCCCGCCTCCTCCTTCTCTGCCTTCGGCGACTTGGGGGTCTTGGGCGTCTCCTCTCCCTCCTTGGGCGACTTGGGCGACTTGGGCGTCTCGGTCTTCTTGGGAGCAGGCTTGGGCTTGCTCATCACCTTGTCAAAGAGCGCATTGACATTATTGAGTCGATCACGGAGGTCGGCGACGAGCAGCACGGGGTCTTCGGTCATGTTCTTCATGCTCTGCTTGTTCAGCATGTCGCTCAGCCAGCTTCGGCTCTCCGCCACGAGGTCGAACACCGGCTTCCGGTCCTCCGTCGTGATGTGCTCGTACTTCTCGTTCGGCGTGTTCAGCAGCCGCTCCACGGTCTCCAGCCGCTCGGAGAGCTTGGACACCGCGTCGGGGCGCTCCTGCGCTTCGCGGAAGCGCGTGGCGACCGGCTCGCCGATCTTCTGGAGCTTGCTGAGCCGCTCCTCGAAGACCTCGCGCTTGGCGTAGTAGCCCTCGTCGTCGTAGAGCCAGTTCTCGGTGGAGTCGAGGTCGTTGAGGAAGACCTCGCGGTCGGACTCGAGGATGTACGCCTGGTACGAGCTTGTCACCTTGTCGCGCATGTTGTAGATGTAGCTCTCCAGATCGTTCTTCGCGCGGTTCCGCGCCTGGATCTCCGCGTCCTTCTGCTGCATCTTCTTCTCCTCCTCCTCCGTGGCCTGCAGCTGGCTCGGCAGCAGCCCGGTGAACTCGTTCGTCACGGGCAACGCCTCGTATTTGAACGTCGGCTTCGGCGGCTCTTTCTTCTCTTCCGGCTTCGCAGACGCGCTGCCCGCCGCCTCCTTCTCTTCCTCCATCTTCTTCTCGCTCTCCGCCGACTCCTTTCCGGCCTTCTCTTCCTCCTTCGCGCCTTCCTTCTCTTCCTCCTTCGCCGTTTCCTTCGGAGACTCTTTAGGCGTTTCCTTAGGCGTTTCCTTGGGCGTTTCCTTGGGCGTTTCAGGAGCGGGCGGCTCGGGGATCTTGGACTGCGCATTATAAAGATAGCAGAGTCCGTGAGCGTCGTAGCAGAAGGTGCAGACGATGGCGGGGTCGGTCTCCTGCTCCTTCACCTTCTGCGACATGTCGATGGCGATCTTGGCGATCTGCGGGCGCGTTCCGGGCATCAGCAGCTGCAACGAATCCTCCGAGTAGACGAGCTGGAGCTGGATGGGACTGCGCGTGTGGAAGGTGACGCGCCGATAGGCGGGGAACTCGTCGCCCTTCTTGTAGAGATCGGTTTGGCTCTCCTTGCCGTTCACTCGCGAGACCAGACGGACCGCGTAGGGGATGCGATCCACGATGTCGTAGGGCTTCACGCGCATGCGCGGCGAGAGAATGGCGCACTGCAGCGCGCAGCCTCGCGCCACGGTCTCGTCCATGTTCAGCGTGGTGGACAATCCCATGCTCGGCTGCGTCGTGTCGAAGCCCAGCGTCTCCGCCAGCGCGCGCTTCATCTGCGGCACGCGCATTCCGCCTCCCACGATCTCGCACGCCGTCAGCTCCTTCGCCGTCAGCCCCGCCTCCTCCAGCGCGCGCCGCGCGACGCTCTGCAGCCGCTCCGGGAGCTTCTGCGCCGCGCAGAGGTCCTGGAAGTCCTTCAACGCGAGCTCGGTCTGGAAGTCGCGGTCCTCGTAGAGACACTCCACGTAGATCGGCGCCTTCGTCACGCCCGCAGGCGACAGCGTCTTCTTGGTCTTCTCGGCGGCGGCGAGGAGCTTGGCCATGGCGCGCGTGTTCTGACGCGGGTCGGAGTGGTACTTGGCGATGAAGCCCTCGGCGATGAAGTTCGCGATCACCTCGTCGCACGCGCGCGAGCCCAAATGCCGGTCGTACGCGCAGGACAGGATCTTGACCTTGCTGCTGGTGAAGGCGGCGACGGTGGCGTGCGTGGCGGTGTAGCCCATGTCGACAAACAGAATGTACACGGGCTTGTCCGAGAATTCGCCCTTCAGATTGCGGAATATGCCGTAGTCCAGAGCCGTCGCAACGTTCTCGTTCAGCAGGCGCAGGCAGCGCACGCCGGCGATCTGCGACGCGTGGTACATCGCGCGGCGCTGCGAGTCGTTCCAGAAGGGAGGAACCGAGATGACCACATCCGAGTTACCGCTGTGCTTCGAGGACTTCTGCGCCAGCGAGCAGCAGTGACGGAGCAGAATCGCTGTGATGTGCTCGGGAGTTAAAACCCGCGTCTCGCCGCCATAGTTCACAGAAATGCCGATGTGGTCGTTCTCCAGGGGAACCAGCTTGAACGGAAGCTTCTTCATCTCTTCCTGCACCTCCGGATCGCTGTAGTTTCGGCCGAGCAGACTCTTCATCATGGAAGGAGTGTTCTTGGCATTGGAACGTACCTAGTTGTCAGGAACATCCAACAAAGGCCTACGTAGGGCTCGGCGTGCTCTCCGATGAAACGCTCCTCATCTTGAAAAGACACAATAGATCTATAGATAATACATTCAGGGCAAAGACTCACGGTGTACGTCTCTTTGAATTGTCATTTAAGATGATATCGATACCTCCACGACCAAGTCCAGCTCCCATTCCGCCAGCTTGTCCAATAACGCAGGCATCGCTACCAAAATCAATTCCTAAAACAGACATTTTGAATTCGTTTCAAAGCAAAAGATATATATGTGCAGTACAGAGTTCATGGAGAAAACAGAAAGAACATTCTCGAACTCTTTCTTTCCTCTCTTGGGTCCTAGATCGCATGTTCGCGCAGAGCACCCTTCTCTGGACCAGCTGGTCTATTTGAAAGGAGTATAGGAACAAACAAGAAAACATTAGCTAAGGAAACGAAAAACTAGCTGGAAGCCGACACTAGAAATCCCAAGAAATACTCCACCAAACTCCCATCCATTTTAGAAACATCCATGTCACAAGTACTGCCCTCACCCTAATATTTAAACCCTGTGCATTGGGATATACGTAGACAATGCAATCCGGAGCAATTAGAGACACAGCATTCAGAACAATGCCAAGGACTTTGGGATCTGCGTGCTGCATCGCGTAAATGAACTGCTTCGTTTGCTCTTCTGACTTCCTATGACTTAATGCTCTGAAACAACTGCACTTTGGAACGATCTTATACGCAAAGTCTATTCATTCAGTCAAAAACGTGTAGTACATACCATATAACTTCTTTTCCTTCACTATCTTTTCAAATTCGTCAATAAACTGCTGAGCAATATCGCACAGCGCAGGCGAGTCCTACATTGAGTTGTAGACAATAAATAAATACAGTATTGAATGTCAAACAGTTACGATAAATCAACCGCATGTCAAATATATACTCCGCTGGAGTGCAGTATTCTCTGTTATTTAGTTTTTTCTAATTTACAACAACGAGTTGCCCCTACATCAATGGTCGTCAGATCCATTGGCCGTTTGACGATTTTTCTATATTCATAGAGTCCCAACTCTTCCCATCTCACCGGATCACGGAACATTTCTACGAGAAACAAACCTTGCAGACATGGTACCATATTTTGGGTCATTCAGGAAGCGCTTATGCACAGATCGGCATATCGCAAACTTTTCTTCCATTGGGTCGAGGAATATGGAGAACGGGGCAGATAAGTGAAAATTGGAATTCCATTTGTTCCACCCATCCCAAATGCCATTGACTCTAAAATCACCGTTATTCCTCTTGCTTAATTGTATTCAATATGCCACCAAGGAAGAGAGAGTTGACTAAAAACGAAATGAAGAAGGCGGAGAAGTTTGTGGAGGACAAGACCTTCGGACTCAAGAACAAGAATAAAAGTGCTTTGTTTCTCTTCACTCGGTGATCGTCTAGGTAAAAAGGTGCAGGAATACGTCCAGCAAGTCAAGAAGGTGTACACTGGAAAAGTAAGAGTTTGGGCAATGGACTCAAAAGTAGGATGCAAAGTCTGAGGAGCTGAAAAGAAGAGAAGTGATTACAAGGGGGTTGTCTGAATACTAGGCAAAGAAGATGCGCGACGCCAAGAAGGAGCAAGAAAAGGAGCTCAGCGATTTGTTCAAAGCTGTTATCACGGTTCCGAAGCTGGCGTTCGGAGAAGACCCCAAGTCGGTGATCTGCCCCTTCTTCAAGGCGGGTCGTTGCGACAAGGGTGATCGTTGCAAGTACAGCCACGACCTGTCTCTGAACACGCGTAAATCGGCCAAGAAGGACATCCACACGGATACCCGCGATGAGAAGAAGCAAGAGACCAACGCCGACTGGGACCGCGACAAACTGGAAGAAGTGCTTCGCCAGAAGGAAGGCAAGCGTCCGCAGACGACGACCAAGATCGTGTGTCGCTACTTCCTGGACGCGATCGAGAAGGAATGCTACGGCTGGTTCTGGCAATGCCCGAACGGTCCGGAGTGAGTTCGCTCGCTCGTTCTGACGGATAGCTGCAAGTACCGCCACGCTCTGCCCGAGGGCTACGTCTACAAAAGCCGTGCGGAGCGCGAGGCGGAGGCTGCGCTTCGCGAGAAGGACCGCGCGCAGGACAAGAACATGATGCGTCTGGAGAACATCGAGATGCTGGTAGCGTCGCGAGCGCTCGCTCACTCCTAGCGAAAGCAGCTGCCGCACACGAACCTCACGCCGGTGACGCCCGAGACCTTCGCGAAGTGGAAGCAGGAGCGCATGGAGCGCAAGCGAGTGAGCGAAGCAGAGAAAAGCGCTGATGCATAGAAGGAGGCCGAGGAGGCGGAGAAGGCGCAGGAGAAGAAGAAGGTGTCGGCGAAGGAGGCGCGTCTGCTGAGCGGCCGCGCGCTGTTCGTGTACAATCCGGCGCTGTTCGTGGACGACGAGGCCGCGGCGGACACGGCGGAGTACGAGGTCGTGGAGCCCGAGGAGGAGGAGCAGAACCGCGCCGAGGGACGCACGGAGGAGATGGGCATCGCGGAGGCGGCGGAGAAGGCGGCGGAGGCGGCGAAGGAGCGCGGCGAAGAGGAGGACGGCGAGGTGAAGATCCAGCTGACCGTGTTCAACGAGGAAGATTTGGACGGACTGGACGATCTCGACGATCTCGACGGACTCGACGAGGGAGAGGAGGCGAAGGAGCCCGCGGAGGAGGCCAAGGAACAAACCGGGGAAACGGAGAAACCCGAGGGAGAGGGAGAAAAACCGCCTTCGTAGAGAGGAGGGATAGGCATCGTTGAATGTTTGTTGGAATCACTAGAGGGGTGCATAAAGGACAATGGGAGAAGGAAAGGCTGAACTTGGAAGGGGATGGGTGGTGCCTGGATATAATACTCGTTGATTGTCCAACTCAAAGTGTGATAGAGTCAATTCACACATACACAAACATAGTATTTTTTGCTTCCATTCACTTGATTCGATAGTGTTTTCTTGGTGAAGAAGGTAGGTCGCAAATCGTTTGAGCAAAGTGTTTTATCCGCGATGATTAAATTGTGGGTACAGAGGTGAGCGCTTCCTACAGCAGCTCCTAATGACTTGTACACTTGATCTCTGAGCGGAACTACTGTGCCATTTTGAACCACTTCTGAAGTGGAAATCTCACAATTAGAATATGTTCTCACGTTTTCTTTGCATCGGGATTCCAGAATAAAAAGAAATGGACAATGCATATGTAGACATCCAGATGAGCATGCACCGAATGCAAGAACTCGATGAACTCGTTTGTTTTTCTACCAGTGTTTTTTCCATAGTTTCGAGTGCTAAACGAACAAAAGGAAAGTAACCTAGTCGCTATCAGGAGGCTACATGCACAGCATGAGTCAAACGTTTATCTCTGCGGAGGTGCGTTTTTCCAGAGAGTAGGGAAGGAAACTGCACTCAAGGAGATCGAGGAACGTAGAGGGAATGTGAATTTCGCTTAGGGCGTAGACAATCAACGAATTGATAAAAATATCGCCGAAAACCGGGCTGAGTATGAAATTCAGGTGAAAAAGCTGCATCAGATGGGAATTTACGGATTTTGCTCTGTTTGTTAGAACAAACACCTCACATGATGGAGCAGCAGCTGTGCTTGTTCTCCGTCAATCGGCTGTCCAGGAGGCAGAAATAGTGCTTCACTTGCTTGACATTCTCCTCGATCTTTCCAAAAGGAATATGGAAGCCCGCCAGATTCTCCTGAATGGACTGCGTGAACTTCTTCGGGAACGTCAGCACGAATTTCTTCTTCTCGATGTCCGTCCAGATGTCATAATAGATCTGGCTGTACTCTCTCCACGCCTGGAAGCGCAGATCGTTGTGAATCTGGAAGAAATGATCGCGCATCTTGTCGTTCGATAGGATCTACGCGTCGGTCCGCCTTCCTTTCCTCACCATCGCGTCATTTCGCGAAGACAGCGCGGCGTACATCCAGTACCAGTCGTCGTTGTTCCCCTTCACCACCTTGTACGCGAGCTTCTGCTCCAGCCAGCGCTAGAGGGAATCAAATCAAGAGAAAGCGGCGCGTACCTCGGGGAGATCGGTGGTGGGCTGGTCGAAATGATGCTCGTGCAGCACGATCAGCACTTTGTAGCCTTGCTGCTGGAGATACGAGGCGATCATGTCGATCTGCTGGTAGTTAAACGTGCCTCCCTCGAAGTTCTGCTTGTAGTGCGCGATGTTCGCTCCGTCGATGAAGATGTCGAACGGTCCGTTCGCCTCCAGAAATGCTTTGAAGCGCCGGAAGTTCTCCATCCGCTCTCCGTCTCCCTCTTTCGAGCCTACGTTTCATTCGATCAAAACCCGAACGCTGCTGAATCACCTGCTCGATCTCGCTAGCCAGCTCCAGCTTCTCAGCGGTGGGGAGGATGATGCGCTGCATCTGCTTTCCGCAGTGCGTGCATTCGCCGGAATCGACGATGTCGCAAGGCTGCATGTGCCAATGAGGAAACCTGCGATTCAATCGGCTCATTTAGAAAGCGACATCTGAGTGAACTCGTTCAAAACACTGAGCGTTTCTTCCTTCTCAGCGATGGGGCAGGCGGCGCACATCTCGTGGAGACAGTGGATGAATTGATTTTCGTTGCGAGCAGCGAGACAATTCTGGAAACGATAGTAGAACACGTCTTCCGTGATCGCTACTCCGTTCTCTGTCATATGCGCCAGAAGACGCTCCATCGCTGGAAGATCTCCTCGCTTGGCGATCGACTGGAGAAGAGGAACGTAGCTACGATGTCTACGGAATTGATGAACGGCAATTGGTACTTGAGCTTAAGACCGCGCTGGAGCATCAAGTTGATGATGCCCATGGCATCTGATTCCTTTTCGATGAGCGTGTAGAAGCGAATGATAGCTAGTAAGTCAATCCACACGCTCAAGCGAACAAGTATAGGCGTTTTCGGGTAGGATAATGTTGTGCTCATCCACATATTTCAACCACTTGAGCAGATAAGTCTCATCTTCCTTGTTTTCCAGAGAATGGAAGAGAAATGCAAAAAGATCCGGTTTTACATTATCGATCATTTCGATATACCGTTTATAGAGTGTGTAAACTAGCCTCGTATCCTTCTTCTTCATAGCTTCGACAATCTGAGAATACAGCTTCTTTATCGGAGCTTCCTTCTGTAACTAATTGTAAACCGAAGACCAATTCCATTCACACCTTCTGCTTCTTTGTCATTGAAGACATCATAGCTGGACTTCCAGAGACTTCTGAATGCTCTCTCTTGTTTTCGTGCTTGGTCTCCATCGATTTTGTAATAAAGTGAGTGAGATATCAGCAATCACAAATATCAATACTTGAATGTCCGACTCCATCGTACCCCTTGGTTTGACTTTGCGGTACTGAGTTAACACATAGAATTAATCGATAAGAGCATTGGTTCAAGAATCACCGTGTTGATGAAAGGAGAAACAGAGTTTACCGGAATACTTCGGGGATTCGATGCATATCTTACGATGATTTTAGAAGACGTAACAGTGTCGTAATTGACATTTTTCAACTTTTATGAAATAGAACCCTCACAAATCATGGAGTTGTTTCAAATAAGATGAGCCGCGCTCTAGTGAATGGACGATGTATTTGCATGGTACGCTTTTGGTTCTGTTTTTGTTTGTAGATTATTCCTGGAGGAATTAATACCAATAATTCAAATTAACCCTGAGCAATGTTTGTTTTAGACAATGTTATATTCGCTACGTAGATTCCGACGTGACATCAGGTTATAAAAATAAACAAAAAAATATATGCAAGTTGTTGACTGTATTGGAATAGATTTAGGAACAACTAACTCATGTGTTGCCTATTATAAAAATAGTGAATATCATGTTGTTAGTGAAAATGGCCGTGGTTATATTCCTTCCGTGATTGCTGTTGATGGATACAAGACCATTTGTGGATTTCCAGCTGAATTACTTAAAGGAAGGAAGAATGCGGCATATGAACTGAAACGTATATTGGGTAAGAGATTTTCAGATCCAATAGCACAGGAATGCAAAAGACGTTGGAGCTTTGAAATTAGACAAAAAGCTGATGACAGTATAATTGTTCATTTGCAAGATAAGGAACGCAGCTATGATCTTGCAGTGAACGAGTTGTATTCAATGCTGATAAAAAGTATTATTGAGAAAAGTGAGGCTGTTATTGGGGATACTGTGAAAAAAGCTGTTATCACTGTTCCGGCTACATTTTCGGATATTTATCGTTCCATTACTATGCTCTGTGCTGAGGCAGCTGGATTGGAGGTTGTTCAAATACTGGAGGAACCTGTGGCAGCGGCAATTTGTTATGCTGACCAAATTGAAAACAACAGTAATGTGTTGGTATTCGATATGGGAGGTGGTACTTTTGATGTCTGTATTCTTGAAATTACAGCTGATGAGCATGGACAACGATTATATAAAAAGCTGGCCACAGATGGCGATCCTTTCTTAGGGGGAATGGATATTACCAAGAAGTTAGCAGAATCTGTTAGAAAACGATTACAGGATGCTGGGCGTGACATTCCTAACGAAAGCAAGCTCCTCAGTATGTGTGAGAAAGTAAAAATAGAAATATCGATGCATGACTCAGCCGATTTGGGTAACTATAATGATGATTATGAAGGTATTCTTGTTACTCGAGATGAGTTAGAACGTTATATTTCTGATATAACCAATAAGGCTATTCAGATTGTAAACAGGTGCGTGGAAAGAGCCGGATTGGCAGCTGTAAATATTGATTCTGTTATCATGGTGGGAGGTTCATCTAATTTGGAGTATTTTAAAGGAAAGCTAAATCAGATATTCCGAAGAGTAGAAAGAACTCTAAATGTAGAGGAAGCCATAGCTAAAGGTGCCTTGATGTATTATATGGGAGTGAATGGAATGCTCAACAACACCCAAATTGTGTTGAGGATGGAAACGAATGCTCGCTATGTGATTCAACAACCAAATGACCAGGTCTATGTGATGATTGATAATAAGAGGCCCTATGGAATTGAAATACAGAAGAAGTTCACCACATTCCGAGATGGCGATTCGTTCATCCAGCTTCCTTTGGCCCAAGGAAATAGCAATCTATTCAGCGAGAATCAGTACATTGGCCGTCTTATAATCCGCAATATCCCAATCAAGCCGAAGGGAGAAGTGGTTGTCACTGTGCATTGCAAGGTCGATATGAATGGAATCGTGCATTTCTCTGCGAAAATGGATCCGATCGATGGTTTCCCCGAGCGAGACGCCGTTGCGGAACTGTCGAACCCCGTGCTGCCAACAGATAGGGAAGAGGTGGTTCAGACGATTAACTACTATGGCAAGAAACGTGAGGAAGTCGAGAAGCAGAAGCAGAAAGTGCGATGTCAACAACAGCTGATGAAGATGAAATCGTGCTTATCCGATCGCAGATACGAAGGAAATATGTGGTATTATTATTCGCTCGTTCAAAATTGGTGTGATTATGCGGATGTTACGTCTAAGGAATACGAAACGGTGATCAATGGCATCCTTGACCAATTGGGAACAGAAGGTTTTATGCGGCACGAAGTCGAAGTGGCCTAAGTCTTGTAATTGTTGTTGTGTTTGTTGTTAGAGAATGGTTGATTCATTCATTAGTTAAGTCGTAACTTTGAAAACCAAACAGAAAAGTCGGTCATTCATTCCATTCCATTCCATTCCATTTCATTCCGTTCTTCTCCCATTCTTCACATCTTCACCGCGACGACACAGACTTCTCCGTTCTCCAGACCCAGGAAAATGTACTGTCCGTCCGCAGATGGCTGCACCGAGCGAACCGCAATGCGAAGATTGGGCACCTGCGTGAACGACGCCGGCTTGCCCTCGCCTCCGAAATGCTCCTCGATCGACGGAGAGACCACCGCGAAGTCGTAGATGCGCATCATGAACAGGAGGATCTTATCTCCGCCCGCAATCACGTACTGCCGGTCGTTGCTGAACACGATCGAGTTCAGCTGCGAGTTCATCTCCTTCTCCAGCAGCTTCTGGCCCATCGACGAGTACAGATGGAACTTGAAGTCGGCCTGCGAGTACCACACGATGTTGCCCTCGTTCGTCACGCCGCACCAGCTGATCGCAGGCATCGACGGCAGCTTCTTGTCGTAGTTGGCGTCGTAGATCGTGCGCAGATACGACGTATCGGAGAGAGAGTACAAGATGATCGTGCCGTCCTGGCTGCCCGAGCACACCAAATCCATTTCCTTGTTGATCGACACGCACGTGACCGCGCCGTCGTGCCCGTACAGCGTGCGTCGCCCCGAGATCTGCGGGGCTCCCGGCGTGTACTGCAGATTGTAGAGCGAGACGCTGTTGTCCTGCGAGCCCACGACGATCATCGAGTCGTCCAGCGACAGATCCACGCACGTGATCACTTCCTCGCCCTTGCCCACGCTCAGCTCCACCGCGCCGGTCTGCATGTTCACGATCTTCAGCGAGCCGTCCCAACCGCCCGCCACGCACATGAACAGCCCGCTGTGCGCCATGGCGACCAGCTGATCGCTCTGCAGATTGGCCCGGTCCACCTCGACCAGCGGGCTGAACGGCTCCATCACCACGGGGCACGCGTTGTTGCGCAGTCGCGGGTCCACGCCGATGTCGAACGGCGTGCTGCGCCCGTTGGTGCTTTTCACGGGGTTCACCGCGAGCGAGCGATCCTGCCCGAACGCGAAGACGGCGGTGGTGGACCGCGCCGCGCCCACGGCCATCACGGGCGAGCTGAGACGGATGTTGGTCTTGTAGAGCGCGAGAACCTGCTCGGGGAACTTGCTCTCGCCCACGCAGGTCATCGCGCCGATCGACCGGCAGCCCGTCGCCGTGAACCAGTTCCGGTAGGAGAGGAGCGGCAGCGGAGGCTGCGGGGCGAGCGGACGACGCATCTTGTGGGGAGCGGTGAACAGCTGCATGGGGGTCTGGCCGAAGTTCTCGAGCATGTCGGCGGCTTGCTGCCAATCCGCGGGGAAGTTGCGGTAGAGCGACTCCATGTCGAGCGAGCCGTAGTAGGTCACGTGGGAGAACACGTTGAAGCAGGCCTCGGCGTCGGGGCCGCGCTGCTTGAACCCGAAGACGAGGTCGATCCACTTGTGGAGATTCATGGAGACGAACTCGCTCTCCAGCGCCTCGCGGTTGATTCGGACGAACTCCTCCGCGGACTTCGCCCAGGGCGGCAGCTGCACGTCCTGGATCGGGGCCTCCGCGTCCTGGCGCGTTCCCAGATTGATCTTGTTGGAGTTCTTCAGGAACTGGGGGAGGTAGAAGAACTCGGGGATGAGCTCCTTCACGTCGCCGTCGTTCGTCGTGCAGCCGTTGTACGTGTTCCGCATGCTCCAGAACTGGCGGTCGGGACGGTCGAACTTTCCGTCCTGCAGGAAGATGTGCAGGGACGTGTAGGGCTCCAGACGGATCAGATACCACAGCACGTTCGCGCTGTTCGAGTAGTGCGTCGAGAAGAAGCGCGGCGGCGGGCAGAGAATGCCCAGACGGTCCTCCATGTCCTCCGAGCGGAGCTGGAAGTTCTCCTTCATGACCTGGAATTTGTCCTGCAGCGCCTCGCGCCGACTCTCCAGCTGCGCGCCCATCGGGTAGCTGAAGTCGCGGTAGATCTTCGGGTTTCGCAGATCGATCGTCGGGCTCGAGTAGTCCGCGATCACCCACGGGAACACGTAGTACTGGGAGAGATCGTTGTACGTGCGGCCCGCCAGACGGTTCAGACGCATCAAGTACTCGAACGTGGAGATCTCGCGGTTCAGCCAGCGGCGCGTGCAGTCGTCCTTCATGCAGCGCTCGGCGGGCGTGGCACCGAGGAATTCGGTGAGGTTGGGCGTGGGCAGCTGGCGAAGAGCGGCGTGGAAGTGGTCGCGAACGCCCGAGTTGAGGAAGGAGAAGAAGGCGGATGTGGAGTCTTGGAAGAAAAGCTCCACGGCAGTGTTGCGGAAGAGATAGAGACGGAATTCCTCGTGCGTCAGCTCGGTGAGTCTCCAAATCTTGTTCTCGGGGAGCTTCAGCATCGTGAACTTGTTGATGCCTTCAATCCGCTTGTTGCTGTTCAGGTACGCGGCCTGCTTCTCGACTTGCTCGTTGAACTCTCGCTCAAAGTCGGGATTCACGGTGAACAGAAGCATGTGCTGCGTCAACTCGATCTTGCCGCGCGTTGCCAACATCGGCGTGATCATCTGGCATTCCGCTGTGAACAAAATCGTCTTCTTCTGCAGTCCGAGCAGCTCCTGATCCAGATCTTTGTGCTGATCCTCGTTGAGATCTTCCTCGACCGACGATCGCATCAGCGAGGCGATCTTTCCCTGCGTGTCCTTGACTTCGGCTTCTCCCTGCTCGTCCACGTCGTTCCACACCGAAGCATCGGGATGCGTGGTGCCGTTCGGATCGGAGATCAGGATCTGATGCATTCCGTAGCTGTTGCAGCGCGAGGTCAGCGTCAGAATGCCCTCGTGGCTGGACAGTTCGCCCCACGGTCCTCGCTCGTGCACCAATGACTCCACCATCTCGGACCAGCGCTTCACGGTGATCTGGTGCTTTCTCCAGTAGTTGTGCGACTCGTTCTTCAAGTAGTGCACCTCATAGTCCTTCTCTTGCTTCACAACGAACAGCACGGCGGAATCGAAGCGAACCACGTTGTGCTCGTTGTTGACGACATAGCTGCTAATCTGGTTGAGCGACTCCATCACAAGCTTGCTGATTCCGTCGAAATCGATAATGAATGTGGTGTTATCGCTCAGCTGCAGATACTCCAAGGCCTTCATGAGGTGCGTGTTCTTCTCCGCCCAGCATTCCGGCGGAAGAATCAGCATCGCGTTCAGCTCCTTGTCGATGATCTCCGAACGCTCCAGCTGCGCCTTCTGTTTGTCCGACAGCAGCCATTTGCGCTTCGGTTTGTTGTTGTCCACCTCCTTCAGAATCGCGCGCGCGCAGGTCTCGAGATACTTGAGTACAATGCCTCCGATTTCAATGATCGTCGCTTTGAAATCGTCCGTATTGATGAGACTCGACTCCGTCTGAATCGTGCGCAGCGAGTCATTGAGTCGGCTGAGATACAAAATGCTCGAGCACGGGAAGGAGTTGTTGCTCACCAGCAGTTTCAGCTGCTTTGCGATCCGGATTCCCTCGTCATACAAGGGCTTGTAGCGTTCTTCCATGGGCGTGGTCACGTACATGGTCGTTGCGGGAGAGGACGACATGCCGGCAAACAGATCCGTTGCACCTCCCGCCGGATTGGTCGTTCCCGGAGCCGTGCCGCCGAGCAGATCGTTCAGCGCAGAAACATCGTTCACAGGTGCCGAGGGAGCCATAGGGGCCATAGGAGCCATAGGGGCCATAGGGGCCATAGGAGCCATAGGGGCCATAGGGGCCATAGGAGCCATAGGGGCCATAGGGGCCATAGGAGCCATAGGAGCCATAGGGGCCATAGGGGCGGAGGGCGCGTGGCCTCCAAGCAAATCATCCAAAGCAGAAGCATCGTTCATGGGAGCCATGGGAGCCACAGGAGCAGAGGGAGCAACGCCGCCCAGCAAATCATCCAGAGCCGAAGAACTCATCGGAGCTGCAGTGGGAGCAGCCATAGGAGCCACGGGAGCCATGGGAGCCATGCCTCCCAACAAATCATCGATCGAACTCGCAGGCACGGCAGGCGCGGTAGGCGCAGAGGTCGATCCAACACCCATTCCGCCCAGCAAGTCGTCGAGGGGCGAAGGACCCGAGACAGCGCCCTCGTCGATCGCAGAATGCTCGTTGATGATCAGATTGTAGCGCTGCAGCACATTCAGCATCAGCTTCAGACTCATCGTGTACGACTGCTGGAGCAGGCCTTGGAGATTCGCTGCTTTCACGGTCTCGGCCGGGAGTCTGCCGATCGTATCGATGATCGAGTTGGTGAGGGTGATGAAGGGGTACATCAGCTGCCAGTTGTAGTGATTCCGCTCCACCTCGAACTCGTCCGGCTGTCCCGATTGGTCCGACTCGCCCTTCGGATCCAGCATGTGCACCAGATGCTGATAGAGGTAAACCACGACCGGCTGCACGGTCACGAGGAAGCTCGACTTGTCTCCAGGCATGCCCAACGAGTTGACGATGCGATTCACCACCTGGACGTAGAAATCGGCGTAGAATCCCTTGCTCCAACTGCCCTCGCCTGATTTCGGGGACTCGTTGGTGTCAATATAATGGAGAATGGCTCTGAAGATGGTCGAGATCAGATGCTCGCTCTCTCTGTCCTTCTGCAGCTCGGCGAAATTCACCGTGTTGTTGTACATGTACTTCTCCACAGAGGAAGCCACGATCGAAATCAGCAAGGTCTGCAGCTGTCCCCAAACGCTCTCTACGATATCCTGGAACTGCTTGCGCACGACGCAGATGAACGAGAAGATGTAGTCACACCACACGGGCAGACTGAGAAGCTGCTTCAGGTTGAGCGAGGCGTTGATGTTGGTGAAGAGATTGATGAAAAGCGTGTAGTACTTCAAGACCGTCTGACTATCGAGCAGAGGCAGCAACTGCAAGAACAGCGGGATGAAGACCATTCTCTTCATCGTCAGGTTATCTAGACACTCACAGCAGCTCATCCCAATCCCTACCATTCTCCTCGATCTGCTTCGATCCCACCATCTCTTCGAACAGGAAGCGAATCAAATCTTCGCTCATCGCTTCCTTTGTGACATAGCGCGAAATATAGTCCATCATGACGTGCAGATTGAGACGCTGCACTCCGAGCGACTTCCACAGTCGTCCATCCGGAGACTGCTCGCACAGCGTCACGACCCACACGAACATGCGGAGCATTTCCACGATGACGTCCTTCTCTCCCGATCGAACCAGCGTCAGGAACAGAGGCAGGATTCCGGCAGTCACTACAACATGAGTTCAACTTGCAACAACAAACGCTCGCGATTCTCGACAACGGGCATCGATTGCTCCTCCGCCGTCATCGAAGTCGCCGCGACATCCAGCGACACATGACTAAATCCGGCCATACTCTCGATGAAGAACGCGCCCATTCCTTCCATGTGGAGAATCTGATTCAGAAGATCAATGAACGCCAGCAGCAACTCATGGTCCTTGTTTCGCTGGCACCACAGAATGCAGTACGCAAGATTGAAGCAAGTGGCCTTCGTGATTGTGCTTCGGTCTTGTATCAACGTGGTGATGATCTCCATCAGCACCTTGCGAACCGCCGCCTTCTCCTCTTGCGTGGGCTTCTTTCCCACGACCTCGCCCGAGAGAGGATGCTTGAACTCGTCATCGAGAGTCAGCCACTGACGAATAATGTCTCGGTCGTCGGCCAGCTCTTCGCTGATCTCGATCTCCATGTCCGAGTAGAAGTAGCGCAAAATGAAGCAGAACCCTTCGATGCCCACGTTCTTCACGATCGAGACCAGCTCCGGACTGTCGTTCGACTTCAGGATGTCCAGCAGGAATCCATATACCTTTTCCTGCAACGACGCAGACGTGTAGATCCACAGGCCTGGATTATAGAAGAAGGCCTTGAAGATCTGCTCGTGCAGCTCGCGGGACAACTCGGCGTTCTGAAGCAGATTGACCATTTGGTTCAAGAGCAACTCCGTGAGGTTCTCTGGCGATGTTTTCTGCAGCAGATAAGCAAGAATGCCAAATCCATTATGCTGCAGCATGAAGCGCTGCGAGCCCGCGTTGCTGACAACGGCCTGGCCTAGCAACGAATAGCACTCCGAAGTGAACGTGGGAGACACGCCAAAGGCAGCTTCGTCCGCATCCGGCTCGAGCAAGTCGAGCTGTGGAAGCAAGGGGAACAAGAGCTTGATGCCGCCAAGCGAGTCAAGCATCGTGGAAATCTGCCGCGTGGAAGAGACGTGCGTTCCTGCCAAGAGCACGCCGTTCACATGCTGTGCAAAGAAGAGATCCTTGCTGTCCTTGCCGATGGTCACTCCCATCACCGAGCTGAGCCACTTCTGCTGACGATACTGCGGAGGCGTGTTATCGATCACCTTCTGCTCCTTATCCAGCACGCAAGCAGACAAATTCACCAAAATCGAGGGCGTTAACGAGCCATCGCACACAGAACGGATCGTGTCCAACTCCTCCTTGCTGAACGAACGTCTCTCCGTGAGAGCAAACGACTCCATATGCAGGGTTTCAAAGTTAAACATGTAGTTCGGACCAAGCAAGTGGATTCCCTTGGCCTGGCGCTTATCGATGGCTCGGTTCAGCAGATATACCGTACCGATCTCTCCGTTAAAGTCGGTGTAGGTGGTAGGAATGTTGGTGTACGCGAGATCAACGCCGCGAGTACCGATGTAGATCTTCGGAGAGGAGGTGAAGACGGGGTAGGGACAAGCATACTCGAACGAGCAATTGCCGTCGAGCATAACAGTCAGAGGGTGAGGCTTTCCCATGCGATTGTTCTGCTGAGTGATGAGCAAGTGGTACCACCGATTCTCCGAGATCGGAAGATTCGTGGCAGGGATCGTCACCTCTTTACCGTTCTGGTAGTACTTGATCACCAAGCTCGCGTCCTGGATGAACACCAAAAACGCTGCGGTGTCCGTAATCACAGAGAAGAGATGGGGAATACCAAACTCGCCGTCCATAATCCAATTTGCAAGGAACGAGGCGACATTGAACCACAAGGAAATCGTGAATCCAACATTGGGGAAGCGGAGAATTCCGTCCATGCTCTGGTTCCGAACCATGCTGACGACTTTGATTCCTGAGCACGAAGGCGTCAGCAGGAAGCTGTGGTCCGGACGGCTCGAATCGGTTGCTTCGTACAGCTCGTTTAACATTACGAGGATCTGGTTCGAGTAGCGCGCACGGTGATTGCCCTGCGTGTGAAGCAGACGGAAGATCTTCTTGAGCTGCTGTGTGGTGATGTTGTACTTGGCAATGCTCTTGATAATGTCCAACACCAGGTTGATGTTCGACGTGTGGAACTCCTCCAGGTGCTACGAATTACACAAACAAGTGATTCAGCAGTACGTCGAGCAGCAGATCGACGAGACTCTTGCTCTGCGAAGTGATCGAAATCAGGTTCAGCTGCTGATTCTTTGACTCCAGCAAGGCTTTCAGCAAGGTCAAGCAGTGGTTCTGCAGCTGTGCGTCGGTGCGCAGCATGAAGAACAAGAGCACGGTCAAGAAGTCAGGGCGAACCACGCGAATGGAATCCAGCAAGGCAGTGTTATGAAGCACATCATCGAAACTCTGCGCCAATCCGAGCGTTTCTTCCTGCTGGAGCGTCTGGAGCACAAAGGCTCCGAAGGTAGGGAAGATGTGATAGAACGAAAGCGTGTTGAACACCAATCGGTCCAGCAGCAGATTGATCATGCAGCTGACCAGCTTAAAGTCGTAGCCATTCTCACCAGGAGCAAGGACGCTCTACAGACAGCAAGCATCCCGCGCAAGCCTACAGTGAACTGATCGTCTTCCACAGTGTGGCGGAATTCGTTGTAGAACTGGGTGTTTCCGTGCAGCATCAGGAACATCGTGAAGAACATATGCTGGACAACGCCTAGGAAATACTCGCTACACCTCAGTCTCTCAAAAAGCAGCTTACTTCTGCTCGGTCGTCGTAATGATGGAGAAGCAGTGAATCAAGAAGTGCGGTCAAGGATCCACACATCGCAATCGATTCTTTTAGGATATGTTCGTCTTGCAAAGAATGTCTTGGCGCGTACGAGTGACTTCCGGATCGGTGGTCTGCTTCTCGAGTAGAAGATAGTCCACAATGTTGAAGAGAATGTGCATCGTGTAGCTGTTATCAGCATCAAACACGTGGGAATGAATGCGCGATAGAGTTGTTCCCATATTCACAAAGATGTTCATGATCTGCCCAAAGATTCGATCATCCTTTACCGTCTCTACTCCTTAGCATTCTCCCCATCGAGAACTTACTACTCGTCGCTGCTTGCAGGATCACTATGATAATGGCAGCTCCAAATTTGATCGTCTTCCGGTTATCGACCAGGTTAAACAGGTATTCCATCGTGTTGATGAGCACGCCCTTGATCGTCGGACCCATCAGGATGATTAGGTCACTCACAGCAGTCGTCGTATCCAGCGATGTGTCCAGCAACTGAAGCAAGGCGTACTTCGCGAGCCAGGTAAGCGGCGAGTTGTGATTCGAGCTGAAGAGAGTGTAGATCACGTATTGAGGAAGCAGAGTGGATTTCAGCAAATCGATATCGCCACTGACAACGTTGCAAAGACGCGTGCAAATCTACAATCGAGAAGGCTCTGAGTTTCTACCATGATGCAGCACAACTCGTCCAGCTCCTCGTTGGCCAAAACCGTAAGCAAGTGCGACACTTCGCCCACTTTGTCCTTTTCTTCGCCATACTTTATCAGATCTCCAATGAACGAGAACAAGCTCTCGCGGACAAAGACCGAGACATAGTCCTGATGGTTGTTGTTGGTAACGCGGACGCCCTCTCCCTCAGCCACAGCAGACCAGTGAGAACTGTCCATGGCGGGCAGGAAGGAGGGCGAGATGAGCGTATCGATGATCTTGTTCTGAAGACAAATGGAGTAGAGCTGCGAGGACTCGGAGCACATCGTACGCAGAATGCACAGCATAATGTATTCCGCGACATCATGCGAAGCAGAATCGAACTTCGCGTCCTGCTGGAAAATGGCCAAATAGCTCTCGAAGAACTCTCTACGCCTGAGAAAAGCGGTATACCGCGCACCGATTCACCTGCTGCTCGTTCTTGGAGCAGAGAACGGAGCGGATGAGCAGCCGTCCCACCACATCCACGAAGGTGTTGTTATAACCCTCGATCGACAGCGATCGCGTCTGCTCTCCAAGATTCCAAGAAGGAGAATCCTCGGCGCTGCTGCTGTGGCGGAACAGCTCAGGCGTAAGCGCGTAGATTCCGTCTTCGAGCATCTTGTACTCGGAAGGCACGCGCATCGTTAAGGCGCAGGCGGAGGAGTCCTTGCTCAAGGTGATCTGCTTGCGAAGGAAGGCATCGCGCAGCAAATAAACCAGCATGTGCTGTTAAGTCGCCCAGGCAAGAAGAAAGCAAGGATATGTTATTCGCGATCTCGTAACTGCCCAGTTTGAATGCCATGGCGCGGGTAACATCGCTGCGATCGGACGCGTTGAGCAAAAGCAGCAGCAAATCCACGTTCAAGCTCACCAACTCTTCCTTCGGCAAAGAGTTCTCTTGCGTGGCATTCGGCTCAAACAAAGCAGCGCTGGCGCGTTGGCTGATGCGATTGGCCAAGGCCAGAACCATTTCGCAGCGATGAGGATCTGACGATACCACAATATTGTGCGCAGCAATTAAGATCAGATGATGCAGAAGCACGACCCATTTTCTCTCCATCGATCGACTCGTGATCAACTCGTAGAGCTTTCCAACACACACCACAAGCTCGTAACTCACGTCCAACACACACTCGTCGTGGCCTTCCAGAGTAAGACTACACCTCGATCCTCCCCTCTGATTCTACCAATCCAGTGGACCAAACACGGAGTCCAGTTCGGAGAGAATATTCGTTGGAATCGCTTGGAAAGGACCCACAAGAGTAAGCCAATTGCAGTGGTTGAGAATCGGGTGGAAGTTGTTGAGAATTTGAAGCATGTACGACAAGGTTTGGAAGCAGTTGACATTATCGTTCTCCATTGTGGACAAAATGGAGGAGCACTGCGAGAGAACTTGGAAAATAATCGAATGGATCTGCGTGTAGCGGAGAAGAACTCGATTATGCGGAGAACGACTCAGAATCTCGATGGCAGCACTGATTCGGTGAATATCCTGAATGCTCTGCTGTTCAGGAAGCATGCAACGAAGCCACTAGGCATCATAGACACAAAGCAAACACACATTCATAAGTCCGCGGATAAAACGGAACGGATGTCCTACGGACTTGTCGCAGGACTCAGCAATGCAGTGCTTACACATTCCGGTAGCATTTCTTTGTTCAGTGTAATAGTAGCAGATATCTGCAGTTTCTGTGGGTTTCCAGTTTTTGTAGGTCTCGATGAACAGATTGAGGAACTCGTACAATTCATCTTGGCAATCCTACCAACTCACAAAAAACTCGCAAGAAATACCACTGCCTTCCTCTCACAAAACGCAATCTCAAACGCAGTCCACAGTTCTGCTAGCTTCATTCCTGTCTCATCCCAACTACCCTTAATCGACACAATTGTAAAAATACCTGAAGTTATATTCAATTGACGGAGATAGGACTTCATTGAATACGGGATAATCCATTTCTTTCTAGATATGACACAACTCAAGATAACTCAAACCAATTCAATATCTGTAAATTTCTCTGATATATCCATTTCAACAAAAGCAAAAAGGGATCTTATGCAATCAAAGAAATCTTATATTTATGGAGTTATTCAAGATGTTCTTGTGAATAGTGGTTTATGATTATCAAGCTGATTATACTCTTTTCATTTTGGTTGAAAATCAGCTATCGAGCCACGATCGCTGCCCGCAAACTCGCGCACTTTATGTGGAACAAACAAGACGTAAAAATAGTACAAAATAAAGACCAATAAGACTAGGTACAAAGAGCGATAACAAGTCAAATAATACCATATCTAAAGGTACTTCCCAGCGTTATAACTTCTATGGTGCAAAAGTGTAGCTCGAAAAGGAGCATTTCCCAATTGGGCTGAGGGCACGGTAGTCCAGTTGGAGCAAGGAATAACGCCAAGGACAATAGAAAAGGGGATTGTGGGAAATTTGGGGTAGGGAAGGACCCTCAATACTTTATTTTGACTTGTAAATATGGCAGGTATAGGTATAGGAGTAGGAGTAGCTGAAGCGGATGTGGAAGCGGATGTGGGGACAGAAGCAGAAGCGGGAACACCCGTAATGTTGGGCATTTTCTCGGATTTGGAAAGAGAACTATCCGAATGAACGCTAATTGAAGTTTCTTGGAAACGATTTTGCTCGTTTTCTACAAGTAAATGCACTGTCGAATATCTACTTTCCACATTCATCACACTTCTACACGTTTTACAAAATGGAGTGAAGAGTTTTGTAGACTCATCAACAAAAACGCAGTCATCAAGCGTACGGTTACAGCCACGACAAATGAACTTGGATTTTTTGAAATTCACCGTTCCGAGCTTCGCAGAACTATACTTCTCCATTTTGGTTTTTGACCGTAAAGAATGACGTAATCTTCAGATTCAGACAAGTATCCAAAAAAGAACTATTCACAAAGTTATTCAGGAAGTGTTAAGACACAATCTTCCATAGAATTCGAAATAATTAGTGTTTTTGAACAAAGACAATATCTTGGGATACTAATCTTTATCTCTTGATCTTCAGTTTCGATTCGAGCATAGATCTGTTTTATAATTCTTTCGTAGTTGAAGGCAAAATGATGGATCAGCAATAAGGGGGATATCAGCAAACGCTCAGGAAACTTCGAGCCATCTCGATATTCTACACACCCAGGACACTTGGGAAATCTTCTGAAAAAAGGAGGGAGCTTATCTAGAGACGATGTCTCCTTACTCTACCCTTCACACAACCCGAGAACTCTCTACATATCCAATGCGTCGCTTTCGAGCTTCGTATTCTGCATAGCGATCTAAATAGGGGTGCAAGTAGAGAACGCTGCCGGGGAGCACCATATTCACAACTGTGAGGGTTTTGGTGGGCGTCTTGAGTAACCGCGCGGTTTTCGCCTTTTTGAACCATCCGCGATGTCGATAGCAGTTCTTCTCGATCTACGTCTCACTGAATCCGAGTCGCCAACGAGCTGGATCGCCTCTTCCATCGCTTTTTTCGAAAGACGGGGCACGATATCGTCTTCGTTCACGAAGCTGTACACAAATCCCACGCCCTTTTCGGTCACTTCGGGCGATAAAACGGGAGGCGGAGCGATGGCGAAGCAAATCGCATCGGTGTGGAGCTGGCGGGTTCGCCAGAGAATGGTGAGGAGGGCAGCGATCCCAGCGCCGAGAGAATGCCCGACCGCGACAAGACGGAAGTCTGGATGCGTCTGGAGAGCGCTGGAGATGGCTTGATTCAATGCCTCGTTGGCAAAAATGGAGTTCGCGATGAGGGCGATGCCTTCGTGGGCGCAGCCCGCTTCCCAGCGCGTTGTGGAGCAGTTCATGTCGGTGAGATAGTCCTTCAGGTTCCATGTGCCTCGAACGCACAGCACGATGCTCTTCGTCGCTTTGTGGCACACCAGGAAGAAGGGCGGAGGGGCGATCGCGACCTGGGTCGACGTGGAGATCGCGTCTTTGGCGTTCTCGTCCTCGCTGCCCCAGTCCACAAAGAGAAGATCCTCCGCGTCCAGATGGCAATGCGATAGAAAAGCGCGTTTGTAGCCCTCTCTGTCTTCCGAGCCACGCAGCAGGCGCTTGATATCCTCAAAGTCCTGGATTTCGCGCATTAGACCGTAGACCATCGTGGATCCATACATTCCCGTGGCGAGTTCGCTGTAGAGAGCAGCGTCGTGAAAGAAGGAGGAGTTCACAGAGAGTGAGTCTCGCGTTGTGTCGCAACTATCGATTGGAATAGGCTCCTAAGCTTGAAATAAATAGAAAGAAAGGCACTTGAGATCGGCCAGCTGCATAGATCCCGCCTAAAAGAGCAAACGCCGAAATATCGTCAAACCGGGACATATAGGGTTTAAAAATCGAGAAGGCCATAGAGTAACAACTAGACATTACCTCCGAACACTGATTCACACTTTAGGTAATCTTGAGGGATAATCTGGTTGATAATGTTCGTAAAAAGGAGAGATCGTTTATGCATTTTTTCCTCATAGAAACTTGGATAGTACTTCTTGATATTGTACAACCCTGCTTTTCCAGCAAAATACAGAATGCAAAGTTTCGGCATTAAATGGTTCCAGCTAAAAATACCTCTATTGAACAAAACACAATCATCTCTACGATTTCACAAAGAAGCTCCCAACAAAGCATGTGCCCACAATAAAGTCCGACTTGGTTACATAGGATTTGCAGAAATCGGAGAGTACGGTAAATCTACATCGAACTTCACAGCAACCCAAACTGTTTAGACTTTATGAGCTTCTGTTCAATATTTGTCAGGAGCTTCCGAAGTCCATTCATTTCGGCAAATATTTGGAACTCCAAAAGTTTTCGAAAAGCTGAATCTATTGTTTCCGCATTTCAATTTTATTCTATTGCTGTAGTTTGTAGTTGAAATGGCGAGTCCAGTGACTATGTCTTTACCGTATGGCAGGCTGGTATCCTATGAGAGTTTAGAGGTTTTATATTCAGTATCATCAGCCTGATCCCTCTGATTATTTATTGCATTACCAACCGCAATTATCTTCCCGAAACCTGTGCGTCTCATTTTGATATTCACTTTCAACCGGATGGGTACATGAGTAAAGCATTCGTTTCCTGTAATGGCTTGACCTTAGGATTCCTTCTTTTGGTTTTCCTTGTTGTTCCCTGTTGGTATGACGGCACTATTTGATATAATTGCCTGTTTGTTTTTGCTTGTTTTAGGATTATCTGTAGTTTCTACTCTCTGTATTCCCCTCTCAGCCTATAATGGGGTCGATGTTGAGTATTACAAGCGCCATAACCGCTTTGCTGGTTTAAAGTCAAGGTGATGCTGATAAATTGCCTCGATCCTAGAATGATGAACATGCTCTTTTTCTATGGAGCTCTTCTTGCGTTGTTTATGTTTTCTATTTTCGTACCAAACTGGGAGTATAATAAGAGAGTTTGCTGTTAGGATCGTCTAGTTAAGTTGTAGTGCGAGATCAATCCAGAGAAACCAGTCCCTTGTGATTACAAAATAGTATTTTTACCTCAGTTAATTGTTTTCATTATCCTGTTTATCTTGGTGTCTGTGCTGTTCTGGTGTTGCCTCAAGAAGAAGGATGGTAGGATATTGGATCAGAGCGAAGAAGAGTATTGGCACTGTGCCTTCTATGTGAATTCTGATGTATTTCTTGGGGTGCGATTGGTCGATTGTAGGATGAACGAGTTTTTGTTCCAAAGCGTATCGGCATTGGCTACACGGTAAACTTGGGAAATCCATGCGGTATCTCTTTTATGATGGTGATTCTTTTAATCCCAGTCGTCGTTGTAGGATTACTAGCCTTCCTTGCTTGTTTTGTTTGTTATAGTAAAGTGGATGGATGGATGGATGGATGGATGGATGGATGGATGGATGGATGGATGGATGGATGGATGGATGGATGAGTGAGAGGATAGAAATGAGTGTGTGTGTGGATAGAATTGAAGGTGAATCAATAAAGTGAATTGAAATAAAACGAATGTTATACATCAATCCAATGGGCTATAGATTGATAACGAGATTCCAAGTAGTTGTCTTCCTCTCACTCCCACTTACAACAACTCATCCCATTCATCCATTCACTCATTCATTCATTCTTCCTCCTCACCACCACCACCAGTTTGGAACAAACAACCCAATTCACTACTTCATTCTCAGCTGATAGTCACCATTTCGAGTGATGTAGCGCACCCACGGCAGCGCTTCGTATCCACTCTTCTCCACAATCTTCAGATATCGCACCTGCAATCCAGAGGCCGTGTAATACGGGATTTCAAAGTTCACTGCGATGGGACGCATCTGGTAATCGTCCTGCTGCTACACCGATCACCCTCTCCCTTCGCACCCACGCCATCATCGCGCTGCACCGACGGCAGACCGAAGTGGGCTCGCATATGGTACTCGCGCATTCCGTAGAACTGCTTGATCTTCCACAACAGACAGTCCTTATCGGGCACGTAGCTCACCGTTCCTAAAGACGTCTAGTTCGCACCGCTCTGCCTGAATTCTACATTGAACTGCGGCGTGTCCACATCGGCGGGCAGCGGCACGAAGATTTCCACGTCGGTGGCGGTGGAATGCGCCTTGAAGTTGGACTTGGCCTTCACGAAATAGTCGATGGAAGTGGTCTTGCGTGTGGTGGAGACCTCGACCCAGATGAGCGGACGAACCTGTGTGTGCAGACGGTACGACATGAGCGTGAACTGCCCGTCGGGAGGGATGAAGCTGATCGTTTTATCGTTGTCGAACGTCGCCAAACGGACGCACTGGTGGAAATGGACGTCTTCCAAATCGATGTTGTTGCTGCTGCCGCCCTTCGACGCCTCCAGTTTGCGATCGCCCATGTCGAATCGCACCTTGTCGTTCAGACCTAGCGCTCACAACGCAGCTTCATCCGCCTACCCAGCTTCAGCTCGGGCATGCCAGACAAGCACACCTTCATTTCGATCGTTCCCACGATCTCGCTATCCAGCACCGTGCCATCGCGGGCAACCAACAGATTGACCTTTTCGATCACGTCCAGGAACACATCGTTCTTCTTGTATTTGATGCCTTCCTGGCGCCAGCTCACGACGTTCGTGAGATTGGACGGCACCACCGTGGTCTTCTCCAAACGCTGGGACTCCTGCGTGATGTATTCTTTCATGACCTGCGTGTCTGTGATCTGCGTGTGAGGGTTCGAAACAACAAGCACTTGAGGGAAGCCGAAGTCCATCATCTCGTCAAAGAGCTCGTACATAATCACAAAATTGTCGCTAGAGTCAATCAGACAGAAGGGGCATTACCGAATCCGCTCCTCATCAAACACACCAAAGTAATCTTGGAACACACGCACCAAATGGTTCAAAAACTCCATCACCATCGTTACGTTGACGTTACGCTTTGAGAGTGCCAACAAATACAAGTTTCCGCTCTTCCGTTTAGCTCCGCTCTTCAAAATGTACCTTCACGTAGATATAGGTCGTATCTCCCTCGGTAAACACAGGCTTCAATTCCGTGTCCTCCTTTTCACGAAGCATTACAGCAAATCTAAAAGACTGACAGAAAAACAGCAACGAAGCACCTATCCACGTCTGCATCGGTCACATCACCTCGGTAGTCACGCGAAATGATGACCTTTCCAGTCGGTCCCATAATGTAGATGGCTGATACCGTCATATTGATACTGTTAAAACTGTGACTAGAAGGGGTTAGAGAAACGAAAGAGTTTCAAATGAACGTACTCTACAGAATTGAATGACTTGAATGAAACGGAAATAACGGGTATTTCAGGGGATTATTGTAGTAAGTAATAAAAGAAATCATTTTTTGGATTTATTTATTGCTAGTTTAACTCCTACTGACCCCTAAATTCTAAGCATGGCTAGCGAAGAATTGCCAGAGGATTATGATTCACTGTTAAAAAAGAACAAGTTGCTGCTGAACCAGATCAGTTTTTTGAACGATGAACTATGCAAAGCAAAGAAGGATTTGGAGAACGAAAAGCAAAAGCACGAAGAAGATATCGAGACATCAAAGTCAGATCTGAAGCACATGATCGAGGAGACCGTCGAGCTAAAAAAGCAGCTGCAGACGGCGAAGGATGACTTGGATGATGTGGAGAATCAATTCATCAATATGGTGGGAAATAAGTCGTTGAGGAACGAAAACCTCACCCTTCGAAAGGATTTGCGTGCTTTGAAGCAGAAGTGTGATGAGTTGGCTACACAATACGAAATGGTTCGGGATGAGTACAATAGCGCGATATTTGAGTCGAACGATCTTCGCCAAAAGGTAGCAACCCAACAAACGGAGCTTTTGTTGAAAACGAGCGAGTTAAAGAAGGCTTGGAGGGAATTGGAGAAGAACCGAGAAGATATGGCTCTGATGATGCGCGAGTTTGCAGAGTTTAAGCAGCACGACGATGAGCCAACAAACTGGAAGAAGATGGAGGAAGAAAATCACGAACTGAAGAACGAGATTGAGAAGGTGAAGCGCCAAAACGACACGTTGAGTGTGCTGCTTAACGAGTTTCGGATGGAGATCGCGCGCATCAACGAGCAGTCATCGACATTACCTTCTCTCAGTGATGACGCTCCCGTTGAAGCAGACGGCGAAACATTGGAAAGCAAAGGAATCCAGTCTTCCCTTTTTTCTCCGGAAGATGTGAATTCCGCATTGACTTTGTGCATCAACTCTCTCACCGTCCTTACCAAAGACTTTAACGAATCGGAGTCTCAAGACCTGATTCGTCGCATTTCCTCCTTGATGCTCGTTAAGAAGCAATTGATTGTAGTGAACGACAATACCAGCCTACTGATCCATCGTGATGATCAGCATCGCAAGGCCTTGGTGGAGAAAGAGGCGAAGATTGACGAATTGGAGGGGGTGATTCAGACGCTCAAGGCGAATATGGACACGGCGAACACTCAGATTTCGTCTCAGAGCCGTGAGCTGAGCGAGATGAAGCAGAGATTGGAAGGACGGAATCGTGAGATTGAGATGGTAAAGGAGGAGCAGGCATTGGCGTGGAAGCAGACGTCGGCTTCGGGAGACAGCCAGATTGCCCAGTTGCAGCAACGCGTGCAGGAAGCATCCGAGCTTCGCTCTGGACTGATGCGAGAGAGAGACGATCTTGCTGCTCAGCTGGCGCAGGAGAAGCTGGACAATGAGGATCTGAAGAGAGAAGTCGCCAAGTTGAAGAAGGAGAATGAGGAGACGGAAGCCCGTTTGATGGAGGTGACGACGATTCAGCTCGAACTAGCGGCGCAGCAGGACAGTCACGCGGATCAGGAACAGACAATTACGGACTTACGGTCCAAGCTGGAGGAGATTTCAGCGGCGAATGCGAAGCTGATGGACGAGAAGATGCGTCTGCTCTCCGATTTCACAGTGCAGATTACCGACTTGAAGCGGAAATTAACGGATCGAGAAGACGAGATTGACGACCTTGAGGATTCTCTGGATAACGAGAAGGACGCGACTGAAAAGCTCCGAAAGGAAAACAAGGAGCTCGTGGAGGTGCGAGACCATTTGCGATCGGATGTGAAGGAGTTGGAGGCCGACAATGACGATCTCCGCGAGCAGTTGGAGCGATTCAACGAGCGGAGCAAGCAGAACCAGGACACGGAGCAGCGCTATCAGCGCGTGTTGAACGAGAACACGAAGCTCAAAGCCCAGTTGGATGCCACGCAGCAGCAACTGGAGTCGCTGCAGCGCCAGGTGGAATCTCTGCCGCTAATGAAGGAGATTCCTCAATGCGAAGATGTCCAGGGCGAAGTGAAGATTTGTAGGGAGATTTTATTCGGGAGGGTGACGTGTAGTCGAATCACGCGATGATTTCGTGGAGTATATCCAGGAAGTGGCCGTCTCTCCCGAGTACAGCAACGACGTGGTGGAGCTTCGGATGTCGAGTAGGAACTAGAATGGTTTGTGTTGGTAGACTGCGAATTGGAAGGCGAGGAGATCTCGCTTCTCTCCACTTGCTTCGAAATGGGCGGGTTTGAGAATCTGCGTCGTCTCGATCTTTCTCGTAGCATTTTCTTCTCCCTCCCCTCACCGATAGATAACAATATCACGCTGCGAGCGTGCACGGTTCTCTTCCAAGCGATTGCAGAACGCGGCGGCGAGTTGCAGTCGTTCCAGACCTGGAAGAGCGGCCGCATCGAAGCCAGCAAAAGCAAAAACATGCTGCAGAAGCTTTATATCGGAAGCAATCGAATCAAGGCGAAGGGCTATATGTTCTTGCTGGGACTCATCAAGGACGGACGCTATCCGCAGCTCTGGGAGCTTGATGTATCGAATAACGAACTGGACGAAAAATGCGTCACCAGCACAACAGAGTGGCTTAAAACGTCCCCGCAAGTGTCGTCGCTGCATCAAGTCTCGTTCAGTGGAAACAATGTGAGTGAGTCTGCGTTGAAGGAATTTAACCGTGTGCTCGCAATCTCGTATAGGTCATAATTTTGATTGTTTGTTAATACCAATGAATGGACTTCAGCAGAATTCGCTGCTCTCCATCTCTCAGGAGAAGATGGCAAACTTCATAAATGGAGGATATTCATCGAATCGCTTTGAGCAAGTCCGTCTGTTTTCGATTGCTGATCTAATAGAAACGCATCGAAAGACTATCTAAACAGAAAAAAGAGGAGGAGGAGACGGCTGCAGTGTATTCGGAATACTTAAGGACTTTCGATCAAGCTTCATCATCAACCCCTTCTGCTTCTATCTTTGTTCGTGGTGGTATGATAAACAGCAAGGTATCTTCTCTTTTGACGATGATCATTCAGGGAGTTCAAGAACAGAAGCCAGATTCAGAATCGAGTGTCTATATTTTGGGTAAATTAGATCCGCCTGAAGAAAAGAAGGTCGATCCGAAGCCAACTCCTCAAGTACCCCTGAAAGTCAATTTTACAAAGTTTGTTCCAACGCAAACAAAAGGAGAGTCAAAGAAATCCCCGGGTGCCGATTTAGCGAGCATGTTTGGTTCCCATAGTGATGAAGAGGAGGAGAAGGAAAAGAAGAAAGAAGAAGAAGACAAAACAATCAAAGTGAATCGAAGAACAAATATCCATTACGCGGTTCACCGCAACGGCGAGAAGTAGGAATACCCAGATCGTGTCTGAAGAACAGAAGCCAGCTGGACATCATGTTTGAGAAGATGGAAGCGAATTCCAAGTCTTCTCAGAGTGCTCATAAGCCTGGCGATGCTGCGCAGGATCGTTTGGGGTCGTCCTATGAGGATACGACGAACACGAACGTGTATATCGGCAATCTTCCCCACAGCATAACGGAAGATTCGCTGTTTTCCCTCTGCGCATATTATGGCTATGTGAAGCACGTAGCGATCAAGTATGGAAATCCGACGAACATTTATGGGTTCGTGTGCATGAACAGTCACCACGAAGCGGAGCGACTGATCGATTATCTGCAGAACTACATGCTGGACGTACGATCGAGAAACGCGTTCTCAAATAGGGGAATTATCTGCGAGCGACTTGGGGACGATCGGGAGTAACGCAGGGAGTGGTTCCCGTTTGGACTGGCGCGATTTGTGAGTTGTAGCACGTTCCTCCGTCAAAGAATCCCATCCCCGTCGTGGCTCCTGAGATGCCCGTCAAAGTCCTCATTCAGAATATCGCGGTGCTGGTGCACAATCGCGGCTTTGAATTCGAGTTGATGCTGAAACAGCGAGTTCCGAAGACAGATCCGAATTGGTCGTTTTTGCTGATGGACGGCTCGCCCAACAATATTTTCTATCGCTGGTGCTTGCTGGTTCTCGGAAACAACGAGACGTTCTCCTCGTACTCGCTCCTTCCGTTCAGTTTCTTCGCAAATGACGCGTGGTATCTGCCTCCTCCCGTGTACGACGAGCGAGCCGAGAAGCAGCGGCTCGATTCGAAAATGGAGTCCCTGAATCGATTGAAGCGTCTGAATGAGGACAAGGACGAGAACGAGAACGAGGAAGGAGAGAGGCCTGCGAAGCGTCGGAAGATGGAGGATGGGTATGGATGGAGGCTGGTCGTAAGCAGTAGAAGCAATCTGATGCTGGAGTCGGTCTCGATTCGGCTGGAGTCTTCCCTTTTCGATTGGCTGTGCTCAGCGCTTCGCTCGATCACGCCGCAGCGCATGAGCATTTTGCGCGTGATGGCGTTTTGCATGGACAATTCGGCCTACGCAGAGCACATTGTGTGCATCTTGCGCGACAGTATTTGCGACAATGTTCCCTATTTGGAGTTGGGGCAGAAAGAGAATGACTGCGGTCCTGTCGTTCGGATGGCTCGGCTTTATGTGGTGAACGATTTGCTGTATAACGCTGATAACGGAGTCACCACTTCCTATCGAATTCTAATCCAGGTGATTGTTCGTCTGACGATTAAGCATGCAGAACGAACTTCCTTTGATGATCGAGGCTATTTCGCGCGCAGTGCATTCCTGCAAATCCCAGATAGAGAAGAAGGAGATCCGAATCCGAGTGATTGATTGCCAATGGAAGGGATGACGGGTAGGTGGAGAAAATGTTTCATGGCTGGTATCACAACTCGCTGTTGCCTCCTGACTTCGTGCGTGGGCTCCAAGCCACGTTTTGGATGGTTTTGGTTGCATTGTTGGATGGGATTGTAGTCGGACGAAGAGTTGGACGGCTCTCTCGAGGAGTCGTCTGCAAGTGGCGATAGCGACGACGCGCTTCGATTGCGATGCAAATACAATGGCTTGTGTAATTACGGATCGCGTGGGCAGCTGCTGATGAGACTGTCGGTGCTAGACAAGTGGGTCCGTTGCGACAAGGTGAGAACTAGAATGACACAAAGAGTCCGCGAAGGAGACGAGTTTAAGAGAGATTGGGACTTTATTCGTTCTGATAAGGGACAAGACCAAGGCCAAGACCAAGGCCAAGACCCAGATCCAGATCAAAACCAAAACCAAAAGCGAGAGCGAGAGCGAGAGGAAAACGAACACGAGTTAAAGCCAAAGCCTAGTCCTGATCCGGAGTTGGATGGAGAACCTCTTTCCGTTTCTGATTATGATGAGTGTTTCATTCCAGTCGAGGTGGATTTCTAGTGTAGTTGTTAGAAAAAGCTAATCTAGTTTTTGATGTATATTTCTTTTTAATTGTTTGTAAGAGCAAAAGGAACTGAAATCGTTTCGAATAGGAAAACTTGTATTTGAAACAGGATTTCTGTCTCCTACATAATAATATTTGGGGGCAGGATATCGTATTGTATCGTTATTCATTGAGCTTTTGTTTTCAACCATGAATACCCCTCTTCATTTCCTTATACGGGTATTCTCTATTCACCCAGGACTGTTGATAAGAGATAATCAGTGTAACAGATATAAAACTGGAGTCGAGTCAAATTCATAGTTGCACAACAAATAACATGCACAAACTACCCCATCTTATTCGGTGTCAATTTCTCGAGTATTTCTCCAAATATCAAAAATGTTGCACCAATCTCAACGTATCAAAAGTCGGTTTAATCCATAGCATGCTTACGCGCTTGCCCACTAGCTATAGTCCATATCATTCATGAGGGAAATGAAAGAAACAGACAAAAAAACTGTATAATACCATTATTTCTGGAGTTCAGGAAGTCACATTTTTCTCTTTCCTGCGGATAGTTTTCTCTTCCGTCTTATCCTTTGGAGAATAAGAACCTAAATGGAAGAAGTATTTGGCTTATTAGTGACTGTAACGGAGGGACAACAGTTTCCCAAGAAGAAGGTATATTTGTCTGTAGGCGATTTGATTTGAATGTTATTGAAAATAGATGCGTTACAGTAAATACAAAGTTTCATTTCCAGTTGTTGCTGGTGGAGACACTGTAGTTTTCAACCAGGGTTACTTTTTCCCGAATGTCAAGGTTCCTAATTACAATGAAAAAACCCTTCCAATTCTGGTGAAGGCTTATGAGAAGAAAACGTTTTTCAACGAGTATGGAGATTCTGCTTGAGTAACAGCATAGTGTCTGCATGGCAGAATTGAAAGTCGAGGCATCCAATTTTGCCTACTTTGATTATTACGAGCCGCTCGAGTTTAATTTAATCGCGAACGAGGGTTATTCTTCTTATAATTTCCAACTGAAAATAATGTTTCAACTCGTAAAGCCCACATCTCAATTTGTTGTTCCTGGAAGAGCGGATACGAGCAATCTGCCTCCTGTGGCTTACAATATAGAGATATCATCCGCTTCTTTGAATGTATTGGTAGCCCATTCATCTGACTGGTAGGAATCTCTCGTAAACAAGCAGCTCTACTATTCCTGCCAGCTCATAATAAACGACCACGAAGATCTCAAGACGAAGGATATCAAGGGAGTGGAGCCTCAATGGAAGCTTCGTCAAATCGTGTCGGCCGGGAACTTTTCGGATCCAAAAGTGATGGTTTTTCAAATTAACCATGTTGCGTACCCGCAGCGCCGAGATACTTTGAAGATCGTTGGAGAGGCGCGTCTTACAACCAAGCGGATCAAGACATTGAACACGAAGCACTTCGATATCTCGGTAGGTGTGGCGCGACGCGTTCATTTATTAGGTGTTCCATAACCGAACCGAAGTCGGGCTTTTGCACCTCTTTGTCCAGCCGCTCTACGCGCAGAGCCGCGATTGCACGGCGGATATGGCGAACGTGAACCAGCTCAAGCCCAACGCGCACATTTCTCCCAAGAAAGAGACGCGGACGGACGGCGAGGGAGCGTCGATCCGAGACGAGGCAGCATCGAGTCCGGTGCAGATGGCGCTGGATTCGGAAGCTGGGAACGTGGCTCCGCCGCAGTTGCGGAAGAATGAGCGCGTGCTGAATCAGGGGCAGGGCAATACGATCCGATCTGTGTCGTCGAGTCAGAGGAACACGCTGCGTTCGAGTTTTACGAGCGGAGGATCGTTGATTCCGGGTGTGGATGGGCCGAGCTCGGAGAGGTTTGACGTGCTGCAAGTCGATTTCAACGACAACGTGGCGAGTCCGAGCGTGCATTCACATGCGACATCGCCTCTCTCGCCGGTGATGGAGCGGCAGAACTATGTGAATTCGATGCAGGATCCGACGAAGCAGGCGATGTCCAGCGCACACTCGAGTTTGAAGTTGGATCCGAATCCGAATCCGAATCCGAATCTGGGCCAAGAGCTGAATCAAGATGCAAGTCTGGATCAGAATTTGGACAATAGTTTAGATATTATGGATGTGAACATGAATAATTATCCGATGGCAAATCCGAATCTGCATATGGGCGTGGACCAGAGCCCCAGTTCAAATCTCAGTCCCAATCCAAGTTCTGTTAGTTCTCGAAGTTTGAGAGGAGAGCCCGCGACGGCTCATGTGGAGATCAAGAAGGTGGCAATTGCGATGGTAGCGCCTTCGGCTACATCGGAAGAACCCAAGTATATTTCGCAGTGTCAAGCAATTATTCGAAAGAGCCAGAGTATGTATAAACAAGGTGTGCATTTGATATCTCGTCCTAGAAATGACTATGTCGAGAATATGAAGTTTGTGTTATAAGGAATTAATTGTTTGTTTTGTTTGACAACAAAGAGAAGAAGCAATAGGAGTAGATACGCTCTCCGAAACTACATTTGCTATCGAAGACGGGATTTCCAGAGGAACCACTTCAGGAGGTTTCACGGCCTGAGAAGTGGACGAAGGATTGGCGTTTTCCATATTCATTTGTTCGCCATGACTCTCCACCATATTCATTCGACTAGCGCTCATGTCTGCTTCTTTATTATTATTATTATTATTGTCATTCGCCGGATGACGATAGCTCGGTGTTGCGGCTCTGCGCTTCGTCATGTCTGTCAGTCGAATCGTGTCAAGATCGTTGTCCATTTCCAGGAGCGATCGCAGCTGCACAGCTGTCACTGCACTGAATTTGTTTTTCTCCAGATTTAAGTCGCGGATATTCGACCAGATCCGATGACGAATACTATCAAAGATAACAAATGCGCCCTCATTCGAAATGCCATTATCGCTCAAATTTAGCACTTCAACCTGCGTCAAAACCTGGTCTTTATCGTTGTCGGCAAACTGCTTCACACCCTCATTTCCGACTTTGTTTGAGCTCAGATCCAGTTCTCTTAGGGATGGCAACTGCTGCTTCTGCAGGATGCAACACAGCGCGCAGATGCACGCCGGATTCAATCGATTCTGCGCCAGGGATAAGGTGTGCAGGAGCTGGAGAGGCATATCGACAATAGCGTTGCAAAGGTGCTTGATGCTGTCAAGATTCAGAGAGCATTCTGCAAGATGAAGCTCCTCGAGATGCGCAAATGTGCCAGAGCGAATCATGGTAGCGAACGTCGCGGACACATCGCTGTTCATTGCGATTCCCGAAAGATTGATGCATTGAAGCTGAGGACAGTGATTCATTTCAATAATTCGGAAGAAGGTCTTTACGGATTCGCCCTTCAAGGGGTTATCTAACAGTCAGGAGAAACGCAAAAGTTCTCGTACAAGACCAATTAATAACACGGAGATGCTCGTGTGTAATCGACCCAAAGTGCGATAGGAAGACGTCGAATCCTTTGGAATGGATTTTGTTGTGAGATAGGTCCAGAACCTCCAGACTTGCGCAAGAGAATGGATGATCAAATAATCTTGATAAGGCGATGGCTCCCTTATCTCCAATGGAGTTGCCAGAGAGATCCAAATATATGCATTTCTCCATCTTTCCAGAGAGATAGGCGTCTACCAGAGCGTTCACTCCTTTATGTCCAATATTGTTATTTGAGAGTGAAATCGATTCGAGATGAGGGCACAACCCCGCCTTTAAATATTCGCAAATTGGCTGCCACTGCTTTTCGTTCATACGGGCTCCCTTGCTCTTATCCATAGGTCGAAGCGAGAAGTGTTTCAACGAAGAAAAGCAGGAGCAGTTAAAGCAATGATAGAGAGCCTCGTATGCTTCTTGACAGATAACACAACTGTCGATAGAGACTGATTCAATCACATAGCCTTGGCCATGTTGCAACGTCCAAGCATCTGTGATACTAGGCAAGTTGCATATACAACTATAAAAGTCAGCCTCTGCCATGCCAACTAGTTTTAGATTTCTGCAGTTATAACACCGCTTCATTCCCCACACGCACTTGCTGGAGAATGATTTCAACACAATGGTGGTTAGTGTCTAGAGTTCAAATGATAGCCCTTTTCTACGGTTAGAGTCTGCATTCGTTGGTCATTACTTTGCTGCAGGAGTTGAGGGAGCGAAGTTGGCTCACAGCAACTTATACAATCAATAAACGATTCCATACTCAATCAATAATAGATATGGGTTCAGACGTAGATAAAGATGTAGAAGAAGATGATAAAATGCGAAGCCACTTGAAATGTCACGAAGGAAAAGGATAAAGAACGTGGTTCGCATGTGAAGGCATTGTCTTGTTACAACATACAGCCAATTGAAAATAGTTAGAATCTAAAAACGATAAGTATAGAATACCAAAAAAAGTGTATGTTTTCTTATTATTATTCATACTATTCATACTACTACAAAAATACTGAATATTTTTTCTTTTTCTTTTTCCTTTTAGTTATTCAGGTTTTTGGAAAGGACAGCGGCAAATGGATCCAAATAATTATAATGTGATGGGAATCGATCTCGGAACTACCAATTCGTGTGTTGCTGTCTGGAAAAATGGGCAGATTGCCATAGTTCCGAATGATTGTGGAAAGCGAATAACACCTTCAGTGGTGTCATTCCTCCGGGATGGAGTATTGGTAGGCAATGCAGCCTCGAAGAAAATGACGGTGAACCATAAGAACACTGTTTTTAACTGCAAGCGATTGCTTGGCCACAAGATAACAGACGAAGTAATTAAAAGCGATCTATCTTTATTGCCCTATGTAGTAGTAGCTGATGATGACAACAATATTAAAATCCAAATAGAGACATCCGAAGGCGAGACCAAGTATTACTCCCCCGAAGAGATTAGTGCCATGATCTTGCGTTATTTGCGATCTCAGGCGGAAGCGTTTGTGGGCCACGTCATCAACGACGTGGTGATTACAGTCCCTGCGTACTTTACGGAAGCCCAGCGCAAAGCAACGAGTACTGCAGCTCGGCTGGTGGGTCTCAATGTACTGCAGTTGCTGGATGAACCAACGGCTGCTGCAATAGCGTATCATTTTGAACAAAAGAGCAGAACGCAGCACATTCTTGTATATGACCTTGGTGGCGGTACCTTCGATGCGTCTGTTTTGCAAGTGAGTGACAGTACGATAAGGGTGTTGACGCACGATGGAGATAACCATCTGGGTGGAGAGGATTTTGATCGCATGCTCATGAACTATCTGTTTTTCCAGTATGAGAAGCAGAAGGGCGAAGACGTTATGAACGACCGGGTTTGGCGTGCTCGAATGCATGCTGTAGCAGAGTCTTGCAAATTGGAGCTTTCTGTTGCGTCCTCCTCCTTGGTTGAGTTTGACAATTCTGATTTTACTTACTCTGTGTCTCGCTTTCTTTTTGAGAATCTAAATAAAGAGTTGTTCAACCGAACGATCTCGATTGTTGAGCGGACCCTCAAAAAAGCCCAACTTTCGAAAGAGCAGATTGACAATGTGATTTTGGTTGGTGGGTCCACTCGAATTCCCCGGATTCAGCGTCTTTTGGGAGAACGCTTCGACAACAGTAAGATCTGCAAAGGAATCAACGCCGACGAGGCTGTGGCCACGGGCGCAGCGATTTACGCGGCGTACCTTTCCTCCCAACAAATAAAGCAGTACCCATCTTCGGTGTTGCTGTCGCTGGGCATCGAACTCCATGGCGGAATTATCGAGAAGATGATTCCTCGGGGGTCTCCGATTCCTTCGTACAGCGTGCTGGAGTTCACAACGCCCACGGACTACCAGAACAAAATATTGTTTCATATCGTGATGGGGGAGCGGTCGCTGCTCCGTAACAATATCGTTCTGGACACAATATTGCTCGAAGACCTGCCTCTGTGCCGTGCGCATGAAATGACGATCAAGGTGAAGATGACGGTGAACTCGAACTACCATCTCATTACGGAGGTGGATATTCCGGAGAAGGTTCACAAGGTGTCCGACATCTTTTTGGGCAATTCCGTGGATTCTGCAGAGATCCCTCGCTTGATTCGGGAGGCGGAGGAAAAGGCTTTCGAGGACAGGGAGTTGGTGGCTCGTCATACCGAGATGAGTATTCTGGATTGCTTGGTGGAAGAAGGACACGCGCTGCTGAATTCGAGAAATCCTCGCATGACCACGGACTGGATTCAGCAGATGAACGATATGTTGGTCGAGATAAGAGAGTGGATGAAAGTGAATGAGGATGCGGATATATCTGAATGTCAGGAGCGTCAGCAATTAATTCGAAGAAAGCTGCTTCCTGTGGTTAGTCGTTGATTTGGTTTGTTGGAAACGGGTTTTCTGAGAGGTGATGTTTCGTGTTTGGGCTCGACAAGGATATTGTTTCTGTGATTTCACTTCGTGTCGTTAAAAAATGATGTGATATTGTATCGTACTTTCTCTCTTTAATGGTGGTACTCTTTTTGCAAAGCGAAGTGATATGGAAATCGAAAGGGAATGAGATATGAAATCGAAAGGAAATGAGATATGAAAACGAAAGGGAATGAGATAGGATTGAACAGGCGTATATAAATAATAATAATAGTAGTAGAAACAGTCTCTAATAAAGACCAAACGCAATGCTTGTAACATACACCACGATAGAAGAACCTCACACCATTCATAGCATTCTACTATTTCACAACAAACAAACAAATAAAAGTTGCGTTTGTTTTCCTATTTCAATACTATCAGCAATTTTAGAGCTTGAAGTTCTTCTTCTCCAGAATATCAAGCACATCATTTGCGCTAGTAGTAATGGGAGTACCAGGACCATGGATAGCAGACACTCCAGCCTTGTACAGGAAGTCGTAATCCTTGGGAGGAATCACACCTCCAGCGACCACAACGATATCATCGCGGCCCTCCTTCTTCAGGCACTCAATCAGCTCGGGAATCAGAGTCTTGTGTCCAGCAGCCAGGGAAGAGCATCCGACAACGTGGACATCAGCATCCACAGCAGCACGCGCAGCCTCAGCAGGGGTCTGGAACAGAGGACCCACATCCACATCAAAACCGATATCGGCGTAACCGGTGGCTACGACCTTGGCGCCACGGTCATGACCATCCTGTCCCATCTTGGCAATGTAGACACGAGGACGACGACCGGTCTTCTCCTCGAATCTCTTAGCGCGCTCGCTCACATCCTGGAACACCTTGGTCTTCGAGTCCTCAGTGTACTCCTGCATGTAGGCACCATGGACCATCTCCTGCTGAGGAGTGTAGCGTCCCCAGTGATGCTCCAGAGCATCCGAGATTTCTCCCAGAGTAGCACGCACACGAGCAGCATTGATCGAAAGGTTCATGAGGTTGTTAGGATCAGTTCCCTTACCAGTAGGCTCGGTGAGCTTGCTGGAGTACTCCAGAGCCTCCAGAGCACGGCGGACAGCGTCGTTATCACGCTTCGCCTTAAGCTCCTTCAGACGAGCAATCTGAGAGTTGCGCACCTCAGTGTTGTCGACCTCACGGACCTCCACAGCATCCTCCTTGGCGAGCTTGTACTTGTTGACACCAACAATCGTCTCCTTTCCAGAGTCAATGCGGGCCTGCTTACGAGCAGCAGCCTCCTCAATACGCAGCTTCGGCATACCGGAGGCAATAGCCTTGGTCATACCACCAAGAGACTCGACCTCGTCGATGATGGCATCAGCTCCCTTCACCAGCTGGTTGGTCAAGTACTCAATCACATAGCTTCCACCCCAAGGATCCACGGTCTTGCAAATACCGGTCTCCTCCTGAATGATCAGCTGGGTGTTACGAGCGATACGGGCAGAGAACTCAGTGGGAAGACCCAGAGCCTCATCCAGAGCGTTCGTATGCAGAGACTGGGTGCCTCCCATGACGGCAGCCATAGCCTCGATCGTGGTACGAATGATGTTGTTGTAAGGATCCTGCTCAGTCAGCGAGTATCCCGAAGTCTGGCAGTGAGTACGCAGAAGCAGCGACTTCTGGTTCTGAGGGTGGAAGTGCTTCTGGATGCGCTTGGCCCACAGCTGACGAGCAGCACGCAGCTTGGCCACTTCCATGTAGAAGTTCATTCCAATACCGAAGAAGAAGGACAGACGAGGAGCCACCTTATCCACAGACACTCCAGCAGCCTCGGCAGTGCGCACGTACTCAATACCATCAGCAATGGTGAAGGCCATCTCCAGCATGGCGTCAGCTCCGGCCTCCTGCATATGGTAACCAGAGATGGAAATCGAGTTGAACTTGGGCATGTGCACAGACGTGTATCCCATGATATCCTGGATGATACGCAGAGACTCATGAGGAGGATAGATGAAGGTGTTTCGCACCATGAACTCCTTCAAGATATCGTTCTGGATGGTACCACGGAGCAACTCCTGCTTCACACCCTGCTCCTCGGCGGCAATCACGTAGAAGGCCATCACGGGAAGCACAGCTCCATTCATGGTCATGGAGACAGACATCTTGTCCAGAGGAATTCCGTTGAACAGAACCTTCATATCCTCGACAGAGTCAATTGCCACACCGGCCATACCGACATCACCAACCACACGAGGATGGTCCGAGTCGTAACCACGGTGAGTGGCCAGATCAAAGGCAACCGAAAGACCCTGCTGTCCAGCAGCAAGGTTCTTACGGTAGAAGGCGTTGGAGGCCTCAGCGGTGGAGAAACCAGCATACTGACGAATGGTCCAAGGCTTCTTGGTGTACATGGTGGCGTAAGGACCACGAGTGAAAGGGAACACAGCGGAGCAATCATCCAGAGTGATTCCCTCGAGATCCGACTTCATGAACATGGGCTTCATCTGAATTCCCTCAGGAGTCTTGAAGCAAAGAGTCTCTAAAAATTACAATCTCGAATCGAACCTTACCAGGAGATTCTCCCTTCAACTCTTTCGTAGCAATCTTGGTCCAGGCCTCAGGGTAGTTGCAGATACCCATAGCACGAACGGAGGTTTTGGCAAGTTGTCTAGTAGCAGCAAGCATTTTCAAGTGGTTATTCTAATTTATCAAAATAAAATCCCAGTGCCCACCACAACGCACTCCTGCAGAAAAAATATGTGAAAATAAGGGCACAGATGCCAATACTTCCACGATCGCGGTTATACTAGCGAACTCTGCGTCTTTTTTTATTCTGTCGCCTTCTATCAATTGTCTTTTCTTGTTGATATTAAGGGTATTGGCACATTGAATGAGGGATTCTAACAAACTAGCCAGGAGTGGACGCTAGAAAGCTATAGGAAACCCCATCAGAGACATGGGGGAGTGTGATAAAAAACTAGCTGTATGTAGCAAACTAGGACAAGAAAAAGCGACATCAACTCAAAGAGAGGAATATCATCACGAAAGAAGCCAAGATTCTAGAATCACACTGGCTCTCTGAATACTATCATGTATTACTTAATACGATGAAATCATCTAAATTGGGACATTCTATCCGCTGGATATGGAGAGTAATGTTCCCAAAAGCAGCTGGCCACAGAACCGTATTTCGAACTTTAAAATGAACTAGAGACGTCCACGAGGTAGTCAAGAGGTCGTCAAATCGCAGTCAAGAGACAACCAAAACGATTTCAAAGGAGGAAAGATAAGAAGACACCCCAAATCAAAACGAAGAATCCTAACGCAATATAAATAGTACTCATAAAATATGGCAGGCTGTTTCCCACGAAATAGCAGCTTATCTAGCATCGATACTAGAAAAGGGCAGGGTCACCTCTTGACAATAAAAGACAACTGATAGGAGGTTCCACATACTGCAGACAGCGTGATTTCCATAGAATATAAAAAAATGAAATCTATAAAGTACTAATAGAATTCGAAAAACTCACGAGAGGTAGGAAAAGACCGCCACTTCTTGTCATTCAATTTTTAGATATGGACCTTCCAGAATTCAATATTGATATTTTACAAAGTAGAATATGCACAAGAATAGGGAAGGAAAGTATTCGGGCACATTTCGTCATAAGAAAGAGAATAATAATAGGAATAGGAATAATTATTATTAGACACGATTAACGTGTGGAGACACGATAAATATTTAGTTATACTTGTTTCCACAAGTAACAAATGATTGATTGATTGTTTCGAAAATGGACAACAATAGTAATGCATTCGCTGTGTTACCAATAAAAAAAGTTAGTGTGAGAACTAGAAATAAGAACGGCTCCTATAGAATTCTGACCAACATCAAAATTGTCATTGTTCTTAGTAGACATGAAGCAGTTTGATATATTCGATAAGCCTCTTATCGGTTTGTATACAAAAACTGTTCAAGGAGGGTTAGGTAGTGTTTTTTGGGAAGTACTCACTGTTAGTATCGCTATTCATTCTAACTGTATCAGTATGCACGGCTATTGTGACAATTTTCCTTGTTCCAGCTGAATCGGTGAAAACCTCTGTTCATACTCGGAATTATTTTTTGCAGTCTACAATAATGAGCATGGATATTCTAGTTAAGAACAGCCTTTGTGATGGTACTTTTAAGAAAAGGGCCTTCTTTTAAGATTTGGAATACGAAATTCTTTCTTTCTCTCCTTCTTCTCCTCTTGGGGTATCTGCGAAAAACGTATGAGAATTCACATAGCAGATAGACTGTAGATCAGTATGGAGTCCGATTTACAGAAACAAGTTTGCCGAATCTATGGAAATACCAGTGTCGAGCCTGTATAGAGAGGGAGTAGACATGTAACACTTAGGGGGGAGGAAGTTTAAAGATTCAAAGCAAAAAAGGTGTACTGACCCACAAAAAAGAACAATATTCAGCAAGGAATCGTCCCCTTTGTTTTAAGATATTGAGTTTAACGTTTGGCAATACTTCACAACACACATTTTCCTCAAGTCTTCAAGGATATGAAGGGGGAGAAGGTTGCTATCTTGTGATACACGATTACTTTAATAGGGCAAAACACGGTGATCAATCTGAAAGTGTATGAAGTCAAAGAAAACAGCCAGAATGATCATTTTGAGTATGCTGCATCGATAAAATCTATGGAAGAGTCGCCAAGCGGTCTTTCTTTTTACTACTCCTTCCAGCCGGAATACATTGTTCGGCAAATAACGTCCAGTTCTACAGAGAGAGTTGCGCTGGGAGTTATTTCCTTTGGGGCGTTTTATACTCTGCTTAGTTTGACGTGTAACGTCCTATGTAAGAGAAAGGATTTTGGGAAACGTGATTCTAATGTTTGTATAAAACTAATCTAGTAAGAGAAACTGGGAGCAAGGTATGAAGGGGAGAGTATGTGTGTTGGATATTTGAAAAAATAGAATACAAAGTATAGGATCCACTAGGAAGACTAGTAAGCAAACAAAATAGTTTGCAAACAAACAATCCAACAACCCAACAAAACAACCAACTAACTAACCAACCAACCAACCCAGTCAACCAACTAACTAACCAACCAACCCAGCCAACCAACTAACTAACCAACCAACCCAGCCAACCAACCCAGCCAACCAACTCAACCACCCACTCACTTCTTCCTAAACCCAGCCATTCCAAAATGTTCATCATGCGTCTTATCAAACTCTGGAGGAGCATCCACAGTGTCATGAAGGGAACGAAACACTCATCTATTATGCTATATCAAGGATATGTTCCCAAAGGAATAAAAGACTTGGCTAAAACGCTTTCGATTTCTCTTCGTTCCACAGGATCTAACCAGCGCCTCATAATTAACACACCATTACGGGAAAGCTTATGCTGGATCTATAAAAGGAGTAACACTCGTTAGAAAAGTACCCATTTTATCATCACCATCGGTTTTTCAGATTGAATTACCACCAAATCGAATGATGTATCGATCCGTTGAAACATTGACAAAACCAGCTCGCGTGTAGAAACCTCGTTTCGATTGCACCCTAACTGAATATTCACCCCGCAGCCCAGGAAACGATGATATGTCCTTCTACAATGGTATGTCCACTAGAATCCAAACTCGCAAGCTTCAACGTTGATAATGATAACCATAAGATTTCTGCAATACGGCAGCAATAATCCCAAAACATCCTTTTCGCTAACTAATAAGCAACTACTGGCGATAGAGCCATCCATGGCCTTTCGGATAAACTCCTTCTCTGTATCATAGTATGAGTCATCATAATATCCCTCAAATCCATGATTGGCTATGCATATCGAGGAACCTAACTGTACAGAATGATAGTTTGCAAGCTTCCCAAATGACTTGTACTCGCAGCATCCACCTGGAAGAGATTGCAGTATTTTGGTATTCCAATTATTATCAGGAGTCTTTCTTTTGATTCCAGACCGGTTTCCGTCGGAACTCAGCATATGAGCGCAATGAACCGAATTTGTAACATCAATCATGTGGATAGAGCTATCAAGATAGGCAGCCTGGACTAAAAACAGATCATATCCCGATCGGCCAATCACAAACTTGGGCATCTCAGACCAGTTCCATGTAGATTTGGTAACGATGTGAAAATCAACTGCAGAGTCCCAATACCGATGCCCTTTTAGAAGCATACGAATAACAAACTCAGAAGGAGATTCCGTTCCCCCCTTGTGGTATATATCAGTCAGTGATTGCTGAACATTGGTCCTTTGACCCACTACATAGAGACGGTCTCCAAGTGTTTGATCAGCCTCAACACTTTGAAGAGTCCTGATCAAGGTGTTGTCTAGAAGAATATCAGCATTTACATAACCATAAAAAGTAGAGTTAAAATGTTCGAACACGTACTCGAACATGGAGCCTAAAAATGGAGTTCCATACTCGTTACATCTATTATAAAATTGGAATAATAATAGTACTCAATATTTGAAACTGCAAGTACTCCATTTTCTTTAGAAATCTGAACCCACTCCATGTCATCTGTGAAAACGACAACATAACAAGAATCCAAGTCTGAAAGGAGTCGTATGCAATTTTCTTGTGCCAAGTGCCGAAGAGGGTCATCCTACTTGAAAATGGATAAATATCAAAACATCTGCCTTTAGAACGGTCGTAAAGATGGTTAATGTACGCTTATCTGGAAAGTATCCCACATTGGTAACACCGACTGGTAAAAACGAAAATGTATGCAGCCCATTTGAAACCCAAAGGATTAGACACATGGTCGATACAACGGACACTACCAGTAGCGTTCCAAAAATGCAGCATATAGAACGTACAAAATGTTTTCGCCTTTTGCTTTTTGACATGTCAGGGATCAAACTAAGCGAGGAAAAAACGATGTTGTAAGAAATAGTATGAAAAGTTTATAGGGAATACGATGTTGTACTTTTTGTTTTTAACCAAGTACGTACATAGCCGTTATCAATTTTCCTTCACACATTTCAATTCAACTGCGGTATCTGATGTGAGTCTTAACCCATTATAGACTTGTGTAATCCATTAGCAAAAGTAGTAGCGACCCAAATATTAATTATTATTAATGTGCAGAAGAAGGAGAGTGATATCTCTATGCAAACTCTTTCAATTTCATTATTTTCTTTCTCTGCAACTATTGGATGGGTCAATACAATAAATCATAATATGCAGTGAATTGCTTACAGCAAAGCGACAACCTAGCAAATCATTATTGCCTTATTGCTTATAAAAAGGATATATATGGAGAACACTACACTGTCGGACACAAGAGAACCAAAAATACCAGGGTAGTGTTCGGATCGTTCTACACTACCTCTTTTCATTTTAATTTACTGCAGCAACTATTTTCTTTCTTCATATTTTCCCACTATACTTCTTTTCTTTTTTCCTCCTCGCCGTTGCTGCTCGTTTTCCCATTCCAATTATACCTTATGCTCTGAAAAACAATAATCATACCCTTCCTATTTTACATACTCTTTGAATATGAGCCTCAACTTTCGATATCTCGCTTCAAGACAAGCAATACGATCGGTAAGACGTCTGTTTGCAACTACAGGACCGTATTACTACTTCTTCACGATACCAAGTTAGATTCCCATCAGAACCCAAGTACTCCGAAAAATACGGATGGCAAATAGCAATTTCACCATTGAAGATGGTTTCAGTGCGCAAAGTACTCAACTTCTACCATTCACAACTTAGTGGCAAGACCAGGTACTTGTAGATCTTCGAACATACTGGGATCCAAATAATGAGTACAAATAATCGTGGAATGCAATGTAGTGGAAACTTGGTACCTACCAAACGTGGGATAGCCCTTACTGAACAACAATGGGACTCCCTACTAAGCCACAAACTCGATATAGAAAAGTTAATGGATCTGATTCGAAGTGATAAAGATAAGCTCAATTCATCATCGACGGAAGAGAGAGATTTATTTTTAGTTGTTTAATAACAAAAAAGAAAGCCGTCAACATTCACTAAGATTTCTTGGCATTTTGAACATTTCAGTGTACATACTACAGAAAAATAGGTCAGAAAATACGTACAGCGACCATACACGTACTGGGCTTGACACTTCATACAACGATAATGGTACTGTTTCGCAGACAATCGTAGATGCTAGAAGCGGTGATGCATAAATAAAAGAAAAAACAGAGCTACACAGAGGACATGTAAAGTCTGAAACTCCTTGAGGCACAGATAGGGTAACTTTACATTTTGGACATTGAATATTGGTCTAACTTTATTAGACTTGCAAAAATATACAGACACTCCAGAAGAGGAACGAATAGTGCGAGTTGACTTTGATGTATCTTCGGACCCCAGAGAACCCAAGGTTTGGCTCATAGAAGAAGTACTCTTTATGTGAAATCCCAAAATAACGTATTACCTGCGCAGACTTGACACTCTGATTATCAGACAATACAGAATCTTTATTGCTTGCCTAAAAAGAAAACCAGAGTTTCAAGAATTACCAAAGATATCGAAGACTTTGTATTCTCTCTATCAACATCCAATTGCTTTGATTCTTTTTTATTAATAACACTACTGCTACTCCGAACACGATCTTTTAGAGACCGCTTAGTACTATTTGAATAGGATTCAATCCGAATCTCTTCTTCTAGCCTTTCCACAGGCTGCAAAGCAATAGAGAGATTTTCAGGAGATATACAGCGTACAGATGAAGCTTCTTTCCATTCTATAGACGTATTCCCAGGAGGTCCAACACGACAAAAATCACCACTCTAATCCATTAGAAAAACTAAAATATAACCAACCATGATAAAAAACTCAAAATCACACAAAAAAGAATTCAATACTATAATTGTTTCTGGGTAATTATACGGTCTTTTAGCGTTCAGATCCTTTATACTCACTTTTACACACATATCATATTATTTGTATTCACAGAAATTATAAAATGGAAAATGGATCCTGAAAAAAACCAAAATTGCATTACATTTTGAAATGACTGTTGAGAACGCATAGTAATTATAATTATAATGGATAATATAAAAGGCACGAGTGATAAATACGGGCAGAAATAGGCCGGTAGAAAAACGCTAAAATGGAATGGTGTGGCTCAATTCACATATTCATAGAGACTCTGCTTGAGAACGGTTTTCGTATGCTTAAGAAAGAGTTATAATATCCGACAAATAGAAGCGAAAAGACATTTCTTGGACTTTACTAAATGATTTATCGAGTAACAAGGCTAAAACTAGTAGTAGGACTGCACTACACAAATAATAAGATTAGAAGCATCAAGTAGGAATTAGAAAACCGAACCACTGTTATTGTGAGTAGTTTCGTGGAGTAACTAGGCGATAGGGTAAAAAACGCATTACTTTTACCCAGACGCAGCGCATCTGTCCTGATTGTCAACGAAATGTGACTAATTTCTCTTGGGAAGCTGTGGTTCAAATCCGTCAGCGTGTATGTGACTCTTCGCTTCAAGGTTTATTGTATAGGCGGAGCATAAAAAGACATTGTTTTGGCTCGAGCAAGAGCTAATCAAGAATTACCGCTATGAAGACTCGTTGTCCTTGGAGATTGTGAGCGGCGGGCTTGATTTTTAGTCATTTCTACAAATTGAAAGAAGCACAGTCGTTTGTGGAATATGTGAAGTCTATTGTTGCTACAAGGTTTTTATTTTCTATTTGTTATCTCTAACCGTTTAGCCAAAAGTACAGTAAGCAGTTGCATGGAACTGACCAAAAGAATCATGTTGCTTGGTACCGCCATTCGTTTTATCTCGAAGTTCCTTCGGTTTGTAAGGTAGAGAATCACAGCAACAAGTGAATTTTAGAACGATCTGGTCATCCTTCCAAGATTCTGTGCGTGTGATCTGGCTGTTCCGTTTGTGCTTTGCACTCGAATTACCTCGAATTTATCGTTCGTTCAGCCTACGAGTGGTAAAGTAGGAACTGAAGAATTCTAAGTGATGTCGTAGGTCGTGACAGTGTCCGGTACATCCTACAGCAAGCATCCGTTCAATCCTCTTCTAAATTCGAACCATTTGAAGGAGTTTACAGTTCTGGATGTTCAGTTGGATCACCCATCCCAGCGAACGAATCGTGAAATCACAGAAGAAGGCAGCATTGTTATGGGAGATGTCGAAGTAATTCGAAGCGATGATTTCGGTGTCAGTAATGAAACGATTATCGTTCGATCTCATCTGTGTGGTGTTTTGGAGCCTGGAATGCTGGTAATGGGGTATGATTTACGTCGATCAGCGTTGAACAATGACGAATATGAAAAGTACGCAGATTTATTACCCGACGTAGTATTGGTGTGCAGAGCAAAGGATCCTGAAAGAAAGCAGAAGCAGAATAAGAACAAGAATAAGGAAAGATTGAGAGAAGTGAATACTGCATCTGAAGAGCGAAATCGAGAAATTGAGCAGTACGAAGAGGAGCGAGAGCAGTATTCTTTGGAAGAGGAGAATGATAGCGAGGAGGAGAATGATAGCAGGGAGGAGAATGATAGCAGGGAGGAGAAAGATAGCAGGGAGGAGAAAGATAGCGGAGAGGAAACGAAGGAAAAGGTAATGTAGAGGAATGACAAGCATCTCTATTTGTAGCTAATAATATATTATTATTAAACAACAAATCCCACATCATAGAATACTTTCGGTGATTTCGACTCTTTCTTGTCCTTTCCCAACTACCTTGAACTTGTGATTTATGACTGACTTTACTATAATATCTATTAGTTCAAAAATGAAATGAGACGAATCAAGGAATCATGAAAACGATACAATGGATATTGATCCAGTATCTATTCAAAAGTATGTGTGGATATTTTACATCTTAAAACCTTCGTAGAGTGAAATACTACTCATATTAATCAAACACAACATATAGGCATATTTTGCTTTACATAGTTATTCCTTTTTTCGAAATAATCACTGTCTTTTAATTGGGATTTTCAATTCCATTTAGACATTCATATCCTTTTTCACACTTCCCTTTTTAGAAACAGATTTTCTTTTGGTATTTTGCTGTTTTTTACTTCTCTTCACACAAACTATAATAAGCGCAATAACCACAATAACCACAACAACAACTACTACCAGTACAATTAAGAAAATAATCGAAATACAGAACCCACTCGTTCTTTGCCATTCGCCACCCTTTTCGCCAAGCTTGCAGGCTCTTTTCTGTGTTCCAATATATAGACCATCCGATGCGCATTCATAAACAGCCACTTTTCCAACATAAGTCATTGGGAAGTGGCCATCTTCTTCACATCTTCCTCTTTGGACATTGAATAGGAGCGTCGTAGACACAATACCCACTTGATTCTTTCCAAAGATTGTACAATTTGACTTTCCGATATCCATTACCGGAGTTCCAACAATCTCTCCAGATATCGGGTTTAGCGTAAGCCCAAGAGGCAGATGGTTATTTTCGGCCAAATAAAACTCTTCAATAATATTTTCATATGCAGGTGGAGCAATGGATATCGCAATATCTAATGTCAGATTGTATTCATTGTGCTCATATGCCAGATTTTTAGGTTCGAGCTGAATGCAATGTCTGTAGTCAATCTCTCCCAATTGACCATTGGAACAAGTACGATAAGAATAGCCTCGATATCCCTTTTCGCAACTACCAGGTGAAATCTCTCCTTCTCCCACAGAAGGGTATTCACCAATTCCAGGACATGACCCACTTCCACTCACTTTACAGTACTGAAGCATGTAGGAACTCACATAGACTATGCTTGATGCAGCGGCATCCACTTCAAATCGAAGCTGCTTGAATCCAGTAGTACCCAGGGGAGCAGACCAAGCATTGCGACTTAGTGCCTGAATAGTTTGATCAACCGTCTCAACTGCTGTGATATAATCGTCAAATGTATTTCTGCGACCATAGAGAGAGAATCCATACTCACTACGAGAATAAACGGTTTGCATAGCAAAACTATTGAACTTGGTTCCTTCCAAGTTTTCCACCGCCCATTCAAGATAGGTTCCCATAACGTTTGTCTGATATCCGTAAGTTGTGGGATTCAAATCAAATAGTTCTTCAATAGAGCATAAACTAACCTCCGAACCATCGATTGATGAGTAAGTGTCCACAACAATCGAACACTCATTCACTCCAAACACTCCGGTAGCATCGAACACAATCGGATTTGACGATGACTGATCCATAGGACGATGAATTTCAAAAGCCATCATGTTCTTTCCCGTTCTTCCAACAACATTCGTCATAATTATGTGGAACATGGAAAATTCATTTTCATCATGGAGGGTAAATGACATCGTCTCCGAATCGAAGATTTCCCCAATATTAAAACGAGCCACTTTGAATCCATTAAAGTAGGCGACAACACCTCCAGTGTATTTCACACGAATATTGAGCACATGGTAGTTGCCAATATCTGGAATGTTTACTTCTTTACGAATGTAGGTGGTTATTTTACTATTCGTTCCAATCAGACTCGCCTTCTTAGATTCCCAATCAGAGTCATCAAAGTCAACAGTATTCCAATTCTCCACCCAATCATAGTTGACCTTCCATTCGGTATACTCAATCTGGAACGGAAGATATGAAGAAAACATTGTGCTTACGGAATGAGTGCTCGCAGGGAGCTGTCCCATTTCAAAAATCATTGCACCCATATCCACGGTCAGATAATACCCAGCAGGATTAAACCAGCCATCCCCTCCAGAATCAAGTAATTGAATAGTGTAGATATCATTCTCCAGACAGAAATCTCCATAATTCAAGCTACTACCAGTAATAAAACTATCTATAGAAGCGACAACAGTTCCACTTGTACCAATTCCCTGATAGATATTGTAAGAACCTTCGCTTGGGTAGCTATCAGTGCGAGCCACTAAAGTAATCAATGATCGGCTCCCAGTGCAAACTTCAACAGAAAGCGAAAAAGAAACAGAGGAAGTGCCTCCACTAAGTTTGCTGGCAGTGATGGTATAGGTTGTAGATATCTTTAGAGCGGTAGCAGTTCCAGAAATCATGCCAGTGTTCGGGTCAAGAGAAATTCCAGCAGGAAGACTGGGGCTGATCTGGAAATTGTAGTAATACGGAGAGTTCGGATAGACTTCTCCCATTTCAATATCCTTGAAAATGGTAATATCATCATAGACAAGTTCAGGAATTGTCATCGTTGTGTACACTGAACTCATATCCAAGGTATTGAACACCCAGTATTCTTGTAGAAAATCACCTGTGGCAATATTTTCAAAACGATATTCGTTGTATGCCTTATTATTCTGGAAATAGATGATTTGAGCCTGACCAACTTGAGACCAAGTAAGCTCAGTCACGGTTGTCAACGTGGTCCATGCATCATTTCCACTTCGAGCCTTTAGCACAAACTCACGAGGCTGTGCTCTAATCTGTCTGTAGTATGCCTTGATAGTCACAGAGTTGATCCATTCTTGACGATCGTTGTTGAACGCAATATTCAAATAATTAGTCGTGTATGATGATGGCTCGACTTCATATGCATAGTATTGCTCAAAACATTCAGATACATCTCCATCCAATCCACTGTAGGTAACAGTGTAGTCAAAGACACGAGATGTGGTCGTGTCGCCCATCAATCGAATGGCACCATCGAAGATCGCTTCCTTCTGGTTTGCATTGGCAGCAACGAGTCCAATAGCAATGGTATTCGATCCCTGTTGGATGTAGTTCACAGCAGTGGTCTCTCCAACTTGAACCGTCTTGATGGGAAGAGAAATCTGGTGAAAGAGAGTATCCGTGTAAATGTTGTCAGCATAACTCGAAGTACTGATCGTTGCATCCGTCAATCCCTTTCTGAACGCTTCATGTCCATTCAGATAGACAATGCATCCATACTTGTACTTGATGGAAAGAACGAATCCAGCAATGTTGTTGATGTCCGCAACAGTGAATGTCTTCTTGTACAGCTGGATCTGGTTGGTAGAGTCGGGGAAGTTGCTGGTATTTCCCTCAGTCCATCCAGTAGTGGAAGTTGATGAATACCAATCAGTAGGAACTTCACCATGCTTGTAATACCAGTTGGAATGGGGAAGAATGGAATATTGAGCATTAAACGTACGAGATGAAGGGAAACCGACTCTCGAATCATATCTCACACGAAGAATCGTTTCCATTTCATCACCATAGAGAACAGCACGGACATACAGAAAGGAAGCAGCGCTCCAATAACTGTTTTCGGATCCTACAGTAACTGCATACTTTGATCCAGTAACGCAAACAACATGGGTCCAATCTTCATTACTAACCTGACCAGAGTTGGCAGCAACAGATATGATTGTTTGCTGGGTTGAAGTATCCTTAATTTCGAAACTCTCCTTAGCAGCATTGGATCCATAGGTACGTAGAATGTTCAGTACTGTACCAGAACATTCCTGGATATTAAGAGTAAACGATCCAGTGTATGTATTGTTATTCATAACAGAAGTAACAGTGATCGTCAAATCAGAAACAGCCGTATCTGCAACTCCAGAAATTACACAAGTAACAGAATCAATTGAAAGACCCTCAGGAAGGTTCTGAGCTGAACATGAAGTAAACTCGGAAATATCAGGCTGGACATACACCATTTCAAATCTTGCCAAAAAGGTGTATGAGTCAGGAGTGAATGTGATAGAGGTTGGAATGGATGTAGAGCAAATCAAGGGTTGGACTTCATATGCATAAACATAATTAGTACCACTGCTACTAACAATATTGAGACGATAGTGCGGGTAAAGCGAAGCATAGAAATAACCACCAAAGATTTGGTAAACCTTGGTTTCATAAGTAGCATCGGATACAGTAAACACAGTTGTCCATTGCGAATTATCATTCGATCCTTGCCAAGAGAATGTGCTAGGAGCAGATGTAATGGACGTATAAGGCCAAACACGGAGGGAGTTAATGTAGGGTCTTGGTCCTTCAAAGGAGTAGGTTACAGTAGCAGGAAGGGATGAAGAGCTAGCCTGATAATAACTTGACTTAACGAAATCAAAGATATTGGCAACACTTGAGCCACCGTTCGAAGTCACATAAGTAGATTCAGCATAAATAAAACAATTGCCTTCAGTAGTAGAGGTAGCCAGAATAGCAAGATAGGCATTGAAATCAACAATAGTTTGTGTAGAATTGAAATGGAGCTCCACAGCCAGAATCGATTGTTGTGAAGCCACTTCAGATCCAGGACGGATGAATCCACGATAGGCAATCTCAGTATATTCTCCAGTCGCAGCAGTGGTCGAAGAAACAGCTCCATCAGGCAGATTGTCGCGGTAGACCTCAATTCCATTGATATAGGCAATCACTCCAGCCTTGTAGTACAGCCGCACATCATAAGCAGCCATATCTGAAAGACCCACGAACTGCTTACGGAAATATTGAGTACCAGATTCAACTGTAGTCTCAGAGCCAAGAGGAACATCCGTCCAAGTGCTGTCAGAAAACGAGTACTCAGTCCATCCAGCAGAAGCAACGCCGGAAACCATCTTCCAAGTGGAATCTTGCTCAATTCCATAATAGAGAGAAAAGGGAAAAGAATCTTGGTTATTATCTGTCATCATATTTTTGAAAACTACATTTCCAGACTTCCCCAATATAGTCAGATAGGATCCAGTATACCACGAATCGCCATATGAGTCGATCAGCTCAACAGTGAATTGATTATTGACGGAAGAGGTTAAGCATTGCTCAATCGTTCGTGTTTCCCTGTTGGCAAAGTTGGCTCCAGTATACAATAGAGTCGATCCATCATATACTTTGAAAGATTCCTCATTTGCCCAACTACTGCCACACTTTTTCACAAACTTGACATAAGTTTCTCCAGAAGAACAAGTTAAGTCACAATACACAAGTAAGACTAAGAGTTAGTAGTGATACGATGACATACATAGAGTGCTTACGAATAATAGAGATTTCATTCTAAAATACAAAAATAATGTGAAAAATGATAGAATAGATATCATATATTCGGTTTGGACCCTAATCCCTATTTTATAAAATATGAAATAGGGACAAGAAATAATAATGAGGAAACGAGAACCACTAATACAAGGCAACTTGATTACAAATAAAAAAGCGTATTTAAAAAAGAACTATTGTACAGGAAAAGAATCAAACTTTTCATTCCACGATATGCAGAGAGATCATCCATGTTTAGGAAATCCGCACAGGAAATACTAAAGAGTGCAATTGTAATCTGCAAGAAATAACGGCTATTTGACAAGAGTAAAATAGTCATTGATAATTATAAACTGGAACAAATCATTACAATATGTAGAGAAATAGTAGATTTAGGGTTAAGATTAGGATAATGAAAATTAAAATCAAGCAAGAAATGATATTCAGAGCATGGATAATATATAGAACAAACTCTGAGTGAGAGGCAGATGAGAGGAGTTCATGTGGAAAACAGATTGAAATGCACCTTAGTATTCCTAGGAATAAATAAACCATCGCAAAACAGCAAGGAAAATGATGAGACAAGAAAACTCTGTTCAGAGCAGCAATATACTACAGATAAGAATAATATGATAGATATTACAATAATGTTGGGAAATTAGCCTTGGGAAGAATAGTTCAACAATTGGTAATAATTATAATAAAATACACGAATGACAGAATGCATCCAACACACTTTACTGTAAGTAGAAGCACAAGCAGTAATGGTCTGAGAATGAACTATGAGTTTGAATAGTAGTATGCTAGTCGAGGTTTCTAGGCTATTTCTAATACACACACATATTGATATTGTGAAATAATACATAGAAACGGAGAAACTAAGGATTTCACATAGATAGAGATCAATCAATAATTGGATTACATTATAGAGTGTAAATACTATATTTGAAGTAATGCAAATAAAAGGCATATCAAGTATCCAAATAATCAGGGAAAACATGATAGAACTAATTGCTAACTCCACACTTGAGCTTACCACTACATTCCAATTATGGGCAGAGTGAAGGGATACTGAAATAAGTGGAGAATAAACGAGGAGTGTAGATTCAGAATAATGAATCAACAATTAAGATTTGCATGTTTCAAATATACAAGTTTTCCTCCAAGTTGATCCCGTGGAGCAAAGCGCTTTGGGATTTCTTGCCTGCTGTGATCCAGAAGCAAATCTTCAATCCTTCCGAATCGCGCGGAAGCTTCCAACACCACGCGATTTCGACGGAAGTTATGATGGGCGATTTGGTGAAGAAGGAGCTGCAGCGTCATAAGGAAGAGGGAAGCTACAACAGGCACTTCGATTATCAGACTCACTTCCTCGGCTATCAGGCTCGAACCTCGTTCCCTTCTCTGTTCGACTGCGACTATGCGTATGCTTTGGGACGAGAGGCAGCCGCATTGATTCAGTACAATCTCACCGGATATATATATATATATATGGCGACATTGCGGAATCTGAAGGAGGAACCGTCGGAATGGATTCCCTATGCGGTGCCTCTTCTGGACTTCTGCACCGTGGAGGCAAAGCAGGGAGTGTATCGTCCCTCGATCCCTGTAGATGGAAAATGAGTGGTTTGAAGTGTAGGAATCGAACGTGAATATGAACGATGCTCCGTTCCTGAGGTTCGTGGCTCATTGTGACAAATGGGCTGTGAAGGACGAAACCTGCAACCCGGGATCGGTCCAGTTCGGAGGAGCTGGAAGCTGGAACACGACGCTGTCGCTGCAGATCGAAAAGCACGACTATTTGAAGCGAATCCAGCTGCTTCGTGATGAACTGAAGGCTGTGGAGAAGATTTGCCTGCCTGGATGCGATGCGTTGTTGGTATATTCTGCGATTGCTGGAGTGGAGGGAGTGATTGAGCTACGGGAAAATGGTATCAAGAAGAAGATTTAAGCAGTGAAGTGGATGAATAAAAGAACTTAACAAAGAAACAAAGAAACAAAGAAACAAAGAAAGAATTCATTGAATTGCTTAAGATCTTGAGCTTACCGTTGACCGTCTATTACGTCCGTACCATTCACTCTTGAACTACTTCCGGGCAGCTGATTTCCTGAAAATCAAGCCATACGCCTTTCCATTGATTGATTGATTGATTGAATGGAATGAAGGAACCATGATGTCTTCCTTGATATCTCGAATTGCTCGTTCATCTAGTACTGCCTTATTCGCTGAATCCATGTGATACATGGTGATGTCATACTTGTTCAAGATGTTGGTACGAAAGATGGCATTGGTGAACTCGGTACCTCGATCCGAGCAAATATGCTTTGGTGATTCACCATATGTTTGAATGATGTCCTTCATCGCATGAGTAACTTCTGTAGCACTCTTGCTCTTCAGTCTCCGAGTCATCAGGTATTTGGAATATCCATCAATGCATACAAGGACATATTTGTATCCACGATTCTTATGGAATCCTGTGGACTTCTGACTGCCCAACACTTCCTGTATCGATTTGTGTTGTTTGGAAGAGAAATCGATAAGATCGATGAAGTATATGTTTCTCTTGAACCCACTGATGATCACTCGAGTGGCACCTCTTCGTTTTGCTGGTTTCCATAGTTCCTTGATCTCATTCATGCTCCACACACACCTCGATAAATGGATCGCTTTATTCAAGGAATGAATAAGTTGTGTCAGAGGAAGAATCACAAACTGGTTATAGACTCGAAATGCATTTTCTCCACTATACACTACTTCAAATAGAGCATCACTCGCATTCAACATTGCGATGATCGTTTCGATATCATATGTACCTCGTGAAATCGATAGAGTATGGAGACTGGATCCAAATACACTCATAACTTGTAGCCATTGTGGAAATTGAGAATGTAATATTAATCATGGTGTTCAGGATGGCAATGGTTTCAGTCAATGTATAATAATCAGGCGAGATCGTTATCTCTTCACCATTGATGTTTGTCATCACATTGATTGGGTCCACATTATTGAATATGACTTGATTGGGTTTGAATAGAACAGTCATGGAAATGATAAATAGATTTCTGAACTTGTAAGGATTGATTGAATCGAATGAACCATTGATAGGTGAATCTTGTATGAGAATGGAATAATGCATGTTCTCTCTTTACCAAAGACACTTATGACTTGCACGGACAACAATAGATGGATTTGTGATGACAATGTACACACATTGGGTTTCGGTCATTACAAATAAGCAATCAAACATGTAAAGACGAGAGAAATAACAATAATTCACATTAGCTTGGTATGTCTACTGCTTTCTCGCATCCAAGTATAACTGATGCAACAAACACAAACATAGAAACGAGCACTAGGTTGATAGTAGAAAGGAATTGGAGTAAGAAAGCACGAAACCTGCTTCCTGACCGATGATTGTCGACTTAACAGCCTAGGAACGATAGTCGAGGACTCAGAATCGGTTGGTCGATTATAACAACTGACAAAAGATCGCAATTGTGGTCATGGAGCAAAATAGCATATAAAGAAAACTGCCACCAGGTTTCACGCAAATAGTGCCATTCCCTTACTACTATTGTTCCATATTAATGAGGTTTAAGATAGCTACAAGTTGATAAATCATATTATTATTGATCGAAAGAGCTTTTGTTATTGTGAAAATAGGATCATATTTGTTGTGTGACATGTATCAAATATAGATGAACTCATCAATAGAAATAGGAAGGATGAATCAGTCACTTACCACAAATATTGTTGTATTTCCTTTGATATATGACTAATCTGTATAATATAGTCTCGAGATACTTTGAATCAATACTTGGAAAATGAATATCTGCAATAGAATAACAACAAATGTGTATTGTTTCATTTTGGTGCATATTGTGTGATATGAATTGTATCAATGCCCATAATGAATTCATATTCTAAATGTGACAACTAATAATGTTGCTAGTTCGTGTTATAATCTGAGAGAAGGAATGAGCAGTATTAACAAACAAGAGTCTTCACAATAGTTACTCTCAATAGTGTTGATTGTGAATAGTTGATGTTTTGTCATCATCATCATCATGGTTATTCTGTATGGGAAAATAGAATAATGTGTATTTGTGATTGATTGTATATTTTGGCTTATTAGTATACTCCATGGAATAGAATACTGCGAAAATAAGATAGGTAAGTATGGAATAATCAGAAACGGCCAATATGAATGAAAACAACAACAATACTAGAATGTAATAGAATAGTAGAAAATAACATATGTATGAAGTAGCAATGGAAATGAAGTCATTTTCACAAATTATGACGAACAATAGCTGAAATGATGATATTTCACAGGGATCTGTTTTAGCACATCCTGAAACGAATTACATAGATCATACATAGTTTTGCTTCATAACAAACAAAATCCAGACAAACACGATTCTGTCATTTCATTAGTTTAACACAATGTTTGATTCTGTTAAATCCATTTTCATAAAATAACTAATTCTGAGTAGCAGGAACAATACTGTTGATACTTAGTACTGGAATAACCAATCGATGAATGAATGATTGGAGTTTGTAGTAAATTCCATTATTGTTAGTTGGAATGCACAATGATTGGTATATAGTGGTTGTAATTGAATGATTCCTAGATATTATCACAGATTGTATGCTATATGTGAATAGAATAGTACTGGAATGATTTGTGTAATTGGTCACAATCTATTGAATGAATATGAATTGGATGTACAAAGATTGCATAGCATGGAGATGGTTTGTATCATGAATGGATGAAAGAAAGGCCTAAAGAAAAGAAGAAATAGTATACATTGCTTAAGATCTTAATCCATTCAATGATATGTATTAGTTATTTATTATTGATGAAATACGTGATTATGATAATGAAGAGTGAATGAGAGAGAATCGAAATGAATGGGAATGTGATTGGTTGTGATATTGGAGTTGGATTCGATTCGATTTCAGCAATTCAACACTGAAATGAAAACAAATGAATGAATGAATGAAATCAAATGAATGAATGAATGAGTAATCCTACAAAAATCGATTTGAATTGAGTGCATACTGTGATTATGTATATTTTGTACCATAAGAATGAATGATGGATTGTTGACAAGGAAATATCGTTAAATCTGTATAAAGTGGACCAATAATGTGAATCGCAATGGGATATTTGAATGATTATACGATCAAATCAATAAATGAATGAATGAATGAATGAATGATATCTTATCTAAGAATTGATTGACAATCTCAAGACACTACTCACAACCAATGATCTGTAAATCAGTAACAAGAATGTCATTCACTCATTCAATCTATTCTATTCTATATTCATTCATATAATCATATTTGATTCACTTTGATTTGGATGGCTGATTGAATGATTGAATCAACATACAAATCATTGAATGAATGAATCAATGAATGAATGAATGAATGAAAGATTCTCTCTCTGTGGATTGATTCACAAAACAACAAAGACCTTTATCACAACCAATGAACTCTCATTCTGCATCAATAATGTCATCGATTCATTCAATCATTCAATCATTCAATCATTTGTTCATGCTTTTATAAATGTTTAAAGCATGGTTGATTGATTGATTGATTGATTGATTGAATCGATGCCTATTCTGTATACTCCTTCATAATATGAATCTATCAAACAACAAAGCAAATAACAATAATAACGACAATGAATTCGTTAAAATGGCAAAACAACAATAATAATAGTAATAGAAATCAATGAGAATAATGATAAGATTATGTGTTCAAAAGCAATGTCTAAAACAGAAATGCAATGAAGTAATGAGCAGCAACAACATAATAGGAACGAACAATAACATGAGTAATAATCCAAATGGATGAATTGTGAACTCAATGCAGTGTCCGATATCGAATCAATACCAAATTGATGTAGAACAAACAATGTGTATGTGAATAACAAGCAATAATGAGAATAATAACAGTAAAAGGACTAAAAAAAGAATATCTGAGAACAGTCCATAGCTATTGATGATTAATAATAATAGTAATCATCATAGAAAGAGATATTGAAACAATCATATGTGTAGTTTAATAAAGAAATAAGGAAAGAACCAAATCCATGATAATACTCATATTATTGGTAATGTGAGTATTATTATTATCATGGATCAATCAATCAAACAATCAATCAATAATACTTACTGATCGATTCTGGATAATAGATCAATTAGATTGTTATGTGGAATGATCGAAATGAAGAACAAACTCGATATGTGAAAACAAACAAATACCAAGAATGCATATCAATTTCAAACAATCCACATAATTGAATGAATCTATGTGAATCGATTCTGATTTAAATATAAATGAAGAGAAAATCATTTGATTGTCGGTTTGCATGGAAAGATTGATTGTTGTCACGAAACATCAATCGGATTGATTTGAAATGATTTCGTATTGTAGGTTCTGATTATTGATTAAATCATTTGGTAGATAGTTTGGTACATTGCTTACTACAACTACTATTATTGTTGTTGTTACTGTGGATGTTGCTGCTATTGCTACTTCTCTCTTTCTCCCCTACCATTCATTCATTGATTCCAAACCATCAAAATCGATAACAATATTCCTTGTCAACAAAAAAAGAAATGGAATCAATGAAAGCATAGAATCAAGTGTTTCCTTTATGACAATCAATGATCCATTAATCTATAAATGAATGAATGAGTAAGTGAGTGAGTGATGAAGGAAAACAGAAGGAATGAATGAATAATAAGGAAAAACAATATGTGTCATATGATATCGGATACTGGAAGGTAGGGGAGAAAGATGGGATGATGATGATTCAACTTCATTGACACTTCGAAGTAACAATGAATTGATTGGTTATGATTTGCTTTGGATCTTCCAAGTCTAACATCACTAACTTCTGTATAATGGAGTTTCTGTTGTCCTCGTTTTGGTGACATTGGAAAGTGGATCTAAATATTGAATAGAGATGGTAAATAGATATTCCAAATCTGTTTCAAAATGTCAATCTACTTGTATCAGTTGGGTATGTTCAATCGAAATCGATTCGAGTATTGTTGATAAATAGAATGGAATTGATTTCATATGATTTTCATAGATTTCAATTCCATTTGGTAAGTTTAGGCTTATCTTATCTTATCTTGTTAGGTGATTTGATTTGATTTGATTTGATTTGATTTGATTTGATTTGATTTGATTTGATTTGATTTGATTTGATTTGATTTGATTTGATTTGATTTGATTTGATTTGATTTGATTTGATTTGATTCATTGTGTTTCATTCGATTCCGCTTGATCATTTGATTTGATTTGATTTGATTTGATTTGATTCGTTTAATAGGAACACATTTCGATTGATTATGATTGGAACAATTCTATCTGGTTCATTTTACAATGATCTGTGGAATTTGTATTGTTGTTTCAAACTGATGGCACATGATTGATTCTATGATTGGTTAAAATAGATATATAATAATGATGATGATGATGATGAACAGAAAACAAACAGAAATAAGCAAAACAAAACATGGAACAATCCAAACAAATAACCACATATTTCCTTATGAGAATTGAATCAATAAGAATCGACACAATCCAATTTGTCTGGTGGATAGTGAATAATAAAAGGATGAATGTTAAAATATAAAAAAAGGAATAAAGAAAAAGAAAATAAAAAAGGGAATAAAGAAAAAGAAAATACAAAAAGAAAAACATAAAACAAATTAGAATCATATAATACAAAACAAAAGAAAACAAAAGGAAGAGGAATAAAATGCACAAATATAAGAAAATAAGAAACAAAGAAAACTAAAGAATAGCAAAACAAACAAGAATAAACTAAAAGTCAAAATCGAAAATGAAATAATAAAATGAACTACAATCAATTCCAAAAGTTGAAAAACAACAACAACAACAACAATAACAACAAATGAAAAATGGAATAATCAAAAATAGATAAGCAACATCAAAAACAAAACAAAAACAAAAACAAAACAAAAGAATAATGAATCATTGAGTATTATTCAAATTAATACTTTCTCAACAAACAAATATGGATTGTGTCGATTCCTATTGATTCAATTCGATTAAGTGCAATGAATCTTGTCAAAAGGATTCGATTGAAGTCGTTCGATCAAGATTCATTCGAAATATGTGATTTGTGGATTTATCGGTATTAAATCACAAACAGCATATTGAATATACAATCAAACAATGGATTCCAAGAAAGACCATTATCAAAATACTCATATTCATACTACAACACAAATGGTTCTCACAATATGCCTCATTATTGTATTGTGATTATCAAATGCTGATTCCATATTGACTTGTTCAAATGTAATCTAATGATTTGAATGATATCAATAATGATGATAATAATAATGATAATGATCAGAAAGAAAGAAAGAAATAAAGAAAGAAAGAAGAGTATTGTTATGCAATACAGTACAATGATAGATTCCAGCTAAACCAATGATCGAACATAACGATTTCATGAATCTCGATCGATTCAATTGCAAAACAACCATTGAGACTACAATGTGTTTGAGTGATTGTTCTATTTGGATTCGATCGAATCAATTGTATAATTCTATCAGTCGATTGGATCGCTATCAATGAATCATTCGATCGATTCTATATCATTGATAATCGAACAAATACAAATACAATAACAAATACTAATACTACTACTACTAATAATAATAATCACGAGGATTGATGGTTGAATACTCATCATCAATCTGATTCTGATTCTGATTGATCGATCCTATCCAATCATTCTATTCATGATCAACAATACCAAAGTGATCTAATGGTATTCAATATGCTGAAATAGACCGATGAATAATGTGGATGATCATACAATCATAATAATGATGATGAATGGATATCGAAAACTAACCAAATACACACCATTCAATCATTCAATCAATCGATCAATCGATCAATGGATTGAACAGCCTTTCTATTCTTATCAGTATTATTGAGTGTGAATAATGAATTGATTCTTTACGATATTCAACATTCATTTGCATTTTGAATCAGCTATCTTTCATCCATTGATTGAGTGATTGAGTGAATGAGTGGTTTGTGTGATATTGAAGAATACGGCATTCCATCCAAATATCGAATTGTGAAACCACGATTGATATTACTACTAACTACAACTATCAAGTATCAAACACATCCGATTTGATTCCATTATTATCAAATTGATAAATCCATGTTTTGTGACTCATTGATAAATAAACAAACAAACAAACAAAGATATGATAGTTGGATTGATTGAATGGTGAATCCAATATGATTTCTAATGCTATTCAATCGGATTCTATTCTATTCTATTCTATTCTATGTATACAGTGATCGATTCCTATTCAATATATCAAAATCAATATCCTAATTCAATATCAATCATTCTATTGTATTGTATTGTATTGCATTGTATTATCTACCGATTTAACAATGGATTCACAAATGTGAATAATCATCCAATATCAATCGATTCCAACCATTCCATTGTGTCACTATCAAATCCAATCTTATTATTCATGATTATCACGATTATTATTATGATTATTCGAAGCAAGCAGTTTCCTATCAATATTGAACAAATCCTAATTTAAACCTATTCAAATCATCATTTGTATATTATTATTATTATTAGTATTGGTAGATTGGATTCATCATTTGTGAATGTTCAATGTGTGATCATTGGGTCATTGGTAATAATAATGATAATGATCGAAAACAATGATTGATTGATTGATTGATTGAAACAACAATCATAATTCAGTATCATTGTTAAAATGGTAAAGAAGAACATCATAATAATCAGGCAGGATTGATATTTTGATAATTATAGAATCATGATTTGTGATCAAGAATCGGTTTGAAACAAACAAACAATCAATCAATCAATCAATCAATCAATGGAATTGTTCCTAAACAATGACGAATCACTGAACAAATCAAATCAAATCAAAATTATAGATTTAATGCTTGATTTGAACAAGATCAGCGAGAATGGAAGAAACATCTAGGAATCAAATCAAATCAATCAAACTATACTCGAAATTGATTTCGATTGAACTTTCCAGAATGACCAAGGTAGATTGACATTTCGAAGATTTGGAATATCTAAATACTATCAATATTCAATATTCAGAAATACTTTCCAATGTCACTACACAAGGATAATAGAAACTAGCCCATACAGAAGTTATTGATGTTAGAATAGGAAGATCTACAAAACAAATCATAACCAATCAATTCATTATTACTTCGAAGTGTCAATGAACAAGAATCATCATAATCTCTTCCTTCAAGTGCATCATAACCGAGTGTAATAGATTGTAATGATGGAAGATCTACATCAATCATTTCATTTGAATTCATTCAATACTTTCAATTATTGTTGAGAAGGATTCACGGAATGCATAATCACCTAATGTAATGGATTGTAGATTTGGAAGATCTATGCATTCACATAATCAATATCATATCAATACCTCGAATCACAAATGAACTATGATAGAAATTCAATGAATAACTTCCAATTGTCCCAATTTGAATGGATTTTAATTGTGGTAGATTCTTCAATTCAAAATCTCCAGCAAAATCACTGAAACTATATTCACCAATTTGAATGGATTCCAATGATTCACAATTCAATATGTGGAATGATTTCGATTCGTCATATCCCCATCCATCCTTTTCCTTAGTAAACGAATTATTACCAATTTCCAAACATTTCAATCGATTCAATCCATTAATTTTGAATGTTTTCACTTTGGAATAGCATTTATCTTCAAATATGACATGCTCCCTCTCATATTCATATTCATATTTCTTACTATACACTCTAGGATAAAAGTCTTTTGTTATGATTCCTTCACATACATTCTTCCAAATATAATCAAGGAATATTAATCCACAAATGATTACTGCTAACATTATTAACCACTGTAAGAATGTTGGTAATGGTAAAATGAATTCCAATACAACAATACATAGCCCGATTATTACTGGAATTTCTGCAAATAACAGTATATACTCTGATTTTGGTATTCCTTTCACCCATTCTCCATTATATTCTATTTCATTGATTTTAAAAGATGTTCCAAATCCATGTCGTTTTCCATTCAGAAATTCACCTTCATAAATCACATTCTTGCCTTCTTCATCATATTCCTTCCCACATATCAGATAAAATCCTGTCTCAAGTGAACCACAATAGCATCCTTCAAAGCACTTTACACCATCTTTGTATTCTATCATTTTATCATTTTCAAATCGATATAGAATCGATATTTCTTCATTGTTTTCCCAAATACTGACTTGATCCAGTAATCCTGATTCAAAATAGTAGCACAATCCTTCATTCATTCCATTTTTATTGATTTGACAAATCGAAATCACATTTCCATTCCCATCCAATTCTTTCCAATAACCTTCCATTCCATCCATTCTTTCACAATGATTGCCTCGACATCCTTTCTCATACCTACCTTCAAATATCACATTCCCATTCTTATCATACTCTATTCCTAGTCCTTGACGATATCCATCTTCAAGATTCCCTTCAAAATATAATTCGCCTGAATCATAATACAATTTACATTGTCCCTTTATCTCATTACTTCGATATTCGAATTCTGCTATTATCGTATTGTTCGTCGTTTTGATAATAGCTCTCCCATTTAATTCTCCATTTTTCATCTTCGTTTGAATAGTGTAACCTTGATGTGGAGAACCAATGTTCAGAATCACATTCTCATTATCAATCTTATCTATAGTACTAATAGGAAATTGATTGGTGATACACCAATTCCAAATATCAACCTCAAACCCAGATTCCTTTCCCAGGTCATGAGACACTTCCAATGGTTTTATTTCGATAATACAACTTGATTGAATTCCAGAATCCGTAGATATTTCCATAAATAATGATAATATGGAAAAAAACACCAAAATGAAACGTAACTCTTCTCTATTTGATTCCAGTATAATTTTCTTTCCGTCATTATTATTGTTTCATTGTACATTATTTTCTTAATACTAATGTAATATTATGATTTGAACAATAATAGGAATAGTAGAAGTAAAGAGTGGACAGATTTTGTCATTTTGTAAATACTACCATAATTGTCTTATTCACACAGTAGATTGAGTTATATGATGAATATTCATTATGCCTATTAAATGGAATTACAAGCTGGAGCTATGTTCTCGACTTGTAACACAATGGACATACAATCACGCATTTTG